CTATTAGGCTATGACTAAAATGAGATACAATATAGAAGGGGGAAGGATAATAAAGTTGCTGATGCATTGTCTAGGATAGAACAGGTTGATAATTCAGCTGACAATCACTGTTTTTCTTTAACTTCAGTATTCACACAATGGATCAGTGATGTGGTGGCCAGTTACCAACATGATTTTGTGGTTTTGGATCTCATTGCCAGTGTGACTATTGATCCTTCTTCCCACTCTGAGTATCAGTATATTAATGGCATTTTGAGAAAAAAAAAAAGGAAGAATTTACATTAGAAATCAACCTAAGTTAAAGATTTCTATTTTGGAAGCAATGCATTCATCACCATTAGGAGGCCTTTCTTGTCAGAATGTGACTTTGCAAATGTTGAGGTCAACCTTCTTTTGGCCAGGGATGAAGGATGATGTGAAAAAAATTGTTTCTCAGTGTGTGGTCTGTTAGAGAAATAAAAGAGAACATGTGAAGTATCCAGATCTATTACAGCCAAATCCAGTTCCTCAAAATGCTTGGAAAAGCATATTAATGGACTTCATTGTCAAGCTTCCACCTTTTGAGAAGTTTGATGCTATCTTAGTAGTTGTTGACAGACTGACCAAATTTGGTCATTTCATTCCATTGGAGCCTCCCGTTACTGCTTGCAGAGTAGCTAATGTCTTCCTTAAAGAAATATTCAGACTCTATGGATTGCCTAATAATATCATCTCAGACAGAGACATGGTGTTTACTAGGCAAGAACTGTTTAAGTTGTTGGGTGTAAAGATCAAATTGAGTACCACATACTATCCACAGACTGATGGACAGACTGAAAAGGTAAACCATTGTTTAGAAACCTACCTTAGATGTTTTTGCTGTGATAAACACTATCTTGGAGCAAATGGATGTCATTGGCAGAATGGTGGTACAACACTTCATATCATTCAGCCATTAAAATGACCCCTTTGAGGCTTTATATGGAAAGAAACCTCATCCTTTTCCCTTATGACCATTTTCTAATAGTGTGATTCCTGCTGCTCACTATGAAGTTCAGACTAGAGCATCCATCATGAAGTTGCTGCAAGAAAACATGATCAAGGCACAAAACAGGATGAAACATTTTGCAGATCAACATCGTTCTGAATGTGAGTTTGTTGTGGATGATTGGGTTTATCTCGAGGTTCAACAATACAAGCAGTCAAACGTGGCCATTAGATATTATTTAAAGTTGTCATCAAGATATTATGGTCATTTTCAAGTCAAGGAGAAGATTGGGGAAGTTGCTTATAAACTCAGGTTTCCTTCTACAGTCCATATTTATCCGGTGTTCCATGTTTCTCAACTGAAAAGGCATGTTGGAGCTCAACCATCCTCCATCTCAACATTGCCTGAGCCAGAAGTCATTGAGAGAAACGCATTACAGCCTGAGGAAGTACTACAGCGCCGTTTTATCATGAGAAATGGTATAGTTATGAATCAGTGGTTGATCAAGTGGAAGAACTTTGATAAGGAGGATTCATCATGGGAAGATCAGTCTTTTATTCTCAACTAATTTCCCACACTTCGACCTTGAGGACAAGGTCTTGCTTATGGAGGAAGTATTGTCACAATTCAGGGACTGATTTTGGATAAAAAAAAAAAGAGGAGTTGTTTTGTAATTAGCTAACCGTCAGTAAGAATTAGCATAATGATTGTATTTTCATTTTTTTCGTATTACTATTCTGGGTAGATTTGGCTATTAAATGGCTGTAATCATTGTGTAATGATCATTATGGAAAATAATCAACTCTTTCTAATTGACAGTTATCGCTTCTCCTTGTACCTTCTAGAACTTTCTTCTTCTTACGTTATCCGTTCTTCCCTTATCCTCTGAATTCTGACTCCGGCCGCCGCCTTTCCACCTCTGGCGAGCCCTTCCCTTTTCCTTTTATTCTTTTTCCAGTCAATATCTAACATTTTCCTGGTCCAAAATTATAGGCCTCTATCTGTGCACTTAACATTTCAATCCAGCTCAGCCATGTTCTTTGTTTTTTCACAAGAAAAACATTGTTTGCACAATTTAGTATAATTTTTTTCTTATAAATATTTCCACCAACACAATATTGAGTTTGCTAAATGTTATAAATACTGTCTTTGGACAAAGTTCGTATACTTCGTTTGTCATTTAAAATACTTGGAACTTTTAAAACAATGTACATATATCTTTGTTCATCATTATGTGAAAGATGTATGTTTTTCTCATTATTTCCACACTTGAAAATAAAAAAGTCTTTTTTTAATAGAAAAAAACTTGCATGTTTGCAAAATGTGTTAAGATTTGCTCTTTTACTATACGCATTGGGCATATTGAAGTCTTCTTATTTCAATGTGAATGTATTTGATATTGGGTGGAAATTTACTCCGCAAGTGCCAATTTATGTTGTACTAGCTAAAAATAATACTCTCTCCGTCTTAGAAATATAGTTCAGATTGAATTTTTTATACTAAAATTAGTAGAAATATCAAAATTTAATGTGAACTTTTTTTTGGACATAAGAAGTATTAAATGTGTTGTTTATTATGTTTTATACAAAAAAAAAAAACCAAATAAATGATTATACAATCGAAAGAGTTTTATCGGATTAGAATTTGAATTGACTGTAATTGTAACTTCACACCTGAGTGTAACATTTAAAAGAAAAAAGATCTCCTAGCCTGCTTTCTAGCTTTTTTCCGTCCATGGAATAAATGTCGGAATTCAATCATCTAAACATTTTATCACAACACAAAGTGTCAAATCCCTTTAGTGGAGTTGCACTTATAGTAAAGATTCCGGTATAATTATATATTAGGAACTCTAACTTCATTTTTTAAGAGAAAATAAAACAGATTTTAAGGTGTTAAAAAGTGAAGTTAAAGATCATCAATCACGCATCGCAAAAAAAATTTGTGATGCTGCTACATATACGTAAAAGTCAACCACTGTGCTTTTCATTTGTTTGGAATGGAAAACCAGTAATACCACCACCATAAATAAAAGCAAAACCGAAATGTTTTCTGATAAAGACGCCATGAATCAATGTGTTTGACAGCTTGATTTTGTATTGTTTTCTTGCATGACTTGCTTACCATTGTGGAGTAGGCTAAAAGATTACTTGTGAGGGAATTATGCTCTCTCGTTAAAGTTGATTGTCCTTTATGACTTTATCCTATATGCATGCATGGAGTAAAACATTCTACCTTCCTAATTTATTAATTAAAGATAAGTGTACTGTATAGAGCAATCGATTTCATTTTAAAAACTCCCACAATAAAAAGATTAAATTATATATAGATTCAATTAAATAGATTTATCTTTTTCAAATTCAATCGGTTACTTTGCATACAGATTCAGTTAAATATATTTATTCTTTTTAAATTTTAAAAAGATTACATTACAAAGTTAGTTACATAAAAAACTTACATCGTATAATTCATAAGTATCTGCCAATTGAAATTTATAGGCTCACAATTTTGTGCTATACATGCAAAAAAAATTATGTATTAATAATATATATATTTTTTCAAACTCGATATGGATTATGTTTTTAGTATAGGGAGTATAATTTATTAGGGAATATTAGTGTATACATCCCAATGTTATACCCTACTTACGAATTCATCTCAAAGTTCTAGAATTAGTTAATTACGTTCCAAGGTTATCAAAATTGAGCATAACCATCCCATGACCTATAAACCAACAAAAGTGACTTGGTATAACCGGTAAAATCACTTGGATCCTATATTTAACATTTTTACTTATGTTTTTTTGAATTTTTAATTTTTTTTAGTTTATTGAAACAAAAATAACATTTATAAATGGAAAAACTAAAAAATTTAATTTATTTGTAATGAATTTAATTTATTTTATAATCTAATTCATCTTTATTTTTTTGATAAACTTAAAAGAAACTTTCCAAAAAAAAAAATCTTTATTTTGAGTGAAAAATAGAATGATTAAGCTTACACACACACACACACACACATATATATATATATCTTGTATTCAAAAATTAATTAATTTTGAGTTTATCCAAAATTATAAATTATTTCATTTGTAATGAATAAATTATTTTGATTAATAAAATAAGTTTTTTTGAATTTTTTTTAATCTAGAAATTTTGTTTATTTTTTAATGAACTAAAAAATAACAAAGAAAATAAAAAATGAGAAAAAAAGAATAAATATGAGACCCAATAGATTTTTAGCTGTCATATAAGGTAATTTTTATTGTTTTACAGGTCATGGAATGGATACGCTCAATTTTGATAACCTTGAGACATAATTAAATAATTTTAAAACGTTAGAATCAATTAGTACACTAGTGTAAACGTTGGGATGTATCTATTTTTTTTTTTGTCAAAAGCGATATTCATTTCTAAGATGAAAGAAAAAGGTGAAATAATGTACACTTAGGTAATACAATCTGCCTCAAACATCTCATCTAACTACAAAGGCTATCATTTTCCCAACTTTATGTACACTTGTTAGATAATGCTAAATTGGCTAGATTATGACATGTAGAATTTCATTTTTTTCCTAATATATAGAAATTTACTGGTATCAAATTGAGTTTTGAGCAAAAAGATGTCTTCGACTATAGTAATCACATCTAAAACAGGAGCAATACACCCTTGTAACCAAGCGATCATATTCATTCACCCTAATGGTCGAGGTCTCGGGGAGTACTACTTAATGTAGAATACCTCTCACACGTACATACGTAATACAGTAAGCAAAGGGTTTTCTTAGTATAGAAGGATTTGTGATCATTTCAGGCGTTTCAGTTCTATAAAGTTTGCAACTTTATTGAAGTTTGAACGTGGACCTCTGCCAATTTCCCACTTTATGCTTTAGATTTTGCTTTCCATAAATTTTGCCACGTTCCTGCCCCAGAAAATGGAAGCTTCGAGGGAGGGTCAATATTTTTTGGTTTATAATAATACACACAATTAGTTGGCAAAATCATCAACTAACGATTTTCTTGTAACGTAATACTCTCTCCGTTTCAAAATTTTGTGAAATTTGAGTTTTCACTTTTATTTTAATTTGTATTAAACCTGAAAATTCAAATTGGACAACAGTTTCTAGACGGAAAGAGTATATTACTCAATGCACCTCAAATCAGCGCGAAAAATCCAGACAGAATTTCTTTTGTAGGACTAGCATTCCTACTTTCCAAGTCGGGGAAATGAAAAACGTATTTTTCTTTTTTTTTTTTTAAAATAATGCATTAAGACCTTTGTTTATATTCTAGAGTAACGGCTATGATTCTGAAATGTCCTTTATACCCTTCAATCCATCCCAAAAAACCAGAATAAATTCTGCTGCCATTTGGGCAAATCTCACCGTCCTCACGTGTAACTCCCGGCAGCACTGCCAATATAAAGAGAATACTGTTATTTAAATCCTCGTAACGGTGGGATTTGGGCAACTTAATCAGCGAAATTCAGCTTATCAAAAACTTCGCTGTTTTCCAAGTGTCCTCTTTTGTCCCTTCCTTACAATCTTCCTCCGATCCAACAAGAAAAAAAAAAGGCCTCATCATCAGCTTCTCCAGCTATGGCGCCTCTTTTGCACACGTGGGCTTTGCTCTTAATCGTTTTGTTCCACTTCAATCACCTCTCAGGTAAGTATTTATCACGATTGAAAATGAAATTTTCGAGTTGGGTTTTTTTTCTTTTTAATTGGATTTGGTTCTGTTTTGGATGATATGCAGAGTCTCAACCATTCCTTGGAGTAAATTATGGGGAAGTGGCTGATAATCTGCCATCGCCGGATGCTACGGCAAAGCTATTGCAATCAACTTCTTTCGAAAAAGTTCGGCTTTACGGGACAGACCCGGCTATAATCAAAGCATTAGCCAATACAGGGATCGGAATCATGGTCGGAGTTGCTAACGGAGACATCCCGGCGATGGCTACCGACCCGAATTTCGCGAAGAACTGGGTGAGTTCCAACGTCCTCCCGTTCTATCCGGCGAGCAAGATCATCCACATCAACATCGGGAACGAAGTCTTGCTCTCCGGCGACCAGAATCTGATGTCGAAGCTCTTGCCGGCGTTACAGAATCTGCAAAACGCCTTAGACTCTGTTTCCTTAGGTGGGAAGATTAAGGTTTCCACGGTTCATTCCATGGCGGTGTTGAGCCAATCCGATCCTCCTTCATCGGGTCTTTTTAATCCCGGCTTCGGTGACCTGATGAAAGGCTTGTTGGAGTTCAATAACGCGACTGGATCCCCTTTTGTGATCAACCCTTATCCTTTCTTTGCTTATCAGAGTGATCCAAGGCCCGAGACCCTGGCTTTCTGCCTGTTTCAGCCTAATGCAGGACGAGTCGATTCGGGTACTAAAATTAAGTACACCAACATGTTTGATGCTCAGGTTTGTTAAAAAAATCAGTATTGATTAATCAAAGAACTTCTCTGTTTTGCAATCTTTTTCTAATTTTCTCTGGTTTTTTTTTTCTTTTGATTTGATCTTCAGGTGGATGCTGTTAGAGCTGCTTTAAATGCTGCCGGTTTCAAAGGAGTTGAGATTTTGGTTGCTGAAACAGGTTGGCCATACAAGGGAGACAGCAATGAAGTTGGTCCAAGTTTAGAGAATGCCAAGGCTTATACTACAAACTTGATTTCTCACCTTAGATCAATGGTTGGAACTCCGATGATGCCAGGAAAATCAGTTGACACCTATCTTTTTGCTTTGTATGATGAAGATTTGAAGCCTGGACCAGGTTCAGAGAGATCATTTGGCCTTTTCAAGCTGGATATGACCATGACTTATGATGCTGGTCTTTCCAAAACTAGCCAGGTAACCAAGATATCATAATGAGGTCATATGTACTATTGATTATGTGTAATAATCGCTTAGCTTTGAAAACTATTATTGCATTTTTGTTTGTGTTCACTGAATCAAAATGGTTACTTTTATTATGAAGACAACTCCTTCAACTCCAAAGACTCCAGTGACTCCAGCAAATCCGGCAAATCCTGCGCCTAAGGAGAATAAGCCTACATTTTGCGTGCCAAAGCAAGGGGTAACAGAACCCGAGTTGCAAGCAAATTTGGACTATGCTTGTGGGCAAGGAATAGATTGTGGTCCAATTCAACCTGGTGGAGAGTGTTTTGAACCGAACACTTTAGCCTCACATGCTACCTATGCCATGAATCTCCTATACCAAAAATCAGGAAAGGATCCGCAGGCCTGTGATTTTTCGCAGACCGCCACCTTCTCATCTGCCAATCCTAGTAAGTTACCGAACCAAATGAAGTTTCAGATACTTCTATTCGTGCTTGAGCTTAGCATTAGTCATGTTTGGATGCGTTTCGCAGGCTACAATGGATGCCAGTACCCTGCCTGAGGAGAGTCAAAGGAAGAGAAGATTCCAATCCCAGTTGTTGGAATAACTTTTTAAAGCAATATTGGTGGAAGTGCTTGTGGTTTATTCTGATTCCTTAAGCTCGTGTGTAGTTGCTTTGGGTACAGTAAAGTACTTTATGTAAGTGGGAAGGAGGAGGAAAAAGTAATGTAAAGGCAGAAATGTCCATTCTGCTGCTGTTTTGCTTTTTTATGTCCTGTGCCTGTGGTGTGTAATGTAGTAGAAATTTTTAAAATCTGCTGCGTATACATACATAGATCAAGCAGAGGTTGTTCAACAATGTCTTTGGGGTTCAGATTTGTGTTATCCCAAGGAATTGTTGTACTGTGTATTTGGCGTCCCATTTTATAGTTCCTAGTTTTATGTTCTGCCTTTATTTGCTTTGGTTTCGACTTTTGACCAATTTACTGAAGATAGTATTAGTCTTTAGATTTTTGGAATTCCCGGAAAATTCCAGTATTTTCACAATTCTAATTGGTCGCCGGCCAACCAAATCATGAGAACTGGGACTCACCAGAAGAAAATTCGACATGATAAAGAATTTCCCGATAATTCAGTATTATGATGAATAATTGATTTTTCTTAAAACATTAAGATTAACCATCTAACGAGGAGGATATTACTTTGCAAAAACCCAACAATTGTTGTACCCTTTTCTTCTTCTTTCTTTTCTTGAAAAAAAAACCCCTACGCTTCTATACTATTTTTTTTAAAAAAAACAAAACCCTACAAGTCTATAATCTTCCAAGGTTTTTTTGCATGAATATTATGATTGGTCGGTTTGACCTTTGAAAAGTCAGCAGTTAACCCTCAATTTTGACTAAAAGAAAAAAGATTCATATTTAAAACAGTACTAGATGGTATACATTATTCTCTTCGTCATCTCAAATAATCCATCTTGTTGAAAAAACCAATATAACAAAGTATAATAATCTCCTGGGACTGTGCTGGTAGGACCCAGCACAAATGTAAAGGACAAACAAGAGCAATTTTTTTACTCCGAAAATCTTAATGTAAATAAATAAATGTAATGGCCTTAGTTTTTTGAATTAACTCTTCGTCTTGAACATTTTTCTTAATTTGCTAGCACTAACTCTTTCCCATTATCTTGGTTTACTTTTAATACGTATGTTTTGATAACGTAGAATAACTTGTTAAACAGCAAGTAATGTCCAAGATTGGAGTGGAATCTATGTATGTATTTGTATTCCAATTCCTATTGTATCAAAATGTAAAAGGGATTGTTATCGGAGAAATATGGCATTAGATTGTCAAGGTTTCCCCCGTGTTTAACATGAAGTTTTTGGTTGTCTTCCCCACTTTATCTACTCTAATCACATTGAAAAATGGTATTTCTTAAATGATTGTCTAATTTTAAATTTTGTACAAGAAAATAAAAATAAAAATCAAATTGGATAATCATTTCGGGAAGGATGAAGTACTAATAAAATTACGTGAAAATCCAAATTTAGAAAGGATAATTTATTTGATATTTGTGACTTTTTACTCCGGTTTAGCAGCGTTTGATTTTTATCCCGATTGTTTTTTAGTATTATTAATTATACTTTTGAGCTCAATACGCTGCAGTTTACTTCGATCCGTGCTGGAAAGGAAAAGAAAATAGAGGATTTATATCTTTTTTTTTTTTTGGTACAAAGAGGAGGCAACAACCTATTAGGATAGCACCTTCATTTGGTAAGAAACACTAATAATATTTGATCTAACCAAAGTTTAACGCTAGCTATAAGCTCATCTAAATATATAAATACCAAGTGGCACAGTAGATGCTAAAGAAAATAATTTGCTGCGAAATTCGCTTTCCTGTACACATGTTGTACCTCCACTCTCCATTCCCGACCCAGAAGTTCCTTGATTCCTCTAACTAAACTGCCATGAGCCCCCATTTAAAGCACACTGACTGTCAACTTCTGCCTTGACATGACGCCAACCCCGATCCACAGCCAGCTGCAGCCCCTGAAATAACCCCACAATTCTGCACCCATAATAGAACAGAACCCTATGTTCATCGCGAAACCCGCCATTCACCTACCCAGATGATCTCGAATCAAACCGCCTGCCGAGGCCATTCCTAACTCACTGTCAAACGAGCCATCCGAATTGATCTTACCCCAATTCATCGGCGGAAGATTCCAATGAATATAGTGTAGCTCCCAACTTTTGCCCCCTATACCCTTTGTCTTCACATCTATCAGTGCTTTGCGGGTGCTACTGACGAAAGAGAGGATTTCGCTCGTCTTCCGTTCCACACTAAAAGAATTCATCTAAAAAATCCTCTTATTTCTCCCAATCCATGTCCGCCATAACGCCATCCCAAAACAGCACTCTCATTGCTCCACACCTACACCCAAAGCATTCGTAATATTCTTCCAAATCCATGCCTTCAAATCCAGCTGGAAAAACTTCACTCGAGAACCAGTTGGAATCAAATTACTCCATACTTGAGCTGCCAACGGACAATCTCGTAGAGCATGGAGGACCGTCTCGTTTGGACAGCCACATAACTCATATTCCGACGATAACGACAAATGTCGACGGTATCTTTTGACATTAGTCAACAGTCTACCTTTTACCACCAGCCACTACGTTTGACGAGAGGACTTATATCCTTGTTCTCCTTTGAGCACTAAATTAATTGGAACAAACGTTTGTATGTAAGGATCGACATTTTAAATTTGATCATGGTTATTTATATCCTTAGAATTTATGATTGAAAGTTCTGTTTCAAACCAATTATCTATCCGGGTTCTAACTTTACGCTGAATCATACTCCATCCGTCCCAAAAAAATAGTCTATATTGAATTTTCAAATTTGTACAAAAATAGTACAAAATTTTAAATTCAATGTGGATTATTTTTTTGAGACGGAGGTAGTTTCAAATATGTACACCATTTGCATCTTCTATTCACCAAACGTCCCTGACGTGGTAAAGCCACGCCAGAAATGCAACCCAAAATATAACATCATTTTCAGAATTGTCCTAGCCAGATTTTCACTCTAACATGATTAAAGCCTTCTAATAAATGAACATAAAAAAAGGGCCTAAGTATCAAATATACTGTCTTTCACGTGAGCATGGTTGATTACTTTATTGGGCTATGTAGATGGATTAAACTGTCCTTTGTTCATATCCATCGTCTTTTTTCATATTAACCATGCCATGAGTGAAAGTTTAGAAAGATTTTGGCGCGACCAAATGCAGTTTGCTGCTGGAAATTTCTCTGAACTTCTTAAGAGCCATCGATATCCACTATCTAGATGCTATAGTATTATTCCCTGCCTGTTAGAACCAATTAGCCACTTTGATTCCATTATCTCGCATTTTCAGCAGCCGTTTCCAGTGCCAATTTGGTACGGTATTCTTCATAATCTGAATTGTCGAAATTGTATGATCTCACAATCACAGCAATGAATGCAATTTTCTTTTTAAATAAAAACAAAAAAACGTTTTTGATTATACTATCCAGATAATGAACTGAAGAAAATAGCCAACTCTTTCAAGTGTTAAAAATGTTAAGGAAACATTCATCATATCCTGTTAAATTGATCACAAAAATGGTTGTGTTTTTTGAATGGTTTTGCCAAGTTACGATCAAGGAAGCAATCGAAGAAACTTCGCACATCACAAAGAGGTTCGAATTTCCCGAGATGCCAACTTTTGTAGTACAGCATAGACACAATCTAATGCAAATTCCAAACTAAATTAATCATAGTACTGCAGTTCATGGTATCACATCTGCAAGGACAAAAACAAAAATTTCTTTTACATGATATGACAATGTTTATTTCTTTTACTGATAGATGATTTTTTAAATTTTTTTTTATTTTTGGCAATTGCAATTTTTTAATTAAGGAAGAAATAACATTTTTCAAAACTTTCTATCTTCCTACAAAGATTATCAATTTGATTATCTTCCGGGGATAACTGGAAATGGATTTTTTTCCTATATATTTAAAACTTTTGTTAATAAAACTTTAAGTTAAAAACCACTAATCATCCATGCTCGTCAATAATCCGTTATCGTCCAGCGGTTAGGATATCTGGCTTTCACCCAGGAGACCCGGGTTCGATTCCCGGTAACGGAATTTTTTTGGTTTTCCTCTTTCTTTATTCCCCACCACTTTTACCGTTCAAACAAATCAAAGCCCCATAAAACGACAAGAGCGCACATCTCTTTCCCTGATCCGCATCACACAAAATAGATCCTCTCTCCCAGTCCATCCATGCCTTCTCCAATACACTGACACACGTGACCTTGGCTGCTAAACCTTTGCCTTATTTGCTTTTTTCCTTTTTCCTTTTTTATAATTTCTTTAGCATGGTTTCTAATAAATTACTTAATTAATTCCCATTGTATTTTAAACCAGATGGCTCTGAAACTAGCTGACTATTTCACTTTTCTCGTACTACTTATTTTTTCAACTACTAAATCAGACTGAATTACTAGTACCACTACAGAGTATCAGACTATAGGTTTAGTTTCGTTATTATTATACCATTGCTTCCTCCCCCTTCTGGCCTTCTCTTAATAATAGTAATAAACCAGCAGCTGCTTTAATTACGTTCACTTCTCAAGCAATCAAAGGTATTTTGACTCCCTGACTCAGAGCATCCTTTCGTTAAGAAATTATCTTCCTTCCCTTTTTATTTTCCTTTTGTTCCCCGTAATTTCAATCATCGTCTCTTCACATTGGAGATTCGTTTTCACTTATCGGAGCTTGTTGGTTAATATATGTGCGTTTTGGTTCCTGATTGTTGAGTTTTGATTATCATGGATGAGCTGATTAAAAGTTCAATTTGCACCTGCAAAAAAAAAAAAAAAGATTGGATTTTTTTTTTCTTTTAAATCACCGTGATTGTGTCCTTGTTGTGACGTTGGTAAAATTCTTTGTTTTTATATTTTTGTTTTGTTTTCTGGGGTTATTGTACTGAGCGGTATCGTGGGTTTGAAATTGATTCAGATGGCTTCTTCTACTCTTATCTGTGATACCGAACCATGGAAGGACTTGAAGGTGATTTACAATCTGACTATGTAAATTTTATTTCAAAGATATTATTTGTCGCTCAATTTTGATTGTGCTTGTTTTATCTCTTTAGGCTCATGTTGAAGATATCAAGAAGGTGCATTTGCGTGATTTGATGGCGGACACTGAACGTTGCATGTCTATGACAGCGTATGATGCTTACTTTTGTATATTGCCAAGATACGATCTTTCTTATTGTTTTCTTCATGCTGGAAGAATTTACTTGATTTCTACATGCTAAGTTGTAAATTAATTAAGTACAGATGTCACCGATTTGTTTATGTCCTGAATTTATTTACAGTGAATTTGATGGAAACCTGCTGGACTATTCGAGGCAAAGGGCCACCCTTGACACCCTTAAAAAGCTCTCTGCTTTGGCTGAGGTGAATCAATTACCATTAGCTTGCTTGTTGGTGGTCGGACTTGTGATAAGTAGTTTTACTTTCTTTTGGTCATGATGTAGGCAGCACATCTTAAGCAGAAGATTGATCTTATGTTCAAAGGGGAAAAGGTGAGTGGAATATTTGGATATTTGAAGTTTTGATATTGTTTCCTTCCCTATTTTAACAATCAGGCTTTGAGTGTTCATTATCTGAGAGGTAATCTCTTTTATGATTCTTGTCATATATTGGTGGTTCTTTTTCTGTTACTAATAAGTCTTAGTTAGCGGTAGTATAACCCATTGGCATAAATCACATCTGCAATTATCATGCAATGCATTGATGGGAACAATAAGTAGATAGATACCTTTCCCATGGAATCCTTTCGCCACAAACATATAGACACGATTCATATTAGACCAGAATTATGACTTATTTGGTGGGAATTTCAGATAAACAGTACAGAGAATAGGTCTGTCCTTCATGTGGCGCTTCGTGCTCCTAGAGATGCAGTCGTTAATAGTGATGGGAAGAATGTGGTTCCAGATGTTTGGAATGTGCTTGATAAGATCCAAAATTTCTCTGAAAGAGTCCGCAATGGTACCTGGGTAAGCATTTTATCTTTTTCTCTGGTCATATTTCATGTAATGAATTTCTTGATCGTAAAATTCAGACATTAATGCCAGGTCGGAGCCACGGGGAAACCATTGAAAGATGTTATTGCCATTGGCATTGGTGGTAGCTTCTTAGGTCCATTGTTTGTACACACTGCCCTTCAAACAGGTTGGCATGTTGTATCTTGTTCTCATCTACTTTTTTTTAACCCTGTTGTTGCCATCTTCTCTATTTGTACAATTACAATCTTTTATAACTATGGTGATCATAAGCAGCTTAATGTACCCTTAAAATTTTATTTTTGTAGATCCGGAGGCCATTAAATATGCAAGTGGACGCCAACTTCGATTGTAAGTGACAGCATGATCTTGTCAGTGTATAAATGAAATGATTTTACTTGCTATCGGCTACAAAAAGTTTACCATTGCATATTTCGCAGTTCATAAACTTTACGTTTGAAATTGGATTCCTTATCTTCAGCTTTAAATTATTAAGGATAGGAAAATTCATGCATTAGTTGAACTTATGTGGGATTTGCAGCCCATTGTATCATTTTCTGAGCTTTCTTTTAGTTTCTTCTTAATCTTTCATTTTCTTTGTGACACCCTAACTCCTTTTTAATTCTATGTGGATTACAGTCTAGCTAATGTGGATCCAATTGATGTCGCGAGGAATATTTCTGGCCTGAACCCTGAAACTACCTTAGGTTGATTACTTCTGTTCCTTTTTACAGCAATTTATGTCATTAAATTTTATGTCATCTTGAGCAAGACTTTTGCATGTGTAGTTGTGGTGGTCTCAAAGACATTTACAACAGCTGAGACTATGTTGAATGCTCGGACACTGAGGGAATGGATTTCATCTGCCTTGGGGTGAGTATCTCCTAATAGATCAACATGACTACTTAGCATTACAACATGAGTTTCTCTTGAGTTTCATCTGTTGTCTTTTTCCCATACGATGTTAAACGTAGTTTACCTCCGATTGAACTAATCTTTAAGATTTGAAATTTATCTGATATTGTTAGCAGATCACTTCCAAGCACTGAGTTTTTGTTTGTTGTCTACTCATATTCTGGAATTTACAAATTACCACTATTGTTAAACTTGAAGAATGGTTGTAAAATTCGCTCAAGACAGAATTTTTAATGAACCGTTTAAGAATCTGCTCAAGAATTAGTTTTAACCCTTCCCCGGCAATTCATCCAATCATTTTTCTTACTGTCTTCCAGGCCACAGGCAGTGGCAAAGCACATGGTTGCTGTTAGTACAAACCTTACGGTGAGACATTCTTCTTTGTATACTTTCCTTTTTCTTTGAAATGCATTTTAGCGCTGCATTGACGTTAACTTTGGATCAACCTCCTACTTCAATTCCTTATAATAACTTCCCAACTCTCCTGTTGCAGCTTGTGGAGAAGTTTGGCATTGATCCAGCTAATGCTTTTGCTTTTTGGGATTGGGTGGGAGGCCGATATAGTGGTAAGTGTTAATAAACTTTCAGAAATACCATTATCTGTGTCATCATATAACTGAATTTTTAATCTTTCTGCAGTTTGTAGTGCTGTTGGAGTGTTGCCTCTGTCTCTCCAATACGGTTTCTCTGTTGTTGAGAAGTACGGTAACTGATAGCTATATTTCCTCTATAATCTGAGTTGCTTTTCTTTTATAAAAAATAAAATGGGCGACCAAAGATTATGAACCTATGATTCACCACCACAAGTGAAATCTAAGGATAAAGTTGTTGTCCATGTTTGAGCTACTATCTTTAAGCAATTAGTCTAGGCGACTTAACTGCTCTATTCCCAAGATTAAAACACGGGCTGAGTTAAGAAACTCCCCACCTCATTTTTAAGTAATGTACCATCTGCTTGAGTAAAACTGTTGGCTGCAAGATTCATTGCTGCTTGCACATCCTTGTTTTTAACAGTCTTAAATCCTCTTCATGTCTTTAGTTCATTAGATGGTGAAAACATAAGACTTGACAATAAAGCAGTGAAATAGTCTATATTGAAAACCCGTTAGTCTAAATTGATGTATATATCCTTGGGGTGCAAATCTCGGGAAAAAAATTTCTGTGGAGTGCATACTTTCAATATATTTTGTTTTGAAGTTAGCCGTCTTTCTTTGGTTTGTCCAAAGTGTCAAACAAATGCTGATGTTGCTATTTTGGTTCTTTACAGGTTCCTGAAGGGAGCATGGAGTATTGATCAGCATTTCTATTCAGCACCTTTTGAAACAAATATTCCAGTATGTACTCAAACTTTTCTTTCCTTCTGCATACCTCAAAGTTTTAGAAAATATCATTGAATGGTGTTAGTGCCACTTGGGCTGAGGCTTGTCAGTATTAGAAGGATATCTCTTCAACCTAACCTTACCTCTTCTGTTGATTAGACACTGGTTCTTGTGGACTTGTATATTACTTTCACGTGTCAGAACCATTCAGGCTTATAAAATTGCCGTCACTTTCGAAATAACTTTGATTTTCTCATACATATCATGCACTTGCTTCAGGTTCTACTAGGGTTGTTGAGCGTATGGAATGTTTCATTCCTTGGATACCCAGCAAGAGTGAGTCCATTCTTGTCCAGACAAAGTTTATTTGACCAGTTGATTTGATAGTTTCTTCTTGTTCTTTTCATTGAGTGTCAACATTGAATGTAATCACTTTGTTTCAGGCCATTTTACCTTACTCTCAAGCGCTGGAAAAATTTGCACCCCACATTCAACAGGCACACTTGTGGATAATCCTTCAGCCTTGTATATTACAATGCTTTTCTTGACCCTTTGTTTACTTTTTATTTTCTTGACTTCAGGTCAGCATGGAGAGTAATGGCAAGGGAGTATCCATTGATGGTGTGCCACTTCCATATGAGACTGGTGAAATTGATTTCGGTGAACCTGGGACAAATGGTCAACACAGCTTTTACCAATTAATTCATCAGGTTGTGTTTTCACCATTATAAATGTTAATATTTAACTTTATTACGAGGGGAAATAGTAAAAGGTAAAAAAAGAGAGAGAGAGAGAGAGATAGAGGGAGAGATAGATATATAGGTGAAGGAATAAAGATACTGCTGATTTCACGCACGATATGCATGTCCAACATTACTGGTTAAGTGCAAGATGATTTGAGCTTTTTGATTTGATGGTCTGTTTACGTTACAATTAACTTCGTCAAGTTTTATTATCTTTAATTGTGAGATAGAAATTCTAATTTTACAATCTTGGAAATCTCAGGGTCGTGTCATTCCTTGTGATTTTATTGGTGTTGTCAAAAGTCAACAACCGGTATACTTGCAGGGTAATTAATATCTTTCAACTTTTTATTCCTTTTCAGTTGGAGGATCTTATTTGAGAGATTTTCCTAACTTGATGTTTGGTCAATTTTGAATTTGCAGGTGAAGTGGTGAGTAATCATGACGAGCTTATGTCGAACTTCTTTGCACAACCTGATGCCCTTGCATATGGAAAGGTAATAAGCAAGTTGTTTCTTTGGTTTGCACCATTTTGTGCTTCTCGTATCCATTTTGTATCAATTTTCACTTGAGAGTTGAATTTAACATGCCTGTAAAGCTCTTTTCTTTTCAGCAATTAATTGCTGGCCCTGTTTTTTTGGGGTTTTCTTTGAAATATGTAATGCTTTGATCAAAGGTGTAGATCATTTTCAATTTTATTTCTTATATTCTTCAAGCTAAATTCTATTACTATACCTGCTTGCAGACGCCAGAACAGTTGCTGATGGAAAATGTACCCGAGCATCTTGTTTCCCACAAGGTGATTTCTCTATTCTGAATTTTGATTTCTATCCTATGGTGTATGTGATTGTAGCCTTACAGTTATGTTAACTTCTGCAGACTTTTACCGGAAATCGACCTTCAATCAGCCTTCTTCTTCCCTCTCTGAATGCTTACAATATTGGGCAGGTTTGCAACTCCACTTTTAACAGTTTCAGTGATACAGTATTTGATAATGAATGTGTGCTTCATTGGTATTTTGCATCTCACTTCACAAATTGTCAAGGATGGCCTCCATACTAAAACATTTTGTTCTGAAGTAGTGTCCTAGCTGTTGTAGCGTGTCGTAACTATTACTGTTCTTGGACAACATCTTTTTAGCTATGCCAGTAACAGAAGACTGGTCTGGGGTGTTTTTAAGTCATCCCACATCTGCTTTAGGTTGCAATTGTGCAGCAATGAATTATTTTTTTAATTTCATTTTTAATCTTTTTTTGGGTGAAAGTAAATGAAATTAAATATGTTATTGACCAATCAACACGTTATCTTCCACAAACTAGATTAATGTGTTGTCATTTATTAGCATTTTTGTTGAAGTTGTAATGCTGTTCTTTACTTGAAGATTTTCTTTTTCTCCGCCAAAGTTTTGGTCACTCATGATATTTTTCTCCAGTTATTGGCCATCTATGAACACAGGATTGCTGTAGAAGGCTTCATATGGGGTATTAATTCATTTGACCAGTGGGGAGTGGAGTTGGGAAAGGTTTGCATCCCTTGATACCTTCTCCTTTCTTTTCCCTTAACTGATTATAAATATTGTGAAAGTTTCTCTCTTCCTGAACTCCTACACCACTGAAGAATTTTTTTACTATTATTTGTATTTATTTGCTTAAAAAATTTCTTGCTTAACTCTACAGTCAATGTAACCATGAATTACCAACTTTGTGAATGCAGTCTCTCGCCTCTCAAGTCAGAAAACAACTCCATGCTTCCCGCAGGAAAGGAGAATCAATCCAGGGTTTCAATTTCAGTACTACCACGCTGCTTTCAAAATACCTCAAAGTGAGCAAATACACAAATGTGAACTTCATACAACAAATAGAGAGTTTGGTTCCATGTTCTAACTTTTTAATTTTGTTTTCCTTTGTTTTTGCAGGCAAGTTCTGATGTTCCATCTGACCCGTCCACTGTGCTACCAAAGATGTAATGGCATCTTGGTTGGTGCGGAATTTTGGTATTCATGATGGATAATCAAAGGGATAATACATAGTTGTGAATTATACCATATAATGTAATCATAAATTGGCACCTGGAGGTTTCTGTGATTTCTTAATAAGTTAATATCAATCCGGAAACTCTGGATATTTTAATTGTGTTTATGGCGTCCTAATAAACTAGTAGACAGTTGGAATAAATGTATTTTTAGTTTCTCTCGTGCTTAATAAAAGATATCTGGTTGGAGTTTTTGTACAATTAGCAGCTGACCTTAGATTGATTAACCATTGAGTACACCCTTGGCAAAACAATTACACTTGCCTAGCTGATTAACTGATCATCATTTGATATTGATGACGAATACTAAAAAGTCCGGCTCTGGTGTAATAATCATGCTGCCGATGTGATAGTATGGAAACTGCGATATTCCCTTCCTTCCAACGTTTTCTTCTTTTAGCCTGTTGCCCTAATCGGAAAATTTCACTGGGGAACTTCATATAGACTCGGTGTCATTTATAAAACTGTTCAGTTCCATAGATACTGGATTTTGATGCAGAGGATGGCAGGAAAGGTCAATTAGAGCTGCAGACGATAGTTTGATCTTTCAATCAAATCTCACAACTCCGCAGAGCTTTGTAAAGACTCGCTTAATAAAGATTTTGGTCAACCAAAATGTTAACCCTTGAAGGTAAATATGGTGCATCGGCTGTGATGACATCTAAGATTGAAGCAAAGTAATAGCAAGCTGCAGATTCCGGAGATTCGAGTGTTTTGCAAGGAAACAGGCATGTACTAACAGGGCTAAAGTCAATCCTTCTGCCTAAATCAAATTTTTTGACACCAAATTCTCGGTCAGAATACAAAATGTCAACATGTTGTTTCTTCATTCAGTTTTCAGATTTCATTCTTCTCTTTACTTTGTAACTTACATCCTCGGCTCTTTCCAAGTTTTGATCTCTTAGCTTCCGTCTGTGGAATGAAAAAGAAAATGGCTTCTTTATCTGAACTACCTCCACCTCTTTCGTGCATCGGCATTGTTGCTATAATAATCGTGTATCTGTTGATCTGCTATCTTGTGATCGATTTTACAGTTCACGACGAGAACAGAAGCGGTGATATGGATCACGGCTTATTATTATCCGAGGAAGTGTTGCAGAACATCACTTATTTCTACAACCATAATTTGGGGCATGATACCTGCGCCATATGCTTGGATTATCTGCAGAATGGTGAATTGTGTAGAGTTCTTCCAGCCTGCAATCATGTCTTCCATGCCGAATGCCTTGATCCTTGGTTGGCCAAACAGTTGACGTGTCCTACTTGCCGAGCACCCTTTGAAACTGAGCCACGTTACTACTTCTGATGAAGAACTCCATTGAGATATCATTTTGTAATCAACAAAAACTCATGTTTCATCAAGTTCTATCTGGTTAGAAATGGTTATGAGCTCATATCTGTTTTTATGTTATGATTAGCATTTTCATCTTCTTTGTAATTCCCTTTCAATGACACATAATTTAGGACAATTTAACATTCCAACGTTGTAATTTGAATTACCAGAAAAAAGAACATTGCATAGTAAAGAAGAATTGGCATTCAATTGAAAATCCAGTAGATGAACAATCCACCCCAGCAGGAAAGAGAAACTCCCAAATCTTAACTGCCCAAATTACATCCCACAGCTAAACTAGCTACTACAATTTATACTACTACTGGAACTCTGGAACTTAATTTAAGGAGCTTTAAACGCCGGTGGATCCAAACCCGCCGGAGCCTCTCACGGTAGCATCCAGATCATCAACTTCTTCCACTTCTGGAGTCACAATTCTCTCAATAATCAGCTGCGCAATCCGATCACCGGCCTTGACCTCGAAATCAGCGTCGGAATGGTTGAACAGAATCACTCCGACTGGGCCCCGGTAATCCGCATCAATTACTCCAGCCCCGACATCAATTGAATGCTTCCACGCCAATCCCGACCGTGGGGCTATAATCAAAATAATCGACAAACGTTAAACAACAGAATCTAAACACCATCAAAAGGAATCTAGGAACCTATAATTCCTTACCAACACGGGCATAAGTTCCTTCCGGCACAGCGATGCTTAAATCAGTCGGAACCAAAGCTTTCCCACGGGCTGGAACTTTAGTATCAACAGCGCTACCCAAAAAAAGACAAAAAAAAACCCACCAAAAAAAAAGTATAATTCACGAAATTAAGGCTGCTTGATTTACAAACGTTAAGGAAGCATATAATGAAGTACCTGGAGAGATCATAACCGGCGGAGTGAGGAGAGCCTCTGGAGGGCAAAATCGCCTTGTCGGAGAGCTTCTTGACCCGGAAAAAGGGACCGGCAGCGGATTGGGCAGACCCGTTTTCATGGTGGACTTTCTGGATTTTGGGGATGGGTTCTTGCACTTCGGAGATAATGTTTTGATGGTTCATTTCTTCGGCCATGGCTAAGGTAACCAAGGATTTCAGAGGGAATTTGATTTGTGGGCTGACTGGAGTAGATGAGGGTTTGTTGAAGTGGAGATGAAAATGGGAGAGATTATATAGAGACGGATTCGCCTGAAAATCGGGAGTGGGTCTAATGGCGCCAAGAATTCCCGCCATTCTGATTTCGCTTTTGTTAGTCGATATCTGTGCAAAATCAATGCTTAAATAAATTATTACTCGATGGTAAGAATTATTGCACTTTGAGTTTGAGCTGGTATATTAGTATCCGCAAAGCAAAAAATTGTAACGTCAAATGTTGAATAATTTATCTTATTATTGAAGAGCTTATCTTAATGAGACAAAATCTATTCACAAAATAAAAGACTTCCTTCATGAACTAATTACTGTATTCTGTTTTTCTTCATTCTCTTCAGATGAGAAACGATACGTGAATACTTCACATATGCAGGTTATAAATTTGAATGTGATTGCAAATTAGATGGGCCAAACACAAACCCTAGTATAAGAAATTCTATATTTCCTATAATTTTAGCTAAGCAAATTGCGTGGGTTATGGTTGGATGGGAAAAGAAGGTTTATGAATGATACGAGTATAAAAGAGTGTTGTTCAGATACATAACTACAACCAAATACATTCCCTAACTAGTGAAAAAAACAGGGGTTATATCGAATTGGACCATATTAAGTGAATACCATGTGCTAAAACTTTGTTTGATAATACAAAAATTTAATAGGAAATCTCACGAGGTGATGAAGAGTCCAATGAGATATTTGCCCATCAATACAAATTTGCGTACAAGACGAGAGGCTCTCGTCTTATAACTAATATCTTTTTATTTATCAATGTGATAATATAATGAATTATCGATAATCTTATATCAAATGTTCTATTCGAAATAATAAATCTCTCATAGAAACACGACCATGTTGAAAAACCCCATGAATGTTAAGCGTTCGATGAACTAATCCTTCAAAAATATTTGTTGAGATCGTAAAAAATGAAAACGAAAAAAAATATTAGATGCGAAACATGGAGGACTAATTGTCGCAATAAACCTTTTCTCCCCCCGTGTTTTGAGTTTGACATCTGTAACGAAAAACTTGGATAACGAACGCTTTTAGTTCAGAGAATCGGAAAAGGATAACGTTTTCTGTAATGATGATGAGGTGAACCCCAAGTGACTCACTAAAACGTAAGCCGCAACAGAAAAACTCGTTACGCTACAAACTCAATTAGAAGTACAGTAATGAATAATAAATATATAAAGATATTGTATTTTTATTTTTTTGCTCCAAATTATCCTCCCAGTTTGCCCTTGCCCTTATATTCCCCCCCATCAGCGTTTTGCTTTTTCCCCACCTTCAAGCAGTCAGTCAAATTGTTGAGCAGCAGCAGCAGCCAAAAAAGGGTTTTCTTTCCGCCTCCGTCACTGAGCTTCAGATTTTTTTAAATTCGATTTCTCTATCTCCCTCTATTTGTTCCCTTCGATCATCAATGGCCGATAAGACCGATTTCGATTCTCGCCAACCTCCTCAGATCTCCAAAGGTCTCCCCCATTTACCATTTTTATTTTTTTGGTTGGCAATCCTGTTTTTGGATATTCATATATATTTTTTTCCTTTTTGGTTCTGTTTTTCGTTGTTTATTTGTGGTTGATTGGGGCATTCTCGAAGCTGTGTTTCTTACGCTAGATTGACGCCACGATTGTATTCGTTTGGCACAAAGCTTCAATACTGGGTTTAGGGTTTTTGATTCGAACGGTAAAAGATTGTTCTTTTTAATCGAGATGGTTCGATGATTGAAAGGAATGTTGACGCTTGGCATTCTGCGTGTTGGTTTTTTCGACTCCGGTTTTCTTTTTTTTTTTTTTTTTGGGTTTTTGTTTCATGGGGAGTTGCCAGATATTTCATCTGATGGTCAAACTACTTTTGGTTCTGAAGCTGTATACGTGGACGATATGCATGTAATATTGATTTTTTTTATTTGTCATAAAGCTGTCCAAGATATTATTTGCCCTTTTTTGGGTTGGAGATATGTTTAAAGGTTTACGTTATAGTTTAAACACAGAAGAATATCTATATGGGATTGATGCATTTTAGGTTTCTTCTAGTTTTATTTAAGTGCGGTGGCTCTGGACTCATTCCTGTGAATGACCAATTGTTGGTGAACTCTTAGGGAGATGATACACTTGCAACTTTAGATATTGTTTTCCACCGTAAATACTGACTAACCAAGACATTTTGGAGTCGGATTTGTAGTATTTTGGTTGTTGCTAGCACTGGAAGATGTGTTATTGGTTCTCTTGTCTGGAGTGTGAAAAGTTTTTCTTGTGATGGGTAAGGATCTGTGTGTCTGTTAGTATGCACTTTTTGAGAATATGAACTTTCTATTGAATTTGGAGTGCAACATCAGCGTAAAGTTGTGGTGCTTGGTTAGAAATTGCAGATTCCAGGTTTCATCATTTGTAACCATCGATCATTGTGGATTTTCATTATGGTTATAGAATAATGTTGTTGATTATGTTAGCACGTGTGATTTAGTTTGTTCTCAGCTTCTAGATTAATTCGTGATTGCAGATGGGTCCTTGAAACTTCATATAGTATAGTACTCTAGAAGTGTCATTCTGGACGTTCTCGTTTCCTAAGAATGAAGAAAATTCATATGTCTCCTTAGATATAGTGAAATATTAATTATGTCCCGATGGTATGGAATTACGAATCCGTAGATGTCATCAATAAAAAATGTTTGTTAGCTTTCTTCAACTCTGATTTTATCAGTATCAGTCAAAACCCTTAGTCTTGTGTGTTTATCATAGCATTTTTATTTTTTTATTACTATTTGATAGCCCTTTTTCCTGTCTGTAGACGGGCACGTGTCCGAGAGTCCCATTCCGCTTTCACCTCAGTGGCTTCTACCCAAGTCGGGAGAGATTAAGAGTGGGTTGACTGGGGTATGTTTTCTGAACATTTTGTGAGATAGTTTCTTGGCAAAGTAATTTTTCATTTGAGTTTTTGATAATATTTTGAAAAACTTTTATTTTGATAAGGATTTCAATTTATAGCTGTTCATAATTTAATGTTGCATGCTTTTACTTTAAACTTTATATTTTTGTTGCAGGAGAACCATATCAGCCTTCACCCTGGTTTTTCCAGTCGTTCAGATATCATGAAATCACCTGGGCTTAACGAGGAAGCACGTGACAGCAATAAGAAGAGAGATGTTTTCAGGCCATCTGTCTTAGATATGGATTCTGGTCGGCGCGAGCGTTGGCGAGATGAAGAGAGAGAGACCAATTCTGCTGTTCGGAAGGACAGGTGGAGGGAGGGTGATAAAGAACCCACTGAAAATCGCAGAACTGATCGCTGGACTGACTCATCTGGGAAATATTATGGGGAAGCACGCCGTGGGCAAAACGATCGATGGACAGATTCTGGGAACAAGGAAACAAGCAACGAACCACGGAGGGAGAACAAGTGGAATTCGCGCTGGGGCCCTGATGACAAGGAGTCGGATAATCTGCGTGAGAAGTGGGCAGATTCCAGCAAAGATCCAGACCTGGAGAAAAGTGCATCCCATGTTTCCTACCATGGAAGGGATGAAAAGGAGGGTGATCATTACCGTCCTTGGCGATTAAACTCCTCTCAAAGTCGAGGAAGGGCAGACCCTCCCCCTCATTATACTCCTCCAACTCCAAACAGACAAGCTCCTGTGTTTACACATGGACGGGGACGTGGAGAAACCACTCCTACCTTTTCTCTTGGTAGGGGGCGAGTCAATCCTGCAAGTAATGCTTACACTCAGTTGCATTCAGTTGGATCACTGTCTGAAAAAGGTGAAACTCTCAATGGAGAGTCATTACCTTGGAGATACAGCCGTACAAAGCTACTTGATCTCTACAGGACTACCGACACGAGGTTATCTGACAAGTTACTGACAGAGTTGACACAAGTACCTTCACTTACACAAGAAGACGCTTTAGAACCTCTTGCGCTCTGTTCACCCACTTCCGAAGAATTGGTATTTTTCAGTTTCTCAATTTTTCTTTTTTCCAAAACCTGATCGTTATTATTTTAATTGTTTTGAATCCTGTGGCTTCTGGAATAGATGATCTTGAAAGGAATTGACAAAGGAGATGTTGTCGGTAGTGGTGCACCGCAAGTTACTAGAGATGGGTCTATGGGAAGGAATTCGTCTGATTTTTTGCAGTCAAGACGTAACAAGCTAGGTATAATTTGTAATCAATACCTTCTGTGATGGATGTTAGTCAGAATTTTGTTGCTTGACATTATGCTTTAATTAAATTTATGTGGTACAATTTTCCTTGACAGGCCCTGGAGATGATTTACCACTTGATGCTAATGATCCCAAGGACAAGGCCTTGGAAACTGCTGGCGGTGGTTCAAATTATACAGAGCACTTGTCTTATGATCCTCGAGTGCAGTCTCACGGTTTCCCTTCAAAACATGACCCTGGCCAGGAGCATAATAAGTATCCTGACCACAGATTGAGTTCGGAAGGTATATTCTATAGATAAAAGTGTTGGTACTTTATTTGGCTAATTTTGTGATTATTTGGGTAATTATTAGTGCAAACTTTAAAATTCAGTGAAGTTTTTTTTTTTGTTTTTGTTATTTTTTTCATTTTCTTAACTGATGTTCAAAGGAAATATGTTTACTGATATTCATCGTGATTTTGAGCACTGGACCACTAAGCTTTTTACGGTTTTTTGCTCAAGCCTTATGTTTCTGGTGAATTTATATGCTGGGATCACGGCCTTTTTTTCGTTCTTTTTGTTTTTAAATAATATGTTACTGTAGTTTTTAGTTTTGTAATGTCCTGGGGTGAAAGAATAATTTAATGTTTTCATTCACAGCTGCCAGAGATGATGGCACCTACAGGAAGCATAATAATGTGCCTGTTAACGCTGAGGAAACAATGCACGGACATTCATCCATTGGAGGTCCATGGCGGTCATCTTCATTCGGTGAACGCTTGCATTCAGTCGTGCAAGATAGTAGAGAGTTACCAGGGCCTGTCAGTTCGAGGGCCCCTGATGTTGGTTGGTCAGATCCTCAGAAAGATATGAATACCGAGTGGGGTAAGCGTGTCGCTGATCAATCTTACGCAAGATCGGATGGACCCAACTGGCGAATTGGTGAGGAGCATGTTTTGAGGAGACAACCATCTGCAATCTTTGAGAAAGAACCAGATATACAGAAAGCTATACCACAATCTCCTGAAGACCTCGTGCTTTATTATAAAGATCCACAAGGAGCAATTCAAGGTCCTTTTAGAGGGAGTGACATTATTGGATGGTTTGAAGCAGGTTATTTTGGCATAGACTTATTGGTGCGGTTAGCAGGGTCACCACCTGACTCACCCTTTTGTTTGCTTGGAGATGTTATGCCGCACCTACGTGCTAAAGTTCGGCCTCCCCCTGGATTCAGTGCAGCCAAACAGAATGAAATTGCCGATGCATCTAGTAGGTTCAACTTCAGCAGCTTTGGAGTACCTCGAGCTGATCCAAGTGAGATAGACATGATGCAGAATGAATCAAGGTATAAGCATAATTCAGCAACAGAAGCAGAAAACAGATTCCTGGAGTCTCTGATGAATGGCAATATGAGTGGTTTCCCTCTAGAGAAGTCTATACCATCTGAAGGTATTTTTGTTTCTCTAGGTAGACTCTCTCGTATATGTGTGTATACATATAATACTGTTTCATGTTTTCACTGTTTTCCAGTTTGGTGCGATGATTTTTTTTTTCTGCTACTATTCTCATGAGAAAAATATGCCTGCAGGTATAAGAGGATATCTTGGAAGCAATACTAATACTACGTTAGGAGCTGAAAGTGCAGATAATGCATACCTCCTGGCTAAAAAGGTGAGTCTTGAGAGGCAGAGATCTCTTCCCAATCCCTACCCATGGCCTGTGAGAGAAACTGTTCCTCATTTTCCAGCCTCAGAAATTGCCCAAGACTCTACATTGCCACATTCAAGACTTCTTCCCTCGTTGGCTGACAATGCGCGGCCGCAGTTAGCTCCTCAAAATGTAGATTTGATGTCCATCCTTCAAGGTTTACCTGAAAGATCTAATGTTGGTCTTAATAATGGACCGACTGGTTGGTCTAATTTTTCAGCTCAAGCGGGGTTGGACCCACTGCAGGAAAAGTTGGATATCCATCAAGCTCAAAACTTTCCGCCACATGCTGCTTATGGAATGCAACAACAAAGGCTACAACCTCAAGCAAATTTGTTGGGCAATGTAATGGATAATACGTCAGGCATATTTGGTCCCGATAAACTTATATCTCCTGCTCTTTCCCAAGATCCACAACTTTTGAATTTGCTGCAACAACGCCAATTACAGCAGTCTCAGACGCCTGCTTCATTGCAGCAACTGAATCTATTGGATAGGATGTTGTTGCTTAAGCATCAACAAAAACAGGAGGAGCAACAGCTGCTATTGCGACAGCAAAAGGAATTGTTGTCGCAGGTGCTTTCTGAGCAGAATCCACATCAGAGACTTGGTGAAACCCCTTATGGGCAGTTACAAACTGCTCCAGCTGCTATGGCTCCCAGTGATCATTCTCAGTTCCAGCCATCCCATGAGCTGTTTAAAGTTGGTTCACAGTTGCAGGTTCCTAATTTGCAAGAAGAGCGTGCTTCTAGCTTTGGTCAGACTCCAAGTGTTACTCGTGATATGATTCAAAGTGTTGGTGCTGAAACCTCTAGAATGCCTTTGCCTCATGAAGTGTTTGGAGAAGCTGTTCATCATAGTGGCTGGGATCATAATCTATCAGAACATTTCGGAAGACCCGAGCAGAAGACTTCAAGCAGCATGAATGATTTATTATCACCGCTAGGATTGTTGAAAAACTACCAACCAGAGATGTCACTTCAAACCAACAACCCTGAGTTAACATTCAATGCTGCGCTATCCTCTCCTACTGGGGAACATTTGGAATTATCCATGACTATGCCTCCGGTGGCAACTGGCAGTGATGCAAAAGTTTTATCAGTCCCGGAGCAGGTAGAAGAATCCAGATTGCTGTCGGATGGGACACAAGCTGAGGCAATCCAGAGCACAAATGAATCTATAGTGGCCAAGGAAGTAAAGAATGTAGAATCTCGTGAGATCAAGAAGTCTGATAAGAAATCTAAGAAGCAGAAGTCTGCTAAGGCCTCAGCTGATAAAGGCACTAAGATGCAGGACTTGAAGCCAGCTGACATTGAAGGCACCAACTTTTCTGTTGAAAAACTTGATAGACAGAGTCTCCCTGAAGAGCAGAAGGCACTGTCCCCACCCACTTCACAAGTTGATGGCTTAACTCTTGATGAAAAGAACCAACTTGGACAGGTTGGGTCAAATACACTGCCGAACAATATTCAAGTGCCTGCAGGACGGGCTTGGAAGCCTGCTCCTGGTTTCAAGCCTAAGTCATTATTAGAAATTCAACTAGAAGAACAGAGTAGAGCCCAGAAAGAAATTGCAGTTCCTGAACCAGTAACATCTTTAAGTTCCTCAAATATCCTCACACCTTGGGCTGGGGTGGTTGCAAATGTAGATTCGAAGTCATTGAGAGAAACTAGTGACTTAAATCCTGGGAAGTTAGACAGTTCAGTAAATCAGAGAAGCAGGAAAAGCCAACTGCATGATTTGTTACAGGATACAGCTGTGGCGAAGTCAAGTGAGAAAGAAACAGAGAATGATGGCTTCTCTTATGCTTCTGTTGCAAGCTCTCAACCTGAGGCAATTGAGGATAATAACTTTATTGAGGCAAAAGATACAAAGAAGAGTCGTAAAAAGTCTGCCAAAAGTAAGAATGCTGGGTCAAAGGCTTCAATTATGTCCATCCCTGATGTCCCTGTGGGCTCGAGTCCTCTTGACAAAAACAAGAGTTTGCGGACATTGCAGCAAGACAAGGAGGTATTACCTGCAATTCCTTCAGGCCCTTCCTTGGGGGATTTTGTTGTCTGGAAGGGTGATACGGTGAATTCTGCTCCACCCCCTGCATGGTCTACTGACTCTGGAAAGGTACCTAAACCAACATCATTGAGGGACATTCTAAAGGAACAGGGGAAGAAGTCCACTTCTCAGCACATCCCTGTGCCAAGTGCACAGAAGCCTGCAGCAACTCAACCTTCACGAGGTGGTGGTTCTTCATGGTCAACTTCTGGGGCTTCACCGGGAAAGGCTGCATCCCCTATCCAGATCAATAGTCAAGTTTCTCTCTCAAAACATAAAGCTGATGATGATTTGTTCTGGGGTCCTGCGGATCAACCCAAACAAGAGACCAAGCTGTATGATCCTCCATCTTACTTTATCATTTTCAGCTTTGTTGTTTTGAATTTTCATATGCAGTCATGTCAACTGTTGCCTGTTTTTTTTGCCAACTTTTATTGCTCTATCAAGTTTCCATTTATTATTGACATTATTTTAATTTTTTTGCATTGACGCATATGCCTTTCTGTGTTCTTGAACGTTCTCTTTTTATTTTTCTTTTCAAAGAATATGGGAAGGTTTTAGCTGCAGTAAATTAGCATTTCTTTGTACTCAAGGCATAATTTTTCTTTTTTCTTTTGGTTGGTGGCTTAGTTTGGCCTTTTTAACGTTTCTAGTATCTTCTGTATATTGCCATTGGACATGAAATTTGTGTACAATTTGAATTATCGTTTCTTTGCACTTAAAAGGCATACTTTTTCTTTTTTCTTTTGGTTGGTGGTTTACTTTGGCCTTTTAATGTTTCTAGTATCTTTAGTATATTGCCATTGGACATGAAATTTATGTACAATTCGAATTTTGTTGGGTGGTTGATTGACTGATTGAACCAGAATGGTAAGGGAGGTCCTCGTGTGCATGTATACTATTCTTAGGGCAAATATTTCAAGATGTGTATGGATGCTTTATTACAAGAGTTATTTTCGGATTTCCTTGTGTTTACTTTTTATTTTCAGTATCTAAAATTCTTACAGAGATTCCAGATGCTTAACACCTTTTATGTGTGTGGGTGTGTGTATGTGTTTTTTAACACCTTTTTTTGTTGGTAACTCTGGTCGTGATAGTTTCTGAGGTTTAGTCTTGTGGGTAATAATGGAAATAACCTCCCAATGGTTTTTATTCCATGTTAAGTTTGATGAAAGAATTTGTATGTAATAGTGAGTCAGATTTGGAAATGATTTTGGCCCCTCAAGCTCATGTTCGATATTCTCTGGTTAACTTCATTCTTCTGGTTTTTGTCGGTGAGGAAAGGATTGGAAATTGTTATTTGTTGACTTGATGAAATTGTTTTAAACATTTAGTTGACCAGGGCTCTTTGTTTCTGGGACTCATATTGAGCACTAGAGCTGTAAATCTACAATCGCCTTAAATAATCGATCACATAGTTCATTTTCATCATGGGCAGGTCTGATTTTCCTCAGCTCGGAAGCAAAAGCACCACATCAAAAGCAGTACCTAGTGTGGCATTAAGCCGACAGAAGTCAAGCAGTGGAAAGCCGATGGAACATTCATCTGCTTCTAATTTAAGTACTAATTTATCTATTAAGGGAAAGAAGGATTCATCGACAAAATATACAGGTATGGATGTTTTTATTTTTTTGTTTATTCCTTTGATTAGTGGCCCTCAGCTGAAAGAAGTTTATTGGAATCTCTTGGCAGAGGCTATGGATTTTAGGGAGTGGTGCGAAAATGAGTGCATCAGGCTTATCAAGACAAAAGGTACTTTATGGTCTAAATGCTTCTGCTTGCGAATTTTGTTAGTACTGGTCACGGGTTCGAGTCACGTCGGGGGTAAGTGGGGAACCACTATTAATTAATCCTCTTTAAAAGAAAAAGATAAAAAAATGTCATTATTGCCAATTAAACGTCAGAATTGCATAGCCAGGGAAAATTTCCCCTCCTCCCTTGGGAAATTCAACATATTTGCATGGACGAACAATTTCGTGCCTGCTCCTGCTTTCTGACTATTGCTGCTCTAGTTTTATGTGATTACTGGATCATTGTAGGTAGGTGGGGTAGGAGTGAGGGGATAGGATGTTATGCATCCTTGGGAATATTGGAAAGATTATTGCATTGTTCTGTTACCTCAGAAGTCTAGTGGCTCACTAATGGGTTGATGCATTTATGATATCTACAATTTCAAAGTAGTTTTCGCAGCATGAGTGTAGAAATCTATAATATTTTGTAATTTCTCTGACACTCCACCATAATTGCAGATACAAGTTTCCTGGAATATTGTTTGAAGCAATCTAGACAAGAGGCTGAAACACTTCTGATTGAAAATCTTGGCTCATTTGATCCGGATCATGAATTCATTGACAAGTTCCTTAACTATAAGGATCTCCTTCCCGCTGATGTCCTTGAAATTGCCTTCCAAAGTCGGAATGATCGAAGGGTCGCCGGTTCAGGTGCTAGAGAGGTGATTTCTGACAATGGTGGTTTCAGGGATTCAGATCAGAGCAGTGCAACTGCTGGTGAAGGTTCTGCCAAGGGTAAGAAGAAGGCAAAGAAAGGCAAGAAGGTAAGTCCTTCGGTGTTGGGATTCAATGTAGTTAGCAACAGGATCATGATGGGAGAGATTCAAACGGTGGAAGATTGAGCATGCCATGGATGAGTTGTACATATATCTACGAGGAGACTGTAAATTCAACTGTTTTAGGAGTTTTTGTTCTCTATAGAGAGATGCAGCAGTTCTAGTAATCTGCTCAAGCAATTTTGTGAAGTTATTCTCAGCTATCAATTATCCTTGTCAGAAAAAAAAATATAAACTCAGTCAGTGCCCCAAAAGGTGGCCTGTTCTTGTACCTCTTTAAAATTGTCTACTTCTCCGTATTGTATACTGCAAAATACTCCAATTTTGCTTTAGGGTTGAATGCCTGTTCTTCGGAGATCCTCTCGACCCAAAATCAGTTTTCCTGATGTCCTGAGGGGGTATCGGCATTGGATTTACCGCTTATTATTATGTGGAAAATATTGCATACATTTTGTTTTCATAGTAGAGCATCATTTATCAAAACCAATTATTAAGAATCCATCTTGTTACGATTGCTGTAATAAGCAAACGGTTCCAACAAGATTTGGGTGAGGAACTCTAAAACTACAGTGAGTTAATTTGTTTGGGCATCATTTATGAAAACGATTTCCTCTGACAGCCGCTACATAGCTTCTTCCTTCATACATAGATCTCATTTACAAGACAATGCAAGGAGGCCACATCCCACAAATTCACATTGTGGAGGGCAAAAAAGTTACAAATCCATGATATTGACAACTGGATTCCTTTGAGTGAAAATAGACAAATGGTTTGCATACAAGTTGCAACACATATCCGTTGACCAAACCACTGGTAGTAGCTAACAGGATCTAGCTAACAGTTCAGACGACAAAACCCATGAAGCTAGGAGGCTGTTTAGAAGATGATGTGTTTCTTTATGTTCCTAACTTCACAGGTCACTGGTCAGTTCAAGATGAACACATAAAAAATATGTCGGTCCTATCATGTGTCATATGGCAGCTCTGATGTCTAACTTGCTCTGCAAGGGAAATACATGAACAATACGGCATTCCTTGCCAATAGTGTGAAACAACAAGTGGAATGAAAGCCAAGTAAATAATAGATCCAAACCGCAAATGCTGGTATAACATTAACTGAGTAGCTCATTCAGTGAACTTCACTGAGCCGGGCCAGGAGCAAGTGATCAGACTCTCATGAACTAGCAGCCCAAGGAGCAAGAGTTAATATTAAATCCACATTTCCGGCAGAGAAGCATTAGCAATGCCTAGAGGCTGTTAACTATGTCATCTCAAGGGGGTTTTGATGATTTTGACATCCTAATAGAAGGCCGACTGCTAGTCAAAACACCAGCAATTGGAAGTTGATAGTCAAGCTATGTTAGTAGAATCAGAGATTCATTTTCTCAAATTCAACGTTTTTTTTTAGAGATGAAGTAATAACTAGCAACGAACCAGTAACTTCTGCACATCATATGCAGATAGAATAACTAGCAACGAACCAGTAACTTCTGCACATCATATGCAGATAGAATAACTAGCAACGAACCAGTAACTTCTGTTAGTCAACTAGACAATTATTTCTATCCTATTCCTGCCAAGATAATTTGTACACAAACAGTTTTAAGATAAAATCTGTATCTCTTAGTTTTGCAGCTAATCGTTTAATTAGATAGCATTGGTTTGAGCAATAAAGAATGATAATAACTGGAACTATAACTCCATTCTGAAAATAGGACTGTTATTCTCTTATCTCCATCCCAAACATATATGAGTACGGCAGATGCAGCAATAGAAAGTAGCAGGAGACAGGAGGACCAGAGAAAATAAGTTGGAATCTAACTTAACAATTAGCTAAACTGGATTCACGGAAATAATGCAAAATTATTGCGCATAGAACTATTAAAAGCAAACAAAAAAGGAGAAAACACAAATTCAAGAACAAAGTTCACACCGAGAGATTTTAAAGGTGAACCTTGTATAACTTTTGTATAGTTACAGAACCTTCTATTTGGCTGGTTCAGTAATCTGAAGTTTTGCATTATAAACTTAGCGTACATTCTTGATCTTGCAGTCCGTAGGTCTTCACCCAAACGCGAAAAAGTTGCACGATCTGATCATAACTGGCCTTATGTCTTTGCTAGTTGCCGAGGTTGTTTCGCCTCTCTATTGGATTTGCTGTAGGAGGAAAATTTGTGTAAGAACACTTCATAACCAGTTATTTGCAGTCCTTGTGCTAAATTAAGGCAGTTAGATGGTCTTGAGAATCACCAAAATCAAAATGCATAGTTGAAGGCCACCAATCTTTTAATTAACTATCAAGCACCGTATCCCTAGAATCCTGATCAATTGCTTGGTGTGGAGCACTAATTGCCAAGTTATTTCAAATTGTATGACGGTTGAAAGTTGAAACCATACCACACCAAATTCAAACCAAAAAGTCCTAAACTTTTAGAAACTTTATTGAGATGCACCACAAAATCAACCAAAATGGAGTATCAACAATCTGAAAAAGGTATGCTGTTTGACCATGGATATAAGAACGATTCACAAAGCAATATTGCAAGAAGCACACATGCGAATTTCATATAGCAAAAAACCATAATTTCCACAAGATCAAGAAGTATTCAACAGTATGAATCATCTTGATATGTGCTAATCTTTCATGGGACAAACTATGTTTCTCTGACAAAAAAATGGTTGAAACAACACATCACGTATAATATCCAGAAAAGAATTCCCAAATACCACAATAGCACAAGGAAAAAGCAACAGACGCAAAATAAAATAAAAACTACCTGGATTTGGTTGTAGTTGGCTCAGGTTCATGTTTGAGAGCTGAGCGCACCAAAGACATCTTGGCAATCTCCGAAATGGCATTGTTTCGGATGTTTGTGTCTCCACTGGTCAAGTCCTCATAAGCTGCCTCAAAAGCTTCTCGCCAGAATAGAGGCAACCTTGCATTCTTGCTCTGAGTGTAAACCTCCCACATGTGCCTCACCAGCTTCTCCCTTTCCTCCACTTCCTACATATTATACAAACACCCATCACTGTACTGTAAATTATTCTCCTCCAAATAAACCAAACCACCAACAAACACACAAAAGACAAACACTTGGGACTTCTCCCAATATTAAGCAAAACCCATATGCATTCTACAGTTCTCACAAGAAATCCGACTTCAAGCAGCTCACTTTGGGACCAGAACCTTATTAGCCCGGTTAAATTTAATAGATCAAGTTTCATTTGCCAGTAAGTAAAACAGGTCACTTCACAGTCCACAATGTACCCAATAATTCCTCATCCTAGATTAATCCAAACAAAAATAAAAAATGGATTAAACTGACTGGAAACTAGGGAATAAGCTTTGTGGGTACCAGAATATCAAGGTCACGGTGCATAGGCGAGTCAAGATCATCGGAGCCATGGGTGAGGTGTCCCGCCGACCATTTTAGAGTGACTGAGCCGGTGAACATTGACCAGAATGCAAGTAGAAGAATTGCAGCCAAAGCCCAGAATTTATACTTGCCTCTACCACCAAATAATCCAGCTTCTGATGATGAGCCCTCTTTCTTATTGGCTGCTGTGCCACCATTTGCTGAAGTTGTCTGTGCTTCCTCGTCTTTCATTTCTGAATCTCCTTAGCCTCTCGGTCTTTCCTTAATCTTGTCAAAAATAGGAACTTTGAAGCTACTGATACTATATGACTAAGCTTAAGTTATCAAATCAGAAGTATATATAATTAGTTGGGGGAACAGATTGGTTCTTCTGGTCGGGTTTTGTTGCGTGTTTTCTGTTCGCAATAGTATACGTGAGTGTCAAATCTGGTAAAAAGGAAGTGTTGAAAAGGAGAGAATAAATCCTATGTATCGCGAAGCATCATATTAATTGCATAACAGTGTGAATGTGAATAAAACACCGACTAAACTGTTGAGGAAGGGTATTGGGGTCCAGCAGTACTTTTGGTGCTACTATTTTTATATTTTAGTTCTTAATTATTTGGAGTATAATTATCATTTTTTTTTTTTTGGAAAATTCAACAGTTCAATACGCACACACACATTTTAATGGTAAATGCTTGTGACCTCTAATTTTTTTCTTTTTTTTTTTGGTACAACTTGTGAACTCTAATTGATAGTTCAACAATCATTGTTCCTCAGTAACTCAGCGGTAGAACGGTCGTCTGTTAACCGATTGATAATAGGTTTGAATCCTACTTGGGTGGCCATTTAGTACATGGTCCATAGGATGGTTGAATGAATAAGAGTTCCCTGAAGCGCTATCTACAGGGAGCGGGACATACCGCTTCACCGATATGAGGGAAGTCTCTTGATCCAAGTGTATCTTGTATTTACCATGGATTATTCGGTATGCTCCGCGAGCAAGAAGTGAGCGGGGCAGGGTCTTAGCATGCTCATTTTTGGATTAATTTGCTAAAATAAAATCAAGGTTGATTTAGTAGTGATAATGACTTTAGAGGAGACATATAGATGGAATCTAGTAAAATGAGATAAACCATTTACTGATTTAGTTCGTTCTTATCAATCACTTTTCAAATTTAAAACAAAAACTAAAACATCTATACAGGGATCTAAAGAATCATAGACCACAAACTTTTGGAAGGAGTTGAAAAGAATGGAACCTAATTGGAAGTGTGGCACCACTTTAGATGAATTTTTAGTATGGATTTGGTAAGGATTTTGTCTTGAGAAAATTATTAGTAAACTCTCTAAATATGGTACTCCCTCTGTCCCAAAATTATTGTCATGTTTGAGATTTCACTTTTAGTATAATTTGAACTAAAAATGAAAACCTAAAGTGGAGAATAAGATTATTGTCCTATTTGAGATTTCACTTTTGGTACTCCCTCCGTATTAGTTCAAATTGTACTAAAAGTGAAAACCCAAACTGGACAATAATTATGGGACGGAGGGAGTACTAAAAGTGAAATCTAAAAATGAAAACTCAAACAGGACAATAATTATGGGATGGAGGGAGTATAATTTAAACAGGACAATAATTATGGGACGGAGGGAGTATAATTTAAATATGGGACGGAGGGAGTATAATTTAAATATGGGACGGAGGGAGTATAATTTAAACAGGACAATAATTATGGGACGGAGGGAGTATAATTTAAACTAAAAATAAAAACCCAAAGTGGACAATAATTATGGGACGGAGGGAGTAGAAAATTAGATTTTCGGCAATATGTTGAATAACAACAAACAGGTTGCTCAGTTCTCATCTTTATCTTAATCATGCACATCAAACTCGCAATTAGTGTGCTCATAACAACCTTTTTAATTAACTACCTAAAACTCTATAAAATTCTTAATGTGGTTACCATTCTCCAAGTTCACATTATGGAGTATAATGAGTACATATCCATATATAATGTTCCCATCCAATTCTGTTGGGAAACTATGCAAGACATAGCAATAGTTGACATTCTTAATTCCCTAATCTACCTTTTCATTCTCAACTAACATCAATAATAAAAAGAAGATGCTCCTGGTTGATGTCTAATTTAGTAGATTACCAGTGGAAATCCAATCATTAAAATGTTTGGATATGAGGAAAATATGAATATGAAATCATACTTTCAAAACAATATGAACAATATACACAATTCTTATTTTAAGACGATAAAGCACAACTTCAAGAATATATATATATATATAGATATATATATAGAGTTGTTGGTTCATCATTCATAGAGCTTAAGTGCCGACAAGGAGAATTTCCTGCCATTTCCACTCAGTCTGAAATGTGAAGCTTCCAACAAATTCAAAATGATGAGAGATAATACAAGGCCCGCCCGTGGAGGGGTCCATGAAGCCCATCACAATAGATTTTGACTTTCAAGCTCAATTTGAACATTAGGCCCCCATGTTCCTCCAGATGGATTTCATCCACAACTCAACCCAATAGACCCCACCTTGCCCCAAGGCCTGCAACCACAGAGTGAGCCCATAAAGGCAATGCATGTTATAAAAGCTTAATACACTTTAAAGCCTTCTAGGCATAATTTCATCGTCGCATTCGCTAATAATCGATGATATTTAACTAAACCAGTAGGCCTTCTTACGGAGCCTACATTACCGCGGGTACCAATAATTGTAAACTATGGTTCTTACTTTTTTGGGCATGATCATGTTTGTGTTATGTATAATGATAGTGATCAATTCATATTCAACTTCCATTTTTATGGCATTTTTGGCAAGTGGTTTCCAATTACAAAAAATGACCAATTACAAACATGAAGGCAAAATATACTGTTAATATAACCTAACAAACTGTTCAGAAGCTGTTCTAATGCTTACCAGTGAAGAAATCTCAATGGCTTACAGCAACATCTTTGCTCACTTTAAGGAGAGATTGAGGCAACAATGAACAGTTAAAATTAATCAAACATCATTGACAAAATGTTATAGTAGCTGACGTTTTGGCAAAACTTGGTACAAACTTAGAAATGTGACTGGCTCTTACCTCCTTTTGTTTATATGTATAAAATAAACTCTTTACAAGTAGGGTAATTAGACAACTTACTTAAATTGCCTATGGCTAGTTACAATACTTTTTTTTGAGAATGCTAGATGCATTAAGTTAATCCGTTAGGAAATAGAAAGATAGCTCATTATGATTTTGATTATACAGTACTAAAAACGTAAGCAAATTAAAAAAGAAAAAGAAAATTGAAGATGAGAAGATGAGTTCATGAAAATGAGAGAAGTTACTTTTTTGCGTTTCTCTACATTTCAAATCTTTTCAAATAACCATCTTCCCATTCTCCATTGACAACAGTGGATCAGAGATCGTGTCCTTTATTTAGGATGTGTTAGTATTGTGATGTCCATTTTCAAGGTATGATATTTATATATACAGGATAGAAAATGGAATTTTTTTCATAATCAAGGTGTAAGAAAGGAAGGAGAGAAATATAAAATGAAAAAATGAGCTAAAATATTCATTTTTCATTCATATATTATTTGCCTCCCTTCTCTCTACACCTCCACCATTAAAAACACACCAATTCTATCCTAAATATGATTAAAAACACCCCAATCTGTTCTAAATCTTTTTCACTAAATCTACTACAAACAGAAAACACTTCATTGTCAAATTCTCAAAGTTTCATTTACCAAAAAATTACTTCCAATTCAAAGTAAATTAAATGATTAGTTAATCTGGAGTAAAATACTTCCACTTTCACAGAACTGACAACTTAAAAAGCTTAGCCAAGGTTTCACAAAGCTCAGAATTTGCATTATTACTAATCACGGACAAATTCATAAGTCCAGACATATTGTAGCAATTCATCAGAGCTAAGAAACAAGACAAAACCTTTAACCAAAACAAAGCAATCAAATTTATAAATTAAAAAAAAAAACTCCCAAAATAAAGAATGTACTGCATTGCATATCTCAGAGAGTGTTCCAAAAGAGGAACTTATGCAGACATTCAACATGGCATCAGGTTCTGACCGCCCGTCTGCTTCTTTCTCATCACAGAACACATCAATCACCAGTTTAATACTTCTAACAAAAAAAACCCATAAAAGAACTAATGATTCTCAACCTAAATTTCACAAGTTAATCTAAAATCTGCCAGTAAAACTACTAATACAGATCAAACTGACAACTTTCTGTGGCAGATGAATTGAGGAAGGCATCAGACAATAAGCGGAGTTTTGTTCTACACAATAATTCAGGGCATATCATAAACGCATCATTTGCACTTCCCACATCATAAAAAAAAAAAAAACACAACAGAAAAACACTTCAACAAAACAAAAAGCCGAAATATTTCAAACTAGCTCGGTCCAATAATAACAATCTGGCATCAGAACGTATGAGAGAAAAGTTCTCGACACATAAAAATTCAGTGTGTAGAATAAGATTTTTGAAAAATCATCACTTGCCATAAACTAACAAAATCAACGAAAAAATAACAGAAAAAAAAAAGAGGCAAAAACAAATGGTTTATCGGAAGGTCCATTTGACACCAAGGCAAAGATAATGCTTCAAGAAAGCAAATGCAATGGGCTGGTAAGCCATCCTAATCAATCTCTGCACCAGCTATATCCCCTTGTACACCTTTTCTGTTTTTCACAAGGAGAGGGTAAACCAGATGCATAAATAAATACTAATACCATCTCAATCGATTAGATCGTGATTATGATGATGACAATCAAAGAAAAGAAAAAAAAAAATGAACAATTTTAACTCCTACAAAATTCCATTCAATTTGATTTTCAGTAACCCCTAAAGCTCTTTGAACTGGATATGAAGAGGAGGCGAGGAAAGCAGATGTTTTAAATAGGATAGGATTGTTTGCTAGGGTTTTCAGTTTTCCTCCGGAGACGTAGTTTTATATGGCCGGCGGGCCTAGACAAGCAGGCCCAAGCCCAACACTATGAGGGGAGCCCGCGAAATTACTGATATCCACAACTTTGCATCCATTATGAAATGACCCTTCTAATTTTTCTGAAATATTGACTTGGTTTACAAATTTTTTCCTTTTTTGGCTTAAATAAATTATTACCACATAAATTTGTTCAATCCTCTACTCTCTAATGAACAAAATCTTGTATTTTCAACTTCCAATAAAAATTGAAAAAAACAAGACCTTTTAAACATATTGCATGCCATTTTAACTAGGTTGAACATGTATTAGTTAAATTTTTTGTGTTTTATTTCATCCAAGTCATAGTTCAACACTTATTATTATGTTAACTTCCTAAGTTCCAAACAAACTATATGAACTCCCTTTTGTGTTATAAATTTATATATACTTTATAAAGAGGAGGATAGGAAGGAGATTAAGAAAGGAATTAGGAAATACTGATATAGTACGTGGACAAGTGTTGGTAGAAAACCAAATAAAAGCTTTTAGTATGGTTAAATGTTGATGGTCTACTATTTAACTATAACTTCTTTTTTTTTCCGACAGAAAATGTTGGTCGAGATTTCTTTCTTTAATAACCTAAATATATACATACAGTTAATGGAATTGTGGACTACCGAGTCAATTTGCCAGGCAATCAGCAGATTTACCCCCTTTTTTATCATTGTTCTTCTGAATCATGCTCTTTCCTGGCCTCAGATGGAGGCAAAAAGCAATCCATGGACAACCCATTGATGTTAAAATCAATCTCTTCAATCTTCCATGTCTCCTCAATCTTCCATTTCCTGCTTAGTTTTGATCCATACCTATAAATGGATGAAATTGTCCTCCCACTGTGAGCTATATTGATGCCATCATTGATCCTGTAGTCTTCAAGGAATGATTCCATACTTGTTTCATAAAACACGTTATCATCTCCCTTTGCAGCTTTCATTCTCACTAACTTTGTGTCCTCAAACTGGATCAGTAGCCCTGTTCTCTGGCAAAAATTCCCCCATATTGTATGATGCACAATTTCTGTGTTGGCAGTGCTTTGAGCCTTCAGGATCTCAGGGCTTGTCTCCAGCTTCAGCGTAAAGCAATCGTCGTCTTTGATCTTTTTCTCCCCAATGCATACCGCATTCAAGAATAGGTTAGCTGTTGATCTTGGATCTAGGCCCTGTAAGAAGTTGTAAACCATCATTTCAGGACGGAAAGAGTATATAATCGCCGAAAACCTAGGTGGAGTCAGCTATATGGATTACCTGAAAGAACCGGCGAAGAGGTCTTGGAGGTCCTTTTGAGACAACTGAACTAGAGGATGATTGACTCCAAGCCACCTTTCCATCACTACCTGAACTTATATTGTAACCAGAAACCGCTAATTCTAGGTACCATAGATCAGGGTTCTTCTGCCAGAGGACAAATCCACCGACCTCGCTACTCCGTCTTGAATTCGTAGTAATTTGACCATTTTCAGGCATATCTGAAGTGATCATGCTCACCTGCCCAACAGCATACATACTATTGATCCAATTCAGGGCAGCTTGCCCACCTGTGGCTGCTATATATTGCTGTACAATATATTTCGCTGTCGAAGCTTCCTGTTGATTAAATTCTCCAAGTCATAATGGTGATTCATCTACATTTGTAACATATAAACAATCAAATTTTTTCGGTCGAAAGAAGAGATGTTTTGGACTTACAATGGTACCGTCTCGAATTGGCAATGTGATGGCATGATCCAGCTGAGCCTGGAAAGGAATAAAAGGCGAGCCGACGAGTTTCAACAACAGAATGAATTGATCGGTTCTAGATGTTGTAGTTGGCTGTTTCTCCAACCTCTGTGCCCTCATCAAACTATGCATATTCTGCCATCTATGAGCTGCAGTTCCTCCCATATTGGTGAACATTTCCTCCGGGATCGGAACCTCCAACACCGTGTCCAGGGCATCTTCTTTGTCCAGATTTGGACACAGTTTCCTCATTTTAGTCACCATACGTATATTGTTTTCTCTATGAACCTTCATTGTATATCAATCAAACTATCCAAAGCTTAGAAATTGTTTTTGGTTAAGGGATGAAAGAAAATACAAAAACAAAATTGTTGGTTATATGCAAAAAAAAAACTATGTACAAAGGAAGGATCCTACAACGTTGGAGATTGGAGGATGCCTTCCTGTTTTTGGTAAAATGAAAACTTTGTAAGTTAGTTGTTAACAACAACTTTGTTCAAACAGCTTAACTTGATGATCATTTTTGTGGATAAATTGTGGGATTTTGGAATTACTTTTTTTTTCCCCCTCCTGATGTTTTAACAGGTATGGTTTTCCTTACTCGTAGCTGTCGTGTGGGCACGAATGTAGCGGGGTAAACTGTAATTTTTTTGGTTAAATCAAATCTACTGTTTCTGGCTGGAACTTTTAGGATTAACTACTCTTCAACTCACAATTTGACTTAAAAGGTCCTAAAATTGGACTCGGTCTTCTGGCCCTTTTAAGTCCAATTAATTTGGTTTCTGTTGGAAAAGAGGTTGTAAAATATGCAAAATTCTAGAAGACTTCACATCTAACAAATTGAAATTCGAAAGGTCCGAGGTGAAGAGCTAAGTACCATTATCATCATTTCTGTATTTTGTATTCCCTCCGTCTTATAAATTAAAAACGCTAGCTATATATTACTTTCGGATGTTAATATTATCAATCAATCGTTAATCTTTTGATTAGTTCATCTATTAAAAGGAAACCTGAATTTGTTGGCCTTTGGCCAGGTCAATGAATCTAAAATGCGGGCAATATCAATTGCTTCTAGCCTCAAAACAACATCAAAGATTTTTGCTAATTCAACACGATTTGTTTATCATAAAAGAGTATGTTCACTCACTAAAATACATTTTGTTGTCATATTATAATATACTCCTGTATTGCCCCTTATATTTAATTAGTGAAATTCGGGTCAAATGAGAATTGATTTTTTGTTCAATTTGTGTAAGCTTCTATCAATGAATTCTTCAGACCTATTCCCGCCTGCCGTTCACAGCTTGCATGCAATTCTTTTTCCCTGTATTTTGTTCAGCTGGAATTAATTGAGTTTTGTAAAGATTTCATTGGCAGCTGGAGTTATGTATTGCTAGTAGCGCATTAGCAAAAGAAAGAATTTATCCGTAACAATTCTGGTTGATTCTTTCTTCGCGGATTACGGGTTCCAAAAATAATTCACATACAATTATGTCAGTTTGCATTTAGAGCTTATAAACAGATGACGGATCTTTCACGACGGAAATGGGAATTCTTTGTCCCAATAAAACTTTTTTTAAAAAAAATGTGTACAAAACATGACTCTTTACTCCGAAAATACACGCAAACGAGTCACCTATTTTATTCCGTGACAAAGACAGATTAGTAGATTTTTATATTCTGGGAGGCAGGTTAACTTGACCAAATTCATTTTGAAGTAAGATGATCGTGACAAGTAAGACTGTATTTTGGTCGAAATGTTGCCAATAAAATCAAATAGAAAGTTTGCTATCAACTAATGTAACATGCAATATTCTACAATATCCTTCTCTTCCGGCCTGATTTTGTACCCGCTTCGCCAACACCAAAAAGCAACATTTTCCCTGAAATTTCCATTTTGTGTACTTATTAAAATTTTCCTTAATGAGTTAATTTACTACAAGTACACCTCTGACCTTCAATGAAAAAGATGGATTACTAATTATACCACCAATTTACATTCTTTCATGATACACTGATGACTCCTTCAAATTTTAACCTGTCTGCAAGCTCTAATCCATGAAGACAAGTTTGTCTTATGTGGGAGACTAGTCTCTCCAACATTTTTCAAGTAGTTTTTTTCTTAATCTTTTCAGCTTTGACAGTTAGGCCAAGAAGCATAACCTAAGCTCTAAACTCTGCAGATTTATAGCATCATCTTCTCTACGCATATATGGTTTGCAGCAAATAGACAATGACTTGGTAGAAACAAGTATATTCTTCACACACATTTGAAAATAAAGAAATCCCTGAAAGCCGGCCTATTAGAAACTCATATATATAGAGCCTAAGGATCAACTTCTGGTTCAAATCTTATACCCTTTTCCCAAAGTATCACAAGTTTTTATCTCTAGTTAGTTAGGAGGGTAACATTATGACAAAACCTTTCAAACTTCGCCTTCGACTTCCTTATTTTCAGCTATGCCGTAATATATCATCTTCTGTTCTGGCTAACAGGTCTGCCTCTACTCGCACTTCTTCGATTCCTGTGAAAACTGAAGCACTTGATACTTCTAGTTCTATGTATCCAATGTCACCTGCCCCACCACCATCTTCTCCAGATCATTCTTCGTCGTTTAAGCGCAATGTTGCATCCAAAATCATACCAATTGGGATGGACACTGGAGGGCATTCAAGCTCATGCACGGCCTATGATGCTTATATAGATGACATGGATTCATCACCGGCTTACAAGCACAATAGCACTTTTGGAAAACTGTATAATTCTCCAGCAAATTTTGAGGAGTTCGATGCGAGCTTCTGGCCTGTTGAATCTTCAAATGCAGAGAAATTTCACAGAAAGAAAAGCATCAGCTCGTTAAAGGACCAGTCGGCTACAAGTCTTAGCATGAGCGTTTCATCACCAGCTCATAGCCGTTGGTTCAGTAGTGAAGATGAAGATGAAGATGATAATGAAAGTGAAGGTCAGTTGTCTTCTTGTTCCAGCTTGAGCTCTTTATCTGACTTTGGTCATCTGGTGAAGAACCAGGTTGATCACAAGTGCACAAATGGAAATGGTCGCAAAATAATGAAGAAAGAAAGTAAAGTGAGGAAGCCGAAGGTCATGAATGCATCGAATAGTTGGAAAGATGGAGACAAAATAAAAGTATCAGCCACAGCAATGATGCGGCGAGAGAGTGATTCATCGTCTGGCAGGAAGGTCTTGGGACGTTTACTTCCTTGTGGGGTGGATGGGAAAGTGAAGGAAAGCTATGCTATCATGAAGAAATCAGCAGATCCGTTTGATGATTTCAAGATGTCTATGTTGGAAATGATAAGGGAGAAACAGATTTCTGAGCAAGAAGATCTGGAGAAGCTGTTAATGTGTTTCCTGTCTCTAAATGCAAAGGATCACCATGCCGTGATCGTGGCAGCATTTACAGAGGTATGGGAAGAATTATATGCTTCTAGGTGAGAAGGTAGAAGAAGAATCCCTAAATCACCAGTTCTGCTTGCTATCCTCTTACTCCAAAACTCTGTATCAAATTTTATTCATTTATTCATTTCCCCCAATGTGTTGTAGTTCCTTTATTACTGAGTTCAAGCAGAAATGTAATTTGGCCTCTTGGTGGTATTTCGTCTGTATTTGTATATGAAAGTTGTACAATTTGGTAAACTGTTTGTAGATAGTTCACGCTAAATGGATACTTCTATCTGCTGGTTCACTGAATCTTGTGGATTACCCTCCATAGAGGTAGAGGCACTACATACCCTTTCTTTCTGTCCATTTGTTGGTGTATTACGCGCTCCTTATCATACAGAGTCACCCATATTTGAAGTGCAGATTGTTAAGGTGTACAGTACAATTATTGAGAATAAAAGGCAAGGTTTGCCATTGCCACAGGATCGTGAACTAGCGAAAATGGTGAGATTGCACTAAGAACATTTCACAATTTGTACAGAGCAAGTGTAGAGATATAATTTAAATTGTCTAATCTAAATGCTAAAAATCACTATCGTCTAATCTCTTCCCTAGCAAAGCAGGGAAAATTGTTTACCCTACTCTTTCATGAATCATGATACAAGTCATCATTGAGAAAGCGGGCAAGGCTCTTAAAGAAAACTTACAGCAAATTTCTTTAGGCGACCAATAATGTAATGTCAGAAAAAACTTCCCAGTGCCATTACAGGAGGAACTAAGCAAATCTTGAAGTCATGTTGTCTAGCTCCGTAATCTTGCCTTCACTGTTTAGGCTGTAACGAAGTCACGCCTTTCTCAAAAAACTTGACATGACAAAGCATTCCACCAGTCTCATCAGCAAAAGTAATCTTCTTCCTATCTCGCTGAATTGTTTTACAGGCAGCAGCACTGGTATCACCTTTCTGATTCAAACTCTGTGGGAAGAAAAACATTCGATGATATTAGAGAATAAAATACAAAATCAGTACAGTTGCATGTTGCATTACAGAAACAACGATAAGTATTTGTCCCACATGCATGTTAGAAAGAAAACTAACCATGATCTTGCAAAAACGGTTGCAGTCCCTTCCCATCATGGATAACCACTTTTTGGCCATCTCTTCAGTTTTTGATGCATTTGTGATGGCATTTTTTACCTGGTAACAAAAAGGGAAAGATTATAGCAATAGCTGAGTAAAAATTTCCTCAGGAAAATAGCTTAGTCTATGACTAATAATTTACTAATTTATCAATAAAGTAAGAGCAGCCTGTTAATGAACCAACAGGTTCCAGCTAAGCACTCTTCTCTTGATTTGTTTATTCATAATATATATGTTCCACTATGGCCAATAAAGTGAAATCAATTTACAGCACAGCTCCAGAACCAAATCCTCCACCCGGAAAATCTTCAAATGTTTGAGTGGCAAGATCAGAATTCAGAGAGCAGCAATTTTATTGATGAAAGAAGGGATCTTTGACTTATAATCAATAGCTGACACCAAATATCCACTCGAGGATATCTGAAATAAAAGATAGACTAGACTCATAGTAACATTGGAGGCAATAGTGAATCGTCTCAAAACAACACGATGAAGCCACTGTTTTTGCAAATAGTACTTTCAAGATTGCTATCTGTGCCAAAATACATAATTATAAATTAAAGAAACACCAAATCAAGCTAAGTTGAATACCTCTTCTGCATCGTGTTTTGAGGAGGGGTTGCGGTATGATTCAAAGAGCAATTTCTCTTCAACAATATCCTTCATGGACTTCAACTCGTCCATAAGCTTCATTGCAAGAGCCTCAATGTCCTGCATCTGCCTCTGTGAAAATGCGATTGCACTTTCTGAACAACCCTGAATAGATGTAGATCCGGTGTTAACACCAGGTAGGGCACGAGTCATACGAGGACCTTCCAGATTTCCTTTTGGTGGAGAAGTTCTCCCATGTTTTGCTTTCTTACGGATCTGCGGTGGGCATAGAACGACCTTCAACTTATTGACAGCAACAGATACTTGCGGGATCTTAGATACATTATCAAGCTTATCAGATTTCTCGCACAAAGATGGGACCTTTGTGTGGTCCTCATTGCATATGTCTTCTTTGCAATCTGAAAAGTGTAGGGAAAAAAAATTAGTAAGGGTCTACGTATTGTCAAAGTTCAAACTTTTTGCAGAAAGTAGTACAAGAAAAAGCATCAGCAGAAAACGTACACTAAAGGAAAAGCAAAAAAAATTCTGTCCTGAATTAGCCATAAAGCAACCAAAACTGACAACAAATTGTTCAAATATGCATGTTTGGAATGCATAGTTATAGTTTACAGTACGTGCACATTCGAGTCTATTTCATAAAATACAAGTATCACAATGGTATAGTTGTTCGAATGCTAATGTTTGCTATGCATTGGTATATTTCACATTACATATGCATGCAAATCCATTATATGACCACAAGCAACACATGTAAAAGGCACTGATAGTGCTATTCATGAAATGAAGCAGAAATAGACTAATAGCAAAATCACAGTCTGTTGCTCAGTTGAAGTCAATCTTTTCTAAAACTCTGCATGTACTTAAGATATATTAAATTACTCACCCAGAAGCTTCAAATCAGAATAAGATTTGGAAGAATTCATAGCTAGGCAAAGCCTTTCTTCTGACGTTGGAGAAACAACCTGCATCATCCTTGCATTTAGTCCAAATTCTGCCGGAATACAAATCCAAAAACGATAACAAAAGATGTGCTTCCCTGACCTTTCTTGTTGAAAGTAGTCTCTCCGGTACTTGCACCGCCACTGACGACCACGACGATGATGATGATGATATTTCAGCAAAAGAAAGTCTCTGGTCACATTCAGTAGTTTCGACATCTTCACCTGTAGATATTGAAGGCTCCGTCTCCTCACTGGAGGACAATTCACATTCCATTGCATCCAGTTGAGTTGCGTTATTTGAAAATTCATTTGCTTGATCAATTAGTTCGCTTTCTAATGTTAGCACCCCCTCGGATTTTTCATCTTCCAAGAAAGAAAACTCTGCACCAGTATTAACAGGATCTTGAGGATGCAAGGAAGCACCAGCATCAGAAGTTTCTTCTCTGCTGATGCCATCATTTACGACTATATGGGTTGTTTCAACAGCAGGATCAGTAGTATGATGCCCCAAAAACTTGTAAGGATCTCTACTTCGGGAGAAGTCATTCCTGCCTGCGATTTGATCTTTGGCAGGTGAAATGGACCGCATGTTCTCTTCTTCACATTCTAGAGTAGGCGAATGTAGAAACTGTTGGCACCATTTCTCTTGATCTTTCACATCATCTTCGCCACTGGGTGAAGACACAGTGAGAGACTCCACGTTCTCCAGACAATCAAAAGAAACTTCATCAACAGCACATCTTTGGAGGTTTGTGCCAAACTGATATGATTCCGAACTTTGGCACTCAACTTGGAGATGGTTTCTTTTAGGCGTCACTTCAGCAATACCTGATTCATCTTTCTGAATTACAGAGAATGAACTTTCAGCAAAATATATCACATTTTGGCATTCTTCAACTTCAGGGAGAGGCTCGACCATGACTTGATCATCCAAAGAAATAACATTAAGAGCACGTATTTGGTTGTCCGTGCCACATAAATTTGGTTCCAAACTTTGGCACTCAACTTGGAGATGGCTTCTTTTAGGAATCACTTCGGCAACTCCTGATTCATCTTTCTGAATCACAGAGAAGGGATTGTCAGCAGAACAAATCATGTTCTGGTATTCTTTAATCTCAGGTTCTTCAACTTCAGTCTTGACGCGAACTGATGAGAGTAAATCAGCCTGAGATTGCAGTGGTCTTTCAGACTCAATATCTTGAGATTTGCACTTGACATCAGGTCTGGGAGAAGTACTACCAGTCTTTCCCTTCTTTTTAGTCTTAGAAACCTTCGATCTCAATGTAAAAAGAGGAGCACTGAGATCAGAGTCCTCTTCTTCAGGCTCCCATTTTATCTGAATGTGTAAAGAATTGAAAGATTTAGTATCAACGCACTTTCTTTTCTTTGTCTTGCAGTTTTTCTTCAGTTCTTTCAGCGTCATCTTCCCGAAAATATAGTCATCTGAGTCGCTACTTGTTTCACCGTCAGTGCCACAAGGATGAGCTTCAGTGTTGCCTTGCTCGACATCACACAAATTCCTCACTGCCAGGGGTAGATATTGGCTCTCGGTCTTGACCGTCACATGGCAAAAAGAAGACTGGGGAGAACTGTGTGCGCAAGGAGTCAAGCCTCCATTTTCATATATATCTTCTAGTTTCTTGAACACAAGATCTGGCTTGCTGCGAGAATTTATGTTCAAGATTTTCATTACTGAACTACCCTTTATAGCATTAATGAAATGTGCATTATTGCAACTCCTCCTCTCCATCGTTGAACCAATATATTTCTCCGTGTTCAATATTTCATCAACGACACACAGCTTCAAAGATTGTAACACCAGAGACCCTTCCTTATTTGAAAAAACGTATTTTGCAGGGTTGTTGTGCTAACCTTGAAATTGTTTGAATCAATCTCTTCCCCTAGCATAAACTTGTGGCTTTGGTATGATTCCTATATATTATTATCAAGTAAAGAGTATAAATTTTCACTTCAACAAAGTCACAGTCTGCTACTAGGAACTGACTTGTATACTGTACAGAAAGATAAAAAAGACAAGATTTTGACACATAAAAGCTCCTTGCAATTTAAGGGACTACAAGGAAAATGTATTTTCCGTTTGTAGTGAAAGTAGCAAAACATTGAACATATACAAATTAATCAAAAAAACACATAGCTTGACAGGAACTAAGACTAGATCTGACTGTAAAAGTCACTTTCACTTCGTCTTGTAAATTTTAAACCAGCTTAAGCACCTCAACAAAGATCGGACACCCAAAATGACAATAACAAATAGAAGAATGAGAGCAGAAGCAAACAAAAGATCGCCCATTTTGGTTGATTTCAACCCAATTTGAGATTTTTCCAATTGGTATCCTAAGCTTGCATCAGAATGTTCACAGTTCACAACAAATCAAACAGAACATAGAAATCGATATTTCACAGTAACACCAGATTGCAATTACACCATCCAAAATACTAATAACAGATTTTTTAACAAATGGGAGCTGAAACTAAAGTTCTAAAATCTTCATGAGGGGAAGAAAACAAAAAAAAAAAAAAAGCATAAGAATCAAAAAGGCATTGTGAATTCTGCAACGAGAATGCAATCTATATGCAAAATAGCATTGGCAATGCACAGATCTAGAGGTGACGAGTGGTGGAGAAACTTACCGGAATGGGGGTTTGCCAGCTGGGCGAAATGCAAAGAGGGAGCTGGCCGGCGGAGATCGGCGGAAGTGAACGGAGGCGGAGTTGGCTAAGGAAGGTCAACAACCAAGTGTGGCGGGGGGATCTAATAATGATACTAAAGGATAGGATAAATTGTGTTGAAAAAGGATTCGCGCCAAATCGTTTCGGCGGGAAGTAGGGTTATGACTTATGCATTTTTCAATTTGTCATCTTTTTTCGAATGTCGTAAACCTAGGAGCCTGTAATAAGAACATTGATAAATAGATGACGTGGAACCCTTTAGCTGTCGGTTCTATACAATCGCATCCATGTGAGCGTCATGAAGGATGCAAAACATTTCTTATAATTAAAAACCATTCGAATACGAATTCCCTCCTATACCTGGTTTTTTGTTCCTTTAAACTATAGTACTACTATGTTTTAGCCATCAGTGTACAGATAATTGAAACCACGAGAATGATACTTTTTCCGTCCCACAAAAATAGTCCACATTGAGTTTTTAATTTTATATTAAAAATAATACAAAACTCAAAATTCAATGTGGATTATATTTCTGGGACGGAGAGAGTAATATTTTAGAAAAAAATAATATCATTTTTATGACAAATTTTTATTTATTTATTTTTATACGCTAAAGGATAAGAAGATACTAATGCTACGGTATTTCAATCACGAATACAAACCCGACGATGAATCGGAAATCACTAATGCTCCTGAATTAACTGTTACCGCATAAATTTATTTCTCTAAACACGTTTTTTTTTTATTTCTTATTTAGTAATCTCTCGTTTCTAGTATCAAACATCTATGTAATAAGTATTATATATACACCGTTAGCGGTTAGTCCATCAGAACCAGCATACTATTATTGTTGATTTTCATGGTAACTTTCATAACTCAAAGTCGCAAATAAAGTTAGATACTTCTTATGTCCTATAATTATTGTCTAATTTGAATTTTCATTTTTAGTTCAAATTGTACTACGAGTAAAATTTGAAACTGGATAATAATTTTAAGACAGAAGGAGTATTTTTTTAAAAAAAAAAAAAAAAAGTTGGATACCCTGAATCAGTCCTGCATCTTAGCGTTTATGTTATCAACTTCTCATGTTCAGCGTAAAATAGCGATTTTCACCATAACTTTCTTAAATCCCGAGTCTTGCATTTTGTTTTTCTTGCCCCAATAGATGAACTTCTCGTGCTTCTCGTGAGATACCAACTATGATGCCCAAATATTTCCTCCCTTGTATTGTGTTGACTGGTGTAATTTGAACCGTATTTATGAATTTGTAATTTAATGAACATATTTTCTAGTTAGACAGACATCACATAATTTTTCAGTGAACTATGAGATATCGAGTATATTTTAAGTCCACGAGATTTAAATAAAATACTCATTTGCTTCTTTAACATATTTATTTTATACAGTAAAATTAGACATAGCCTGAAATTAAAATATTATTATATTACAGGTATGTCATTTAAAGATATACATCCCCAACTATATTTCATCTATCTTTTATGGCCATCGTACTTAGTGATACTAATAGGTCCTAACACTTTGAAATGCTTGTGTCCATCTCACATCATTGATTTACTATGAATCGATGTGATAAAGAAAAGCGAATCGTTACAAAAGAGAATAAAGATCAGGACAATATATTTTCGCTAAATGAATACTCTCTATGTCCAAAAAAGCAAATTTCTATTAAAAAAAATTCATTCAAAATTTGACATGTACTATTTTTTTGGGACAAAAGTAGTATTATGTTAACAACCTCATATAATTAATAATTTTGGCCGTTCCTAACCTAGGGCCACTAAAAAAACCATAATGAATCGATAAAATTAAGATAACAATTTTTGGGTGTTGCTAAATACAACTTAATTTTAATTTTACGTAGCTTATGGAAAAAGATTTTAATACCCCAAAATCTTCCCATTTTTCTCTTTATTTATTTTTCCTTTTTCTTGCTAAACGCAACTTGATTTTTTCTTCTCACAGCTTATAAAAAAAAACTAAAATAAAGAGCATTACTTTTGAAACTGAAATAAAACAAAATTACTTTGAAATGAATACTAGAATATTGTTAATTTCTAATTAGCTTGAAACATGATTAACTACAATTTTAGTGGAGCTATACAAAATAGCAGAGATATAAAATAACCACCCATAATGGAGCTAATAAAACTCAAAATAATGTGAGCACTTGCTACTTCTCCTAATCAACACTTTATCAAAGTAAATTACTTGTTCTTTAGACAAGAAATAGTAGTCTAACAATAAACAAAAACCATTCATAAATTGGATCACAAATTATATATCTATATATATATATATATATCCAAAAAAAATTCCCAAAAAAATTACTTAATGGGACATTGATTTCTCAACTTTGCCTATTTATCGTGCTCCTTAATTTCGTACCATTGCAAGCTATCAACAACCACTGATGTTTTTTAATGTAGATTGAAAATTTTGAAAGAATTGAGTATACGGGTATTTAAGGTTTTTTTTTTTGTATTTGCATGAAGTAAAATCAAGTTGCGTTTAACAACCCATTAAATGTTTAACAAAAATTATATTCATATACATGTCCCTTCAATAATATAATAATAATCACCCAAAATACAAAAAAAAAAAAAGGATGTACTAAAAATGAATGTGCATATCCATGACGGAACTAACCCCGAATATTCACAGAATTAAGAACACATAGAATTTTTATTTTTTAAAATATTTTAAAATTTATAAGGTATTTTTTTGAAAAAATTCGCCGACCGTGGGTCGGCCGATCCCTTTTGCACCCCCTGGTTCTGTCCATGTGCAGATTTTTTTTTTTTTTTTCTTGAAATTTATATCTATGACAATAAGTTGAAATTCAAATTTCATAAAATCAGCATTATATTGTAATAGCTTAACCATTGGAAATTTAAAAATTAATCATTAAAAAATCATTAATTTTTCTTTTTTAGTAACGCCAGGAACGCACCATGGATGGTTAAACCCATACCCACTGTAATAGCCTATAAATCACAGTGAGCGGTAAATCACTATAGACAAGTTCAAATGACAAACTCGGGTAAAATCAAAAGTTCATGAATAGATTTGCCATAACAAACTCTCTAGAGATTTGAACTATGACCTCCTCTTAAGAGCAATGGTAATTTTACCATTGGATTAACACCTTATTCGAGAAAAAAAATTGTGACAGATTTATGAGCCCCAAATTTAGTGAAGATTTACAGAATTCGCACAAATTTTAATTGACAAATTATCCATCATAGTTGGTGAGGTTTGTCAAATCTATGTAACATTGTTCTGGTTGGTGTTACCAACCGCAATTGACTAATAAGATTTTTTAAATTTTTGTTAGAAGACTCGGTGAGGGAATGATGAATTCACATTTCGACATCAAAAAAAGAAAGAGAAAAGAAAAGAAAGAGAAAAGAAATCCAGTCGAAGGCGTAGTTGTATGCGGCAATGAAAGCACGCTCTCAAATGCCAACAGTTGAAAATAATCTCTTCCCAATATACCCATCATTTCTTCTTATCCCGCTCAGTGTAGTGGCTGTAGCCCACAATTTACCGATCCTTTCGACACTAACGAATCTAAAAAAGAAAAGAAAAAAAAATGTCCAAAACGATGAAGGCGTCGTTGAAAGCGCGATATGAAGCGGACAAGGCGGCGGCGGCCGCTACCGTCGCCGCCAACGCCGGTGACCTGAGGCTCCGCGCTTCCATGACGGACGCTACTGTTGTCAACGGCCCCAGCTTGAACGGATTAGTTCTGGCTGTCGAGAAACCAGGTTCATTCATCATCGACTATAACGTCCCCAAAAAGGTATTTACCTAATTTAAGCATGAAATTGAATATTTGAGCTACAGCGGAGTCAATTAAGTTTTCGAATTTTGTGTGTATTCAGGACTTTAGGTTTCAGTTCACGGAGACTGTTAGGGTTGCAGACAAGCGGTTGAACTTGATGTATATTCACAGTAAAGGTGATAATCGGACAATATTAGACGGAACTTTGGTTTTTGACTCCGCAAATAAAGTTTCGGCGAATCACGTGCTCGGCTCGGGGAATTGTAAGCTTAAATATAGTTACGTCCATGCCGGTTTGACCACATTCGAGCCAAGTTATGATTTCGCGAAAAACTCATGGGATTTTGCTGTGTCGAGGAAGGTGTATGGGGATGATGTTCTGAGGGCTGCTTATCAGACCTCGAGCAAGCATTTGGCCCTTGAATGGTCCAGGAAGTCTACATTCAACGGCTCATTTAAGGTATTCTGCTGCATCACGTTGTCATTTTTAGTCCTCATGCAGTTTGATTTTAAAGATTTTAGTGAAATTGCTATAGAATTGAGTGTGGACTAACCGTTTTGAAGCTCGGTATAGTAAGTGTTTGGTCACCAAACGGTAATCCTCAATAGCTTTAGTTTTGGATTATGTTGGGTACTATGTTTGTATACACACCTTCTTTTAGAATCCCTTGCAAGTTGGCTCTGCATAAATGACTTCATTTGAATAAGTACTTGTTTTGTCGTCCCACTTCTCTGTGAATTGTGACTTATATATGTGGCTGTTGAAATTCCTATTTCATCCTACAGATATACACTGTGATAAATGTCGGTGTTTGTTTGGAAACATCTGTCAAAATATGTGGAATCCAAAATTTTGTTTGTAGTTATCGAGATGTGAAATGTGTTGTCGTTTTTGGTGCTACTCAGAATATGTAGTAGGTTCTTGGTATTGTTTGTACATTAAAAATTTTCTATGTCAATATGCCTGCATATGTATACTTGTGTGAAGCGGTGTAATTTTCTGACACATTCAATTGCTTTATTGGCATTCGTATTATTTTTCTCCTTTTTTCGATTGATGTTGACATTTGTCAACTGTTAAATCAGCTTCTAGAACATGGATGTAGTCGCTTATGTTGGTTATTAGAAGAGGTTTACTTTTTGTGGCAGTCTTCAAAAATGGTCTGGGGAATAAAAGGGGAAATTGTGCTTGTTTGTGCACACAAACAGTTTCTTCCCAAGTTTTGGTATGGATGTTAATGAGTTAAGTTTTTTTTTTTCCCCTTCTTTTGAAAAGTGTACCTGTACATAATTAATGTAAGGTACCTAAACTATTACATCGCATTCTAGTGAATTCAAGATTGTGCATATTGCTAATATCACTTCTATCCACTTTAATCAGTGTACAAGTTTGAAACGTTGAAATTAAATCAGCTAACAGAAGATGAACTTCCTGACCCTCTATTGAGCCAAGTTAAAAAGCTTTGTGGAACTCATGAGTCGTGATTTTCGATTGTTGGATGATCTCATGCCATCCGTAACTCTCCGATTAGAAGTAAATCGTGCTACTAATTTCTGTGATCAACTTGGATTTTAATTGTTTTTTTTTTTTTTTTGGTTGGATGCAATGATAGTTCCTGTAATTTAAGATTGTTATGGTGTTGAGTGTTGACTGCTCTTTGGGATGCTCTTGGTAATTGTAATTAGATGCCCTATTAACTTTTTTACCCTTATGGAATGTGTAGAAAATTGCAAGTTTAGCTGGCTTTTGGTGTCTCTTTCTTGAGACATATTGAGTGACAACACTTTAGTATGGGGTTTTCTTGTGGTTTTTTGGTCAGTGGTGTTCCAGGGTTCAACATCTGATTATCATCTAACTGACGTTGTTCTATAATTTTCAGAGTCATAGTTGCAATAATAGCAGACATTAGTTGATGTGGGGCAAACTTTAGATGGCAGTCTGAAACAATGTTTAGTTAGTTTAACTTAGATGATGATATGATTTCTTCTAGGTGGCCGATTTGTGCAAATATATTCCTGTTTAGGTGGTTGTCAACATGAATGAGACTTTGTTTTCACTAAGCCACTACTTGATATTGTTATTCTCTATACTTCCAGGTTTCAGCATCTGTGAATTTGGCAGATGAACAGAAAACACCCAAGTTAACTGCCGAGAGTATCTGGGATTTTGAAATGTGATTCTACTACAACCATGGTGCCTGTCTGCTCCACTACCCATACAGGTCTAGCGGCTTCACAGCATCTGCGTTATTTTTTTTGGAGTACATTGTACGCCTCAGTGGCACTTGAAAACTGATCAGGAATGGGATGAATTTATGACCCACAAACTTGTCTTCCTATTTTTTTCCGCTCAGCGGATCTTAGATATTACATCCAAATGCCCTAATAAAGATATAAATGTGATTGCTAGCTCTAGGCTTTGCACTTTTTGGAGAAGAATCTGACCTAATGACATTGTATCTTGGATGAGTTTTCTAGTTCTATAGCAGATTAAAAGTTTGAGAATTTGTTTGGATCAAGAGCTCCTCATAACAAGGTTTGGATAGAATGAAAAAAATGCCGGTTGATTAACTCATTGGTTCGAACTAGTTAGAGGTAGAAATGATCAAAACTGCTCCGTAATCTTCTAGGGCACGTAAGTATGTTTAGCAATTCTGCAGACTCTAAAAAGATATTGCAAAGCGGCTGATGACTATATCTGATCAACAAAAGAGATCATCATTCCGTGTGGTATACAGTATACAAGTTCTTCATTTACATTTAGCTGAACAAAATGAAAAGGGGTTTATTTCTTTTTCCATTACTAATGCGTTAGCTAAAACACTGTTCAGGATAGAAATACAAAAATATATGTTAAAAAATTATGTGAAAAGAAAAACACATTTACAAGCTGTTTTGAAACATTGCCTTAAACAAACAGGGAAAGAGGCAAAAAATGAGGCCGAAACTTTTCTTTTTTGGATATATTTGGCGGCTCAATTCCAAACAATTAGCGCCAATACTTCATTTTCCACAAATTTTGAAATTTTGCCGCCCTAGTTCCCCCACCTATTTGGTGTTTACCAAAAAGTCAAATAGAACCCTTCACCTAAAACTACAATTCATCCAATTCTCATTTCCCCCCATTCCTCCATAGCCTTCACTGCTTTCGCAGATTCAACTCTATTGAAGCCTGAATCCTTCAATCCCCGATGGATAGCGACGACGATTACGAATCTTTTTCCCCTCCCGAAGAATCATTCTCAGAGCCCCGGGATAGGTTCAAACGCTTGAAAAAACCTAGAGCTATGGTAGTACCAAGCGATTCGTCGTCGTCGTCTCCGCCGTCCGATTCAATTGAGCCTGTGATTGGGTTTCCGGAAGTTGGTTCTGCCCAATTGGAAGCCAGAGAATTTGCCACCTCCGAAACCCTAAATTCTCTCGTCGATGACGACTCAAACGATTCTTTACGGTTACAAATCGAGTCCAAAATGGAGACCGAGGAAAATGACAGTCTAGGTGACTTGCCAGTTGATGATGAAGTGCCAGATCGGAAAGAGGCTAAGAGGGCTTTGGAATTTGATGACCCGGATGATGCTGAGAGCGATGGGAATCTGAGTGGATTGGAGAAGAGGCGGAGTAGTGAAGGGGGTTTAAGTGATAACAAAGATGGCGAGAAGGAGGAGAAAATGGAAAGCAAGAGAAAGAAAAACAAAAGAATTAAGAGTGATGAGATGAAATCTAAACCTTTAGCGTCGGATAAAAGGAAGCAGGAAAAGGTACTTTGAAAGTAGTAGAAATGAATCATTCCTAATTTGTTCACTTGTCCTTTGCCGATTTGTCGTGCGGATGGTTTCTTTAATTTCTTTTTTCCTTTTGTTTTCATTGTCAATATGTGTTTTTTTGATGTGCAGGAAAGAAAAGCTTATCTCAAGCAACTTCATGCTGAATCCCAGAGGATATTACGAGGTTTGTACAGAATTTTGGAGAAAGACGTTTAAACTGTTAGTCTTTTTTTAAAATTTTTTTTTTTATATGATTTGGTGTTTGATCATGGGTATTTTCTCTCTATATATAGAGTCTAGTGAGGCGGCATTCAAGCCTATACCAGTTGTTAGCAAGCCTATATCCTCAGTCTTGGAGAAAATTCGTCAGAGGAAACTTGAATTGTCTAAAAGGTTGATAACTTTCCCTTTTAAAACTGTTTTAATCCTTGCAAGTAATTCAGATGGTGATGCATATTTTGGTTGACAGGAACAGGAATGTGCCAGTAACTAGCAATCCTTTCATCTCTGAGAACAGTACTTTAAGAGATGATAGCATGGGGTTTGAGTCCAGGAGCAGATCAACGTTACATAGAGAGGTTGGATTAGAAAAACCAGTAGAGGAGACTGCCTATGAGGATCCTGGAAATTTTGTTGGTAGAAATGCTGTAGACAAGGATGCTTCTACTGAACGTGCAGGGCCATCAAGGAGTAAAAAAACTCACTTGGACAAGGTTAAGATTAATTCCCAAGTATTTTTAAGGGCATTTTAATTCCCAAGTATTTTAAGATTAATTAAATTGGACAAACACATTGATTATATCTGTTTCATTCTTATAAGATTCATGTGATCAGTGGTTGGTTAGGTACTAATGAAATTATGGTAGAACATTTAAGTGCCTGTATTACTGTAATATATTTTAATCTCATTTGTATTCTGATGTGTATCTTAACCCTCTTTCAGCTATCCCTCACAGAAACATCACCGCCAATATTTAGAGCTCCTATCAATGATACAGAGGTTAGATTTACAGTTGCCTTGAGATGGGATTTATTTTTGATGGTCGCAATGATGATTTCTTTAAAAGTAGCGATCTATTTTGTCTTTGGATACAGGATATTTTTTCAAATTCGGAGTCGCAAGATAGTAAAGATGAGCTGTGTGTTGATCTTGAGGACAGTCCTGATGATGAAATTACGGAGCCATCTTTGCCTGCTATGAATTTGAAGTTTGATTCTGATCCTTATGAAGACAGGTTAGTTTATCCAAGGCCACCACTCCTTGAATCAAACATTGAGAAGATGAAATCATGAATAAACCAATCAACTGATCTTATTCTTGGAAAATTATGCACTTCGTAATTGTCTTAATCTGTTTCGCCTGTTTCGTCTGTTAAGCGTTGTTGTATGCAATACACATACATCATTACCATTATGCCTTAAGTAGTCCTTGCAATGGATTTGGCATTTGAAGCTTTGCATGTGTACCTCATGCAGTTCATCAGAGGAGGAGGATGATGACAAGGAAAATATTGATCCTCTCCTTCATAGAAATGACAATAGTTCTGTTCCCCTAAGAGGTGCTCCGGCTGAAGCTTTTCTTGATGATGAAGCTGAGGAAGAAGATGATGGTGATGATGACTTATTACGCTTCAAGGAAAATGAAGAGGAGGAAGATATGGAAGATTTTGAAGAACTTAATGATATCATAGCCACTAACTATTCGGAGAAGCCAGTTGATCATGATAGGCGTAATGAACTTCATCAGAAGTGGCTTGCACAGCAAGATGCTGCTGGAACAGACAATCTGTTGCAAAAATTGAAGATTGGTTTGAAACCTGAAGATGATATTTTCCTTGATGAGGGTGATGAAAAAGAAGTTAGCGGGGATGAAGAAGACTATGACCATCAAGAGGAGGCACCAAAACTATCTACTTGCATGAGTACAAAGAAAGCAAAGGAAATCATTACTCAGATGTTTGTGGATAAAGATGACGCATTCTTATCTGATGAAGATGAGGAAACAGAGAAGCTTCGAGTGAAGCAGCAACTTCTTATTAGGAGTGTAAGTTATCTACTTTGCTCTGTCTCTCTTCTCTTTTCAGAAATGGTCATGATTCGGAAATTGAAACAGGAACAGCAAAGTGCACTCATTTCTCCAATGGATGATGAAAGCTCCCGAGAAGTGTTTGGTCTCATTAAGAAGCATAACATCGTGCCAGACAATAAGAAGAAAGCAAAAGCGTCATGTAAGAAACTGTTGCGTAACTAGTTGCTCATGTCTTATATGTGCCTTTACATTCTAAAATGAATAATTGCATATTCATATGGTTAGTATTTCTCATAGTTTTTGTTGTTGTACAACTTTGCAGCGTACTTTGATTCAGTTTTAAGAGGAGGAAGTAACACGAGTTTCTCTAAGGTATGCCTTTTGAACTTGGGAAAACAAAAGTTCTTTTTCACTGTTTATGTAATGTTAGAGTTGAGAAGTATCTGCCACCCCTATAGAGTTTGAAATGCAATAAGGTCAATAAGGTGTGCAGCTGACTACAGACTAACGTGTAGAGCTCGGTAGTTATAATCTAGGAATTTTAGGCGTTGGTTTTCCAGTTCTAGAATGCCATACCTATATGACGAAATATCTGATGATTTATCAATTTTCCTGCAATGAAAATCATTGATTTCTCCAACTAAAGGTTTGATCTCTGTTATTCATGCAGCCATCTTTCCGCGGTCGGTTGTCAAATCATCTTCCATCATCCCGCAAGCAAAGTTCAGGTGCTGCTAGATCCTTTATTTTTGGGAGGGATGACAGCAACAGCAGGAGTTCAATCTCAATATCCGATGACTCTTCAGATACAGTAAGTAATTTCTGGACTAATAATTTACCTTATAATCAATATTCACTCATATGGAGTGGTAAATTATTCTCGTTCATAGAAGACAAAATGCTTATTCTGGCGATTGCTGTTATTGTTGAACTGCTCTTCACTTTAGTCTATTGTGCTATGCGTTATTGAGGTTGCAAATTTGGAGCTTATATCATGGCAGAAATGTGGCAGTTTAACAATACTGTAATTGAATAATGCAGATCTTCAAAGAAACTCAAGTTACTAGGAATTCCTCTGCCACATTTAGCAGTTCTCAGGCCAAATTCAGCAGTCAATACAGAAATACTACAACTATCCGATCATCCAGCGCTTCTCTAATTGATATCTTGAAGCGAGCCTCAACCCAATCTGCAATACCCAATAACGGCGATCCGGTTGATTTGACTCATGTTTTGGCTACTTTTAAAGTTCCTAAGAAGCCTATTCGGGTAGACGTGAGAAGCTGAAATACTGGGAACTCTCAGTTAAGCATAGGCTACAACGAGGTGAAGCAAACTAGTGGACGTCTATCCTCATGTCGAATAGAAACTAGTTTTGCTAGACTCTGTATATTGAATGCTCTCTCCGCTATGATTGAAGAATCGTGGAAGTAGAGATATTCCAGCGGGCTCCTTAATTTCCTTTGATATGCTCAGCTTTTCCCTTATTTTTTGCTTGATGGGATTTTATTCACAAGCATTCCTCTTTCTCCTGATCGTTATTACGTTCATTAATTTCTGTTCATTGAATGTATGAAAAAGTACGATTAATTTCAGCCTTCATTAACTATTGTTATCCTCTGCTGTATATTAGATTTTCTCCCTCTGCTGGTATGAAATGTGCTAATAAAATGCGTACAATTGTTGCATTGATTCATTGAATGTATTTCTTTTGACAAATAGCATCTTTATGACCAATGTGAATCAACATGCTAATACAAAAATGAAGAAAAGCATTAAAATATAGATTCATGTTCCTTGTAAAAGTAAAATTGATGCATGAATCTTGTTATAATTAACTTAATAAAGGCCAATTTCCAAAAAAAAAAAAAAACTTAATGGAGGCCGCAAATATTTTAGGCTTTGTTTGTTTGGTTTTCTTGATAGTTTTTTTAAATTAATTTATTATTAACTGTCTCATCTCAACATACTTTTTTACATTTTCAATATATTTTTTTTATATTCTCGATATAAAAAACACCTAAAAATACACACTAAAAAAACAAAACAAACATACCCTTAGTGTCCAATGAACCACTTAGAACAAAATACTTCTATTCCTAGAACGTGACATAATGACATTATCTGGTTTTTGTCCTAATAACTAGATATATCTAAGGATCAATTAGACAACATTTGTTTATCGAAACTAGAGAGAAAAAGATATGAAGTTCTTAACTCATATATAATTCTTTTCTCTTGACCTTTAACTTTTTTCTCTTACTCACATCATTACTTTCTTGTTTCAATTATTCTGTTTAGAAGTCATCATAATGACCGATAAATGGAGCAGAGGAATAAGGGTAGTCTTAATGACGTAGATTTCCATCAGCAAAATGTCCAATTCCACCAGTCAACTTTGCTCTTAATGACACTGCTAGAAGCACTGTACTATTAATCTCCTTCCCTTATTACACAAATCCAACTTTTGTTGTCTTCCCCGTACAATCTCACCTGAAAATACTCGAACTTCTTGCCCTAAATCCTCCTTACTGAAACCCACAAAAAGCTCCCTAATTCAAACCATCAAATGAAAGTAAGATAAAGGGATCCTTTTCCGCTTATAGTTCTTCTGTTATACTCCAAAGAAAGAAAGAAAAAGATTGAAGAAAAGAACCTTGGAAAAGACCAAGCCTTTACTCGATCTAAACAGACATCTCAACTTCAGGGTCATGGAAGAAAAGATTTGAGCTGGGTTACTTAAATGATTTACTCTATGGCAGTTTCTCATAAAGGCAAGTTTCTCATACTTCATTTGCTTTTATCATTTAGTTTTTGTATTTATACGGTTCTGGGGGACTCAACCCCATTAGTTACTGTAACTCAAACTGAAGATGGGTCTGATACTGAGCGTAAACCTGATATTAATGAAGCTCTAGATGTTATAAAGCAGCAACAACTTCAATTAGAAAAGATGGAGGAGCTAGTTAAAAGTTTTAATGAATTGTTATCTAGATTAGAACAGCAATTTCCGGAGCCTTCAAAAGCTAGATCTCTGGGGGATAACAAGCAAGATACTGTCCGAAATGTTGAAATTGAAAATCGAAAGGTTGATGTTCCTTTGTCTACTGAGAAGATCGAGGGTGGAGAATTGGAAACCATTGCAAAAGATGGTGAAAGCTTAGGGGCAGTGTCGGTTACAAAGTTTAGTCCGTTTTGGTCAGAGAGGTTTCAGTTTGTCTCAGCTGTGAAATTGGGATCGAATCCCACTTTCATCAATGTGTTGCCGCCTCGAGATTTTGAGGGGTTCAGCAAGTATGTTGCTGTCGGAGATGATCGAGGGAAGGTCTATCTATTAGCAAGAAGTGGAGATGTTATGGTGCAGTTTGATTCATTGTCCCAATCCCCTGTAACTGCTATGGTTTCATTTATATCGGTGTATAAGAACGAAAGCATCCTTGTCACGGGGCATGAGGATGGTAACATTTTGATGCATCGAGTTTGGGAGGATTCAAGTGGGGATGAATGGAGTTCTCTAAGAATGGAAAACATTGTGAGGTTTGATGCACCTGAAGATGGGGATGGTTCTTCGCCTGTTACTAATTTGGAAGTGCATCATGTTGGTCAGAAGAGGTATATTTTGTCTACAGATTTGAGTGGCAAGATCAGAGTGTTCAGGGATAACGGGACAGTTTATGGCATGGCTTCACCGATGAGCAGGCCACTAGCATTCTTGAAGCAGAGGCTTTTATTTCTGACTGAGACTGGTGCTGGATCACTGGATTTGAGGACCATGAAGATTAGAGAAGCTGCATGTGAAGGATTGAACAGTTCTGTGGTTAAAAGCTATGTGTTTGATGCAACGGAGAGGTCAAAAGCTTATGGTTTTACTTCAGATGGGGATCTCATTCATGTGTTGCTTTTGGGTGATATAATGAACTTCAAATGCAGGGTTAGATCAAAAAGGAAATTCGACATGGGCGAGCCTGTTACATTTCAAGCTATCAAAGGCTATTTGCTTATTGGCAATGAGGACAACATCTATGTGCATAACGTATCCTCTCAGCATTATGTTAGGGCCGGTGGACCCAAATTTTTGTTCTCCGCAGCATATGATGGAATTATATCATCATTTCTATACCAACAGAAGAGTGACGTGGAGGTTGAAAAGAGAACTGTGAGACCTATTATAGCCAGTAACCATGAAAGACTTGTTATTCTCAGTCTTGGAGGAGGATATGTAGCAATGTTTCGATCTAACCTTCCGGTTTTCAAAAATGAGTTTAATACGATGCAATGGACTAGTCCTGTTTTGTTATTCATTCTGTTCCTTTTTGGAGCCTGGCACTTTTTTGCCCACAAGAAGGATGTTCTCACATCATGGGGACCAGATGATCCTTTTAGTTCCGCAGCAGTGACAAGTGGAGCTCCCTTGAGACCTGGTTCTAATGATAGATCACTCACAGATTCTTCGAGGAATGCTGATGTGGTTGAGTTGAGGGGTGCTGACATACGAGGCACATCCAGAAGGTATGCTTCTCCATCACGGTATCCTGGTGGAGCAGTGAATTCTTACAGGTCTGGTTCTACAGATGTGATTCATGCGAATCCTGTTTCAACTTCTGTTGAACCCAATTTTCTGAAAAACCAAGAATTGATATATAGAGGGTCAAATTTAGAAAATGCAGGCTTTCCGAAAAGAAGGGAGGGCTTATACCTTAGCAGTCAAGTTGTGGATGAAAAAAGTTAAACCTGTCAATTTCTCTTTTACATCACCACATACGGTTGGTCTTTTTGTTAAGCCTTCAATACATAGAAGAACATGGTCTGCAATTACTATGACAATTTATCATTTATATGAGAAACAATAAGTTTGCGTAGCTTGTTGTTCAAATACAAATTTCAATGTCTTAGCTTATTCTCTCTTAGTTTACTTACTCCATGTATAGATATATTATATGCCAATGGATTAAGTAGATATTAGGTTTAGTCTCACCTGGCACGCTGATGTTCTTCATCATATGCATTTTTGTTGAAAATGATCCTGAGTGATCAGTATTTAGCCATGGTGAACAACTAACATTTTCATCCCTCTTTAAAGTGGTTCAAGGCCGGAAGTGTTAATCCATTGTTACTTGCTGTTTTGAGGTTTGCTTAGTTTCTTTTTATTCCTGTATTTGATGCTAATCCTTTTTGTGCAGAGGTTTATAGAGTCACGATAATTACAGTTGCTACTTATTTCATAACCATTTTCCATAGTGATTCATGTGCCAGTACATTCGTCAGTGACTAATGTGTGATGATAGTATGTGATTCGACTACATTTCAGGCTGTCTGGAACCATTTTGAGTATTGATTTAACTGTGTGTTTACCAGTGACATTGTAGTTCCAGATTACAAGACGTGGAATTTTGATCATTCTGTTCTTCAGCCGAGGCTGTGAATCAACAATTTGGTTGAGGCTACTTTATAACTTCTCTCTCTCTTTTTTTTTTTTTTTTTAGTTTTGGTGAAATTTAAATCGTGCCCTAATTATAAAATGTAAATAAAACCGGAGGACGCAATTTGGAAAATCTAACGGTGGCTCTGCAGTTCCGTGATGGAAAAATTCTCTCTCTTCTTGGCGGGCTTCTGATGAGAAGGCCATCTTTCCACTAACTGATGTTAAACAACCATAAAGAGGATACTCCTTTCAGACCTATTTATAAGATACGAACTATAAATCTCGTGACTTATAATTTAGATGAAAAATAATTCGGTCTGTTTTAAAAAAAAATCCGCTTTTCATAGTTAAGAAATAAGAACCACATGGAATGGATTAGTGCGAACTCCAAGAAACGTATGATTAAGGCTAAAAAACAGAATATCACATCAAAATACCTTCACTTTGGTAAAGTTTTTCAAGAAGATGAGCATTTAACAGAAGAGCCTAAAAACGGAAAAAACATACAGAGACACGGCACCCAAGTTATCGTCATCAGTCCCGTCAAATTCAAACGTTATTGCTTTTTATTTATGCAGTTTTGCCCTGAAGTTTTAGCCATACGAATAACTGACTAACCATCCCAAAATTCATCCTCAAAACCGGTAAGCAGCTGACTCTTTTTTTTTTTTTTTGGAGTCCTTTTCCGTTTCGTCTGTGACATTTTCAGCCATCACCACCGACTCATCTTCGTTGCGTGCGTCAAATCCACGTGGCTTGCAGGCGTTCCGTCATCGCTGCTCGTGGCTCGTGACGTTATCCAAAAATTGTACCGTTCGTCTCCATCGTTTTCTCTCTATTGCAAAAAAAAAAACGTTACAATTATAAGAATTAGGAAGTGATGTTTTCTGGGACCGCCAAAACTGATACGGTAAAAGTTGGAGTATTTCTTTTCATATATGACGATCAAGTGAACCCAATTGGTAAACGTATGAACCCGATTTTAAAATACTCTATCCGGTCCTTATCCAAATTGGTGACGAAGAAAATATATAATTGAAATTTTCTTTCCGCACCAAAGTAAGTCAACATCATTAATTTTTGTAAAATGGAATGTAACTTCACACTGAATTGCCAAACAAAGGACCGCTTCTCTTGATGCGAGACCTGTTGATGAGGTATGTAATCACACGTGATAATTAAGGAAGATTCAAAATTAATTAAACGGATACATTTTTTTTTCTCTTATATATTTTTTTAATGTGCTTGAAATAATAAATCAGCAAACGTATGTATTTGCTTTTGATTTGCATTTTAATGCATAGGTCCTCCCAATATAATTTGGGATATCTCCGACTATAAATGTAGAGACCGATAAGACGTCATCATGGAATTTTCTTCAATCTTTTAATGGTAAAAGCTAAAAAGAAATGGTGAGGTAAATGATTTTTATTTTTATAAGTTGCACTACAATCGAGTCAGTACTGTATAGTCTGCATTTGTGTCATATATATATTAGAAAAATAAAAACTGTATACTGTTCTTTATATATTTTTTTTTGGGGAAATTTTTGTGTGTGACTTGTTCCAATTAACATTATTAATCTCACTCCCGAGCCACCAGCTCAACTGATCGAGTCCACTACTACTACTAGCTTCGCACACAACCCACCATATTCAAAATCCAAAAGTTGAAAGCAAAGTTGGTTTATTTACATTTTGAGAAATTACTTTTCAAAAAAAAAACCAAACATTTTGAGAAATTCGAAAATTTCTCCTCGAAGTTTGAAGAATTTATTATTACATTCTTTAGTCTATATAACATTGACATCAACACTCAAGCATTCAAAGATAAAAATGCTTCACATTATGTGTTGTTCTTCATGCTCGATCTTGGAAACAGAAGAAAAAGACTCGGTGATAATAATATTATTTTTCAAATACTCATTTAAATTCAAATTGTCCCGTGTGTTATAAATACACGTACTATATTTATTTTAAGACGAAAAGAGTACATGTTACTTCAATTTTACCACTCCTTATATGATTTTGGACCACTAAACCGGATAATCATAATTTTCAAAAATATCAAGAAGCTATTTGCAATTTCTCCAAACAGTGCAGGAGGTTGGATTAATTAACCCAACAAATTCCACTAACACAATATGTAATCATCATTCACTGTTGACACTAAGAACAGTTCTTTTCTAATATACAAAAGAAAAAAAAAAGCTTTGGCGCAGTCCAACTAATTCAAACAAACCTCTCTTGAATCCTCTCCCCAAACGCAAGAGCCTTATTCCAACTAATTTCCTCTGGTTTTCTCTCCACTTATTTATCTTCAGATGCAATTTTTTTTGTCGCATGCACTGATTAGAGGTTTTTCTTAGTTGGAGAGGAAAAAGATTCAGCTTAATTTAGCGATGGCGGAACCGAGTAGGAATTCGAACTCGTTGACGGAAACCGGAATTCCGAACGGTTTGAACCGTATTAAGACTCGGCGAGTCACATCTTCGTCGTCGTCGTCGGCGAAGGAAAAGGACCAGAGGAGGAGTTCCGGAGCTGAAGATTTTGATAAATTAAACGATTCTCCGAATTCGGTGAAGCCTCATGTAAAACAGAAGCACCGAGTAGTCGGTAAAGGACAAGTTAAGAACAACGGTTATCGAGAAGGTAGTAATTGTTCGGTGTTCGTTGTCATTTTAAACTATTCCTGAAGTCAATTTCACGTGCTTATCCAGAATTGTGCTCACAAAATAGTTGTTGTATATCTGTTTGTGAAATGGAGTAATATAAACAACACACCGACGCACACATTCACTCACGATTATGTGTTTGGAAGGTTTTTTTGTTTTGTTTTTCTTCTTCTGGAAATTGAATCGGTTTGCTAGAAATGTATATATTACATGAATTTAATAAGTTTTTAGCCTTCTTTATGTTGGGGACTTTGTTGAAGTAAGCGAAAAGTACTAGTGTGATTTGTGAATGTATTTGGTTTGATGCATTTTACGTTGCTTCCTTGAATCATTTTTAAGCACAACTGCACAAGTGTTTCTGGTTGTTTATCTGTATGATTAGTAAGTTTAAATGTTCGCTGTTCTGTATTAGTGATGGAAATCTTAATTGATTTGCTATGGGAAATTAAATTTAAGCAAATCGGGGAATAAATGGATTTTATATATCTGTTGATATGTGGAAATTTTTGAATAGCTATTTATGGCAATAAGCCTTAAAAGTGTAGGTTATAGATGCTTGTGGTTTTGATCACGCTAATTAAAAGTCTTCCCTCTTTTTACTGGAGAATTGATTATCTAAGATCACATAAGATATATTGTGCATATGGAGTGAAGTAGAAATGTAATAACACGTGCATGTACGGTTTGAGGAGATCTTTTTGGATTACTTTAACTAGCTTCAAGCTAAATTTCAGTTCATTTTGCTTTGATTTTTTTTGTTGGACGTTCGATTAAAGAATCCAGGCAGATAATGTGTTGAACCTCTGGATTTGGCAGGGCTAAAAACCAAGAAAATCGCAAGGTGGTTTACAACACATCTCTCCAAGGATTCTGATCAGATGGTACGCATTTTTTGTCATCCAATTCATGTGTTTTCTAGCAGAGCTGTGTATTGATATGGTTGTCTGTAGTTACTCTGTCGATAATCATGCTGTTGCATTGCAGTATAGTAATTGTAATTTTGGAGAAAGTCGAGGGGCAATGAAAACGGTAGCTGTGGAACCGCGTGCTCCAGAGCGGGCAAGCAGCCGCAAAATACACAAAAGTTTGAAAAGTTTTTCACATGAATTAGGTCCAAAGGGTGGCATTCTTTCCGTGAATCCTCGTGCTCGAAGTTTTACTGATTTGAAGGTACGAGTTAAAAAGGGAAACAATTTTTGTAAGGTCTATTGTAGAACATAGTTTCTTTAGTTGTTATTATGTGTGTCAACAATCAGACCATTTCTTCTCCTTATCATTGATTTCTTTCTCTGGATTGGTGCTTAGGAACTCTTGGGATCATTGCATTCAAGGTTTGATGCTGCAAAGGAGGTGGTGAATACTGAGCTTGCTTGTTTCTCAAAGGAGTTGACTGACATTCTACAGGGAAATGATTTATTGTCTCTTGATGGACGGAGAATGGCAGAACGTCTCCTCGTTCTGGCTAAAAAGTGCATTAAAATGAGCACTGCAAAGTTTAGGACTAAGTGTGAGAAGATCGTTCAAGATTTAACTTTGAAGAGGCAGCAATGCCAAGCAGGATTATTAAAGTGGTTATTAACTCGCATGCTTTTCATATTGACAAGATGCACCAGATTGCTGCATTTTGAGATGGATGTTGAGCCAGTTGATGGAAAGTCTCTCCAAAAGTTCAAGAAATGTTTAGAGCGAATCCCTTCTCTTGAAGTGAATTGGTTTCTCAACGAAGAGATTGCTAGTTCTGAATCTGGACATAATGTCACAAGCAAGAATGGCTCTGTGTGTAATTTGCAGGAAACAGATGATGCAGACATTCTCACTCAACAAAGCCAGAGCCAACCTGAAGTGTCTGATGTGATGAGCCCCAAGGATATCTTGAGGACTGGAAAAGGTTCACCTTCGAGAAGCTCCTCCGTTCTTCCCAACGACCAAGAATTGTATAAATTTGATAGCGGGATGAATGCACAAGTAACAAACAGAACCACTTGTGGCTCATTTAAGGAGCAGGATCAATTTGTAGATGATTCTAATTTGATTATATGCAGAATATGTGAGGAACTTGTTCCTATTGCTCATCTGGAGTCTCATTCCTATATATGTGCCTATGCAGTTAAATGTGACTCAAATTACCTAGACGTAAATGAACGCCTTTTAAGACTTGCAGACTTACTTGAACAGCTAGTAGATTCACGTAATTTGGGTGCTCAAGATACGGATGATGCCCTTGAGACAAGACTACAATCGTCAGATTCTGCAATTGCTTCTGATACTAATTCACCGAAGGTTAATGAACCTCGAAATAGGGGGGTGGAGGAGATGTTTGAGGATCTCCATGGGATGGACACTGCTGCTATCGAGGATCTTCAAGTGACATCTTTTATTAACTCCAGAGGCTACCTGGGCAGCAAACTCAACCTTTGCGGTCCACCTTCCTCAGCTGGGAGCATGACATCGGCGTCATCCACAAATACACCTCGGGCTGGAAGTTTTGATGTCTTTTGGCTGGACCATAACAATTCGACTTACCTGGAGGATGTTAAACAGGTTCTTGGTCCTGAACTGATCAATAATTTACTGGCTAATTATTTGTTTTTAAGAATATGGGATATTGAACATTCTACCTAATGGTTTCAATTTCTATGTGGCATAATTAGATCATGGTGCAAATATGAAAACATGTTTATTGTTTCAGTCCAATTTGTGGTGCTTAATGGATAAAATACTTGCAAACATAATGAGATGTTAATGTCTCACATTTATGTTGGGGTTAAGCAGACCTGTATTTCTACTGTGCATGACTGTTTCTTCTCATGTGATCCATATGAAATTAGTTTTGGTTAAAATTTAACTTTTCTTTGTTATATTTACATTTATGGCACATTCACAAAAGAACTATGACCCGTTTAGTGTTCTAGGTTGAGATTGCCCTTTCGTATAACTGCTTTGTTGAAACAGTGGTGCATTATGGTAGCCAGTTTGAGTGAGTATAATTTTTCTTTTTTCATCTAGTCTTTTCCCATCTCTTCTGGTGGCTTCCTGAGAATCTACCATTAGTTCTAAGGTTGGTCTTTATGTGTGTGTGTGTGTTCCCTTGCACATTTCTGAGTTGCATTTCATTTTTTGGTTATGTGTCTACTTAGCTGGTGTTAAAGTTAAAATATGAGTTGAATTTTGCTTTTTCTAACACTTGAAGTTCTATTTTCAGATGGCTGACCTCGCAGACATTGCTCGCTGTGTGGCAGGCACGGATCTATCGGAACAAGGATCCAATGACTTCCTAGTTGCTTGCATGGAAGACCTTCAAGAAGTTTTGCAAAGCAGTAAGATTAAAGCTCTTGTTGTGGATACATTTGGTGGCCGGATAGAAAATCTTCTGCGGTAATTTGGAGTTCATAACAGAAAATGAAAAAGGACTCTGAAGTCAGAAGTTTTAAGGACTAACAAATGCACATTTATGCAGAGAGAAATTTATCCTTGCTTGCAATCTGGTGGATGCAAAAGGCAATGTTCAACATCCAGAAACCAAATTGATTCTGGAAAATTTATCTCAAAGTAGTGCTGTGTCAACACCTTCACATCCGTCATATAAAGACCGAACAAGTATTGATGATTTTGAAATCATCAAACCCATCAGCAAAGGTGCATTTGGCAAGGTTTATCTGGCAAGGAAACGAACAACTGGGGACTTGTTTGCAATAAAGGTACTTTTTGATGCGTTTAATGATATTACATCCATGCTTCTTGAGTTTTTTTAGTTTTCACTTTGCTAGTTACAAAACTATATCGAGTAGGTTTCTGTTATATCAGTGACCTAGTTTAATTGGATTAAATTTGGGTACTTCAAGCACTATGCATGATAAACTTCCTTTCGAGGATGTAGAGTGATGAAGTAGACATATCAGTTCAGAAGTAGACAAAGAGACGGGGTCAAGTGAAGGTGGTTTTGTGAAAGACTAGAGTAATTACCTTGGATCTGAATATGTTTTCTTCCTTTGTAATTTGTATCTGCATCCATGGATGGAATTGATTATTATTATTACTAAAATGTCATCGAGGATAATAAGACCAATACCTAAAATTGTTGAATTAGTATCCGAAAACTGAGACGTTCTTTTAACATGATTTGGTTGAATGATTGACGAGATTCACCCAGATGAAGCCACAGTAACTTCAGCTTGGCAAATGTTTATATCGTCCGTTTTGAGAATATGTAGCCCTTTTTATATTATTGAAAAGGGTGCATGATGCATTTGAACCAGTCGTACAAGTTTGTTTGCTAGTGTTGAATAGGATCTGTACTAGAAGTTTTGGACGTGTGTTGTTTCAGGATGCATGAAAGAGAGTTTTTCTCCACAAAGGCTCCTTGACTGTAGATTTCTCGCAATTACTTTGTTGGAGTGCCAAATGTAATATATGGAATATATATTTAAACACTATGAAAGTTATTTTCCCAGCGGTTCTCTCCGACCTTTTATACTCCTATTACAACAACACCATAAACTAAGTATTTATTGGATTCTGAGGGGTTGGCTATGTGGATCATCTCGTCGAGTCATCTCTTGAAATATTTTACTTTATGGTTTGTATAGGTACTCAAGAAAGTGGATATGTTCCGGAAGAATGATATTGACCGCATATTGGCAGAGCGTAACATACTGATAACAGTGCGGAATCCTTTTGTGGTATTCTCTCCTCCCAGTTCTATTAATTAAGCCTTGTCCTCGGTTGATCTACTACTAACATTATTTTCTGTTTACTAGCGGTTCTTTCTTCTTTTGCCTGATAGCCTCTATCACGTTTCCTAAATGTTTAGTACCATACTGTAGAATGGAATGTTTGTATTGAGGGTGTCGACCATGTTAATTTTTGAAAGCTTGTGCCCTGACAATTATATCCTTGGTATTGCAGGTTCGATTTTTTTACTCATTTACCAGTAAGGACCGCCTTTATTTGGTCATGGAATACTTGAACGGTGGAGATTTTTACTCTTTGCTTCAGAAAGTTGGTTGTCTTGAGGAAGAGATTGCTCGCATTTATATTTCAGAATTGGTATGATAAAACCCACCATTCAGATAACTTATTACCGTTTCCTTACGGTTTCCACAATAATAAAAGTCGGCTTCTTTCAGGTGCTTGCTTTGGAATATCTTCATTCTCTTGGAATTGTTCATCGTGATCTAAAGCCAGACAACATATTGATTGCTCATGATGGACATATCAAGGTTTGGCCGAAAAGCAAATTTTCAGATTTGTTACCACTGAAAGAATAAAATTTGGCGTGATGTTATATAATTCAATGCAAATTAGGTTTCCTCCTTTAAGCAATTATGAGCTTTACGACATGAATATAGCAAAATGTGCCGATATCAACAAAAAAATTTCTGGCTGTAGTTTGCAATTTGTACTTGCTATATAGTCTATCAAAGCTTCTGCTAATCTAATTTCATCATTGGAAGCATGGACTAAATGCATATCTTCATCTGTAATTAAACGGATGTTCTGTACCCATTTTTCCTCTTTTCCTTTTTTTGCCCCATTGTTTTATTTTTTACTGGTGTGGGTGGTTCCTTGGGAGATAGAAAAGTGACTTTCTAGGCCAACTGAGTTGTTTGAGATTCTCATATCAAATGTGGTTTTGTTGCATGTGGTTTAATCTATGTAGTCATTTATTTGGAGGTCTAACTGTGCTGATAGTATTATAAACATCTATTTGGACAGCTTACAGATTTTGGGCTATCAAAAATTGGCCTTATGAACAGCACAAGTGATTTAACACGATCTGAAATCAAAGACCGTACCTTTTCAGAAATACGTTCAGATTCAGTGGAAAGAGCTCATCGATCAGCTGTTGGCACTCCAGACTACTTGGCACCTGAAATCCTTCTTGGAACTCAGCATGGTTAGGCAACTGTTTTCTCCCCTTCATCCATGTAAACTTCTTGAATTTCTCTAATGATTGTTGCTGTGTCATCCCTTCAGGTTATGCCGCAGATTGGTGGTCCGTTGGGATCATTTTATTTGAACTCATTACAGGATTTCCGCCATTCACCGCCGAGCTTCCAGAGGTAGTATCCATCACGTGATTTGATAAATTGAATTCATTTGTAATGCAACAAGTTGAAAGTATCTCAAAAGAGGCAAGATGTCTAACTTTAGTGTTAATGCAGTTTGGAACTCAACCTTGACCTGTACATGTAACCTTAGCTTGACTCAAGCCTTTTTGGATCTCAATTTGTTGAGCACGTCTTCTGTGGTTGTTCTACTGTAAATCCAAAAAATGATTGATTGCTGTTACTTTGCCTGGTATTTTTGGCATTGGTCTTTAGGGCCCAGAAGCAGAATTGTACGTTCATAGCTATTCTTTTGTCATTTGGTCACATTTCTTCCTAATTTCGAGACTTTATTCATGAATTAATTTTTGTTCTATAAAATAGCTCAATGAGGCATCTGAAAAAGAATAGTTTTGTTCAGTTTCTGATAATGTACCATAGACTGCTTACGACTTTTGTTTCTCCGTTACATGAGTATGGGAGTAGAATATTGATGGTGTTTTGACTGGGTGATGTCTTACAAGGTATTTGGTAAGTATTCTTTTATTTATTCCATTGTAGCCTGGATGGCACATGGCATCTTAATTGGAATAGTATCACTGTGCTCTTGCTTGCTGCATCGTGCTTGATGTTGACTTAATCTTTAACCAAATTGGTGGTCTGGACATTAGATTACTCAGTATTGAAATGCCGGAGTTGTATTACAAAGTGTCTAGGGATTGCTGACATCTATTGATCAATAGATCATCAACTGTGGGTCTATTATAATTTATGTTTTGATTTTAGCTTAAATACTTTTGGTGCTTATGCTATGGGCATCATACGTTCCACCTGCACTCTTCACCAAAAGTTTGCTCAATCGTTTGACTTTGTCAGCGACAGTTGTTACATTCTCTATTGAACACAACTTGATTATTTCCTGCAATAAGCAGGTAATCTTCGACAACATTCTCAACAGGTTTATCCCTTGGCCTTCCATTCCTGATGAGATGTCAAATGAAGCCCAAGACTTGATTGAGAGGTGAATTGTCAGCTTTAATATATTTGATAAGCAAAATTTTGCAGCTTAAGGTGTCTTATCAGCATCACACTTTGTCATGTCCTTCACAAAATGACTATTGAAAACTTTCTCGAACATATAATGTAAATTACTGTGACTCATTTGGCTGCAAGTGCATGATCATGTATAGTAAGCATGATGTGTCTTTAGTATTCAAATTTCAAAGCTTATCTGCTCTGAAATTTTCTATGTTGTCAGGTACTGGCAACTTTCCTAATTGCTATGACACTAATGTATTAAGTTCTTCTTCCTGCAGTACCTTTCTTGTGAAACTGATACCTGTCTTTTGATTAACAAAATTCACTTAGAGGTTAAGTGGGAAGTATCATTTAAATCAGTGGGTCCATCTTTTCGTCCCGGGAAGTGCAAGTCATTTGTGGTTTTCTCAAAACTACAGAAGTGTCACCCAGGAAACCTGCATTTATTGCTAATTCATTTTTCATGCGTATTCTCTCAAGTCTCAATAAGATCCATAAGTAATGTCATTGCCTTTGTGAATATAGAATGTAATATTTATGCACGGTCACAAATTTTTTAAAATACTTATTCGCACTTGTGAATATAGAATTTAAGAATTTGCTGAAATTTTTGTTGGTTCGGGCATTACTGACACTTACATTTCGAGTACTGAGTGATCTAAAGGTTATACTCCTGAGACGTTGGTTATTAAACTGGTTATTGACTTGCTTGCATTAACTATTCTATCTTATGTAATGAAGATTATGAACGAGCTTTTAGTGTACTTATTGCTTTCTCCTCTCATGGATCCAAGCATGATGAAATAACCATTAAAATTTCCCTCATATCCGAGCCTTAAGCTTTCCTCATTTCACCAACATTCTTCTACTCTTATGTCCATTAATTATGCATTTGTTCTACCTGAATGAGTCCATCTTAGATTGGATCTGTTTTTTTAGGTTTCTAGCTCATGATCCAGATCAGCGGCTTGGCGCAAAAGGAGCATCGGAGGTTGAACTAAACTTTGTTCACTTGTTTAACAATTTCAGTTTCACATCATCACTGACCAAATTAGTTCTTAAAATCTGTTTCCTGGCGGTTGCTGATATAAAAGTAATTTGCTACTTGCTCAGGTAAAAGCTCATCCGTTCTTCATTGGAGTTGACTGGGACAATCTAGCATTGCAAAAGGTCGGAGATGCAAATTTCAGCTTGTTTTTGTGTGTGGGTGTGTGTGTTCGTGTGTTTGTGTGTGTGTTTGAGGTGAATCTCAGTAGCTTTTGACATTAGTGAGCGCAGAATCCAGTATTAATTAAACCTCTTTGGCTGAGCTGGATGCTCTTTCTGGTTATAAACAAAGCATTATCACGAGGTCAAATTGGGATTTAACAACAATGGTTATGCCCTCACACTGAACCTGATTCGAGAAGCACATAAATTTCTAGATTTGAGGAAACATTCTTCTGGAAAGTTGTTAATATGATTATAACTGGACATCTCCCAATTCTGATAGCTTTTCAATGCTAATTTTATTGCATCAACAGGCTGCGTTTGTACCTCAACCCGAAAGCATTGATGACACAAGCTACTTTGTCTCTCGATACAATTCAGTTGAACTAGGAAATGATGGAGATTTCAGTGACTCTATTTCTGACGAATCTGATTCATGCTCCACTTCCGGACTTGAGGTAATGAGAGATTCTATTACTTATGCATGTCATTCGTCCTCACTCTGGTTAGTTTAGCTATTTATATTGCCAGAATCAACTCTATTGGAGACACACTTTATTTCTGAGATTTCCTTCGGGATCTAATGAATCTTGATATCATCTGCAGAAGCTGGACGGTTTTGGTGATCTTGCTGAGTTCAGTTCTTCTCCTCTTGATCTTTCTTTGATGAATTTTTCCTTCAAGGTATCTAACTGCCATCTCTTCTACTCCTGTTTTTTTCTAAACAGTCTAATGGCGTAAAGTTTTCGGGGCAATAGCAGTTCTAATGTTGTTATTTATTGGAAGGCTTTACCATTTAGGCGAACAGTTAATCGTAAAAGTGGGCCTTCGTTTAAGAACTACATGCAAGTGAATTCTGTTTGTGCCAACTTGTGTGTGGAGCTGCAACCAGAAATGACCGTAAAGGCCGAATTCAAGGGTGTGGGAAAGGCTTTGCATTTTATTTTATTTTGGCTTTTTTAGGAGCCTTGCTTAGTTTCACGTCAATCTTTCAAAAATGCTTTTCAATATAACTATGCTTTTCAAAAATTTCTGCAATATAACTATGCAAGAATAGTGGAAAAGAAGAGATGAGTCGAGAATTATACTGTGCAACCCTTTCTAAACTAGGCGTAGTGAAGTTTAAAGTGATCTGCCATTTAGGATCAATTCATGATCTAGCTAACGGCAAACTTGCCATCCAACCATGAAAAACTGCTGTTTACAGAGCAGTAAACCATGACTCATTTCGGCTGTTGTGGAATTTTATCATGTCCTCTTTAGTTGGTAGATGAACTCCAGTGTTGGTTTCCTTTCCTGCAGAATTTGTCCCAGCTGGCATCCATCAACCACGATGTGCTGTTACAAGGAGGCAAAGATTCATCAAAGTGCTCCTCTCCTAATACTGTAGTACATAACTAGAATCGCATTACTGTCGCATTAAGTCTTGATAGAGTAAATCAATTGGTTGATATTCATGCCAATGTTGATTACCCGATAGTGGTGTTGGTGTTTGAGCTGGCTAGTTCAAGCAGAGGTAAACATCCTCACCATCCAAATGTATATAAATGATAATGTGTCGCTCAACTGTGAGAACATTGATGGAATTGTACAGATGGGCCAAATGAGAATTTTTAAGCCCAGAACTTAGCACCGATTCCTGTAATTTATGAGTGTATCACTGCCCAGTGCCCACAACGAGATTTAGCCGATCAAAGGAACAAGAAAAAAGAATGACTCGGGGAACAGCACTAGAAGATTTATTGGGTCGAAAGAATAATGGTGGATGATGCGTCTTATGCAAAAGAAAGAAGTATTTCCAATTAATCGTTGTTGTCAGTAATAGTTACAAATATTTATTCGGTTAAAAAATAAAATAAAATCTCTAATTAATAGTTGTTGAATCCTAGACACCAAAAAAATTCAGATAACCGATTAATAGTTGTTATCAATAGACACCGCATCATAGGAAAAAAAAAAATTATATTTAGATTTTTGGGTGCTACGGCCCAATTATGTCTTTAATGGGTCAACTAATTACCTGGATAATGGGCAAATCAAATACATTAGTACCCTAGTTTGTCTGTTTATTGGGCGAAAAAGTACAGTAATTTCAGCCCATAACAGAATTCTGGCCCATTAGATGATCGATTAATTGACTTAATTCACGAGGGGGAAAGAGTTTAATTTGGGTGTTGGTGGGAGCCATTTTTCTGCGATTTAAAGTTAACTTTTTCTGTTCAGGACAAAATAACTTTTTTAGGCAAATGAAGAACAAAAAATAAAAGTTCAGGTTTTGTGTCTAAACACACATAAAAAAGTTCTATGCTGTGCTGTAATGTGGCAAAAACAAACGTCCACACATCGAGCCCTTACTTTTACACTTTTATCCTGACCTATTTCAATATCATTAAATGAACATAACATGAGAGGATCTGGACGAGGCAGATGTTTCTAAAGAACAAAGATAAAACAGATAAAGGCAACGAAGAAATGGGGATAAGAAGACTATTATGAATTGAAAAACCCAAGGGATGTACAAAGAAGTTCGTCCGGCAACAAGATGACAAAAATCAGACCTGAAGGAGTCAAGAAGTTTCTAACTTAAGACTTTGTACTAATATATAGCATTTGGCATTGCAGTTACCGGGAAGAGAATCTTCAAATGTACCATGAATTAGACAGGAATGGGTATCCCCTTCTTCGCCATGCTATCAAGAACGTCATTGAGGGCCTGACAAAGCCCAACAATCTGTAAAAGGTTTCATCAACTGTTAGAATCTACAAATATAATGGCAACCTTATGATGTCTTGTAAGTGAAAACCTCCCAACCGGTGATTATGCCCATGTACATTTAGGCAAACATGAGAAGGTGTTTACCTGTTGATCCCACTGTTGTAGTTCTTCGGAATCGTCCTCAAAATGTATCACAGCTTCCACCTACCAAAGTGACCTCATATTAGTACTACTTTAAGAATCGTAATTCAGCTGTGGTGAAGGTATTACATGAATATATTTAAAGAAAATCTAAACCAAGGATGTAATGCTAAAAACTTTTTTTGCACAATATACCTGGTCAATAGAGCCCCTCATCCTATCTTCATAAATCATCTTTGATGCTATCTTCTCAGCCTGCAAAAGAAATAGACTCAAGTTCTCAAACTGCGCAAATTAGATGATGTGGATAGATTCACAATGATGCAGGTAGAAACACCCCAGAGAGGTCATAAAGGTACATGGATCCAAGCCAAGAAGAAATAATACGTCCTTATTGTCTCAACATGTTAATGCTGGTAGGATACACCAACCAAGGTCATACATATTACTTCATAGTGGTATCATTGATTGAAATTAAGCAAAAGCACTTGCACTAGTTTATACAAAAATGGTTAAGCACAAGCAGCATCGATGGCAATCCAACAAACCGACACCAGATATCCTTCAAATACAAGTAGGGTTGCAATAAATGTGCAATACATACGTTACACTCAAATCATAATTAAAGTTTGAGCATCAAGGTATCTGGTGTGATCTACTGGGGAAGGAACGTACCTTGTGAGGAGCAATGCCTAGCAAGGTCCCCAACTCATCGAAGCTATTTCAAAGAGATAAATGATAAGGTCACTCAAAAGAAAATATACGGATTACATATGAACTAACAGGAAAATGTAAAGAGGAAAATTTTAGACCTTATGTTTGTGTAGAGTTTACTAGCACTCAAAAGATTGTGCTCAATCATAGCACGATCCAGAACAGTAAAATTGTCAGGCAGCAGAGCTTTCTGAAACAAATTAACACAGCGTTTTGAAGGGTTAAGTAGGATCAGGGGCATTGAATTATCAGAGTTAAGACAGCGCAATTAGAAAACAAGTCCAACCTGATGTGGCTTGAGCTCTTCGGCAAATGCATCTATTTCTGGTTTCCTCAAAATCCTCTCCAGATAAACCTACCAGTCCCAAATTATCCAAACAAAATAACGTACATCAAGGATCCAGATAAACATGCAATATTCCATGGACAACTGATCAGCAAGTTCATATTGTACAGACTGAAAGAGTCATTCAAAGTACCTTTTGTAAGATCGGATATATTTTCAATTTAGAGCACCGTTCATCCTGCAAAAGTATTCGAAATTTGTCGAATCAGGGCCAAGTCCTAGTAATTACCAACTAGAAGCTTAGTTTAGTTGGGTCATGAAATAAGTAATAACTTCTTAAAAGCCTAATTTTACTAGACGCTAAAAGTATCATCCTAAGCTTTCATATCAGACAACTGATCAGTAACCTACAAGCACAGTTCATTGTGCTGACTTCCACATCAACAGCTATATTATCCTTCCAGCCACACACTTAGCATATAACCACAGGGAACACCTATCATTGCTTTTTCAAGAATGGAGGGAACTTGGAAGAAGAAGGAAACAAGATATTACATTATCCCATGACAGCATGTTTTACACGTTCATAAATTAAGAGCAGACTCTCTCCAGGACAGCAGATTTCATGCCGATTATTCAACATCAGGACGAGCGAAAGTTAAATACTCTTTACTTACAAATTATTTTTTGAAGCTCCCGTGAGCAGCAAATTCACAATGATACAAAAAAAAATTCTCGAACTGTTATGCAATGTTAACAGTTTTTAGGACTGGAAAGGAGGAAGAGGGGAAGGCATTTGAAAGCTGCAACCACCGAACCTTATATAATGTGGCAAGAACACGTGAACGCTGAGGACCTGCGGCAGCCAGAATTGTGCATGTTATAGCAGCAGATAAAGCTTGCTCCAATCCTTCTTCATCAATCTCTCTGCAACATGGAAATGACATAGGTAAGAAATGAAGTCTACAAATGTTTTTCGAAATTTGCCACCCAAACTAACATGCAAGAAAATCCTAGAAAAGAACACTTTAATAAAGCCTGAAACCTTCTAGAAACCTCAGTATCTGATGCAGACAAGAAAGGTAGAAGGATGCTATCACTAAGTTCTTCCATACACACCCAAGATCATCATGATCCGAGGAAGAAACCAAGTGTTAGAACTTTGGTTAAGTTAATCCTTTATTAAGCAGCAATTTAGTTAGTTTGTTATTATCAGAAAGAATTTTAAGGAAAGGGTATTTCAGTTTTAGCTATGCTGCAGGATTTTCTGTAATAAAAGGGAAATTAGGTGTGAATCCTAGTTTTCTCTGGTTTAGGTTAAGTTTTAGGCTATAAATATTGTACTTCATACGAGGAGAATTTTCAGTTTACAGCCTTAATAAAATTTCCTGCGAAGAAGCTTTGCTTTTCCAATGCTTGTGTGATACAACAAAGCCCTTGGTGTGATGCCTACGATTCCTGCAGTGTCATTCTGAAGCGGCCCTCAGAGTAATTCTCAGATTTTCTTCCTATTTTCCTGCAATTTCTACCTTGTTTCCCTACAGAATTCTTTAGCCTATCTTAGGTCTGGTTATCTTACCACCGCTGCCGGTCCTACATCAGTATCTGATATTCTGATGGAAGATCTTTCAATAAAAACAGATCAAAGCCAACCAGTGAGAGTTAAAGGTAAGAAAGCCTATAATATACCAATATAATCAACTTAAACCCACCCTACATAATTAATGGGATAAAGACTTGGTTATTGTTGAATCAACTTTAAGAATTAAGAGTAACAACAAATAAGATTATAGCCTGCACCCACTATACTACAAAAGAAAGACAAGATGAGAATTTAGATTTGCAAAGTTTGCAAAAAGCATTTAGACACCAGCAAACAAAATGTCCCAACCAGCCATATCACAAAAACCCAAGCCCCCTCTTCCCTAAAGAAATTATCATAATAAAGAAACTAAATATCCGGGCTTATCAGAGACGTAAAGGAAATTTGCTTTTAAGGAAACATACTCATCCCCAATTTGCCGCTTCTCAATTTGAGAAATATCATAATAGCGTATTGCAGCTTCCAGAAATTTCCTCTTCAAATCTAGAATCCTAGCATAACAAACCTGGCATAATCATGAAGAAAGAATAAATACAACAGAGATGGCGTTGCTTCCATTATAACAACATTTTTGATGTCATGTACCAACCTTGTACTGCAAGTTTAATACTTCATGTTTACTGTTGCTAACTAAAAATGAAGCTTTGTTAATAAAAGCTTCAGCATTCACAGCATCATCATCCTGCAGACAAAAACGAGTAGGTCATTTAATGCTCATACTTTTGATTCTATACAGTTGACATGAACAAAGATTGTAGAAATGTAAGTGGCAAGGACACGAATGAGAGCAAACTGCTACCAGAAAACACGACCTTTACACCTAAAATTGGTTGTACAACATGCAAATACAATAAAACAAATGATGATGAGCAAACAGAATATATCCCGACTATTTATATAACTATGTTAGCAATTTACAGATAATACTTCTCCAAAAAAATTGTCACAAATACACAAGGCGTGAGCTTAATTTATTAATAACCAGCAGACATGAATCCTGAAAGAAACAAGCATATGCACACTCCTCAGCAAACATAATAATCCTGGAAGCATCAATAGATAAGGTTTATAAAAACAATTTCATTTGGCCACCGATTATGCAACCTGAGGTAGGCTTTCTTTTCTGTTTCTAATGAGAATTTTGCTTATCCTGAAGTCTACAAGTAACACACCTTATAAATGCAATCATTTGAGAATCACGACACACATTATCTCCAGTTAACACCAGTAAATCGATATAGTATACGCCAATGCAAGAAGTACCTCAAGGTAGAGACGAGCAATTTGAACACATTTTGATAGCCTGAACGTATCATCAATCACTCTGAGAAGGTTTCAAAATCAGAAACATATCAGAAATAAGCATTAAAGTCTTTATCCCACTGTGTAGGATCAGCCCCTTTCAGAATTTAGCATCCTCATATAAAATGCTCACAATATGAAATTAACAGAAACCAACAAACCTCATTCCAGAATCCAGATCAATGCCACTAAGCATCTGGGCAGCTTTTGACCATAATTGCTCAGACTCGTATAATTCCGCAAGCTTCTCTCTGATTATAAGGACCTACAACACAATGAAATGAGGAGCATATATCAGAAACAATAAGCATGACCATAAGAAACTAATACATAATAACCATTAGGTATATCAGCTGTTTAATCTTCAAAGAGAAAAAGACAACAGAAAGAGAGAAGTAGAAAAAACAGAGGAAGAAACCATCATTATGAACCCCTAATCATTACAGTACAAAGATGCTTTAAGTTCCATTAACAAAACAATCTAAAAGCTTTTAGGGAACAAAAAAGGATAAACAAAGAAGCTAAACAGGTATCATCTGGCATAGAACATTACTTTCCATGGTCCAACAAAGAAGTAGTTAAGCTGAAAAGGCTGATTTCTATACTAAAACAGCTTTTGTCAACGCATATCCTTAATCTCCACATAAAGTTACATTCAAAGAAAGGACATCAGCTTTAAAAGATATAAAATCAACTATATTGCTATCCCCTTTAACCTCTTCTCAATGCTTCACCACCTTGAAGACCTGTACGTTAACCAATATATCTAGCTTTGCTTCCATGGCACTTTGTTTATCACTTTGGTGACTAAGATAAACACAATTCTCATGTCCGGTAAACTTAAAATTCTGGGCTTGTTCAGTTAAATGTTATTTAACCAAGAAATTGCATCGACAGTGAGCTAAAAACAGAACCTTAACATTCAAAGATCCTTTTAATGTCTGACTGTGAAACAAATATGAAAGCAATAATATCAGAACCTCAGTTTGAGTGACATCAAGGCACATAAATAGATAACGGTAGAAAAGGTCCCTAAGGCACAATATCGTCGTAAAAGTTAGTGAATACTAACTTGTTCCTCAAACGACACAACGCGAGGTTGGATTTGATTCAGTGTGTAGTGCGCAATCTCCTTCTGCGCCTCCGCCTCCAAATTCCCCAATTCTTGAGCGAACATTTGCAAAAGTTGCCTCGAAACAACAAGAGGTACATCGTCCGACAGCACTACCAAAAAAAAAAAAAAATCACATAACAACATTAACCAAACCAAACTTTAACGAGACCGTAATTCGGTGAACCCTAGGAAAATCAAAAGTAAAACCGAAAACGAAAGGCGTAAAAAGAACTTCGAGGTTTGAGAGTTTACTGTGATCGATGAATCTCTTGGCCTGCTGGATGTCGTTGGCAGCAAGAACTGTAGAGAGAATGAGCTTGTATTGCTCGATTTTTTGCCTCTGGTCGCTAATCGCAGAGGCATTAGCGAACGCGTTCTCCATTGTTGGTAAAACTAGGGTTTATCCGTTTCGCGCCTCTTCAGTGGAAATTTGGAATTGGGGGAGAGGATTTATGTATAGAAGAACCGGAGCGCTTGGGTTTTTCGAACGTGGAAAGTCGTTCCGAGTGTTTTGTACTTATAGCAGGGCGGAGAGCACGGCAGGGCTGGTGGCTAAAGTTAGATTACTGTTTTACCCTTGTAAGCTATAATAGTAATTCGGTAATATGGTACAAACTACCAGGTGCAGTATATAAGTTTTTTAAAACTTTCTGCGGGTTTCTTAGCAAAAAGCCAAAAAGTTACTATATATTAGTAGTGGAAGTGGAATTTGGAAAAGCAACAGTGTCTTTAACTATACATAAAATCACAAAAAGAATCCAAAGGAATGGAAAACTATTTTTATTTTGGTTAAATGGATAGCCAAATGACAAATACATAGATAACTAATAATATTTTTATGCTATCACTCAATAAAGAATTCACTTAAATTGGAACATTGTAAAGTATTTGGTATTAGTTTCTTGAACAAATTTTATTTTTTAGAATCTAAGAAACATGCCACTCTTTTTGAGTTTTGACATGGACTTGTCTAGTAGATTTAAGTATTACACTCAGATTATCCTTAGCTATATTCTTTCTCTAAGATATCAATACTAATTACAGATTCAATTTTTTGACAAAAATAATGATATGTACAGGGAAAAAATAACAAGGAAAAATGACAAAAAATTGATCATAGGTATTCATTTTTAGCACTTCCATTTGGGATTTAACCCTTTAAGTTATGACATAATTTAGATGATTGACAAATCATTCCTTATAAATTTTTCTTGTAATTTTCTCTATCACTACACTTTTGACAAATACTAATAGAAAAAAGCTTGTTGTTGTTGTTATTGTTGTTGTTGTTATTGTTGTTGTTGATGACTTGTTATGTATCACTACTCTTTTGACAAATACTAATGTCTAATCAACTTGATGACCGCATAACTTTCGGAACAATGCATGAAAAAGGGGTAAGAGAGGGTGTAGAAATGCAGATAAAACATGAGGTATGCCTCGAAAATATTTATCAGAACTTTTGGGCTTTGATCAATAAATATGATTTTGTGTAGTGAATTTCTCTTTATTTTATTCATTTTTTTGGGGTAAAAAAGCATGAAACGACAGAGTTTCTCCATATTGGGAAGATGGCAGCTCAGACACAGACGCCACACAACAGCACACGAAGCAGCACAGTAACTCTGATGACTTTTAGTGTCGATTCTTTCAATTGAATAATCGTTCTGGATCGCCGCTGCCTGATCACCACCTTCCCGTCCGGCGGCCGCCGGGAGTTTCATCTTGTTTAACTGGAAATCCATACCAATCTGCCGATCTCTCCCCTTTCATCTTTCATTGGATCAGGAATATTTCAATATCGCTGTTGCTCTTCCGCCACTACAGCCGCTTCTTAAAGCCGACGGTAAGTTTATCATATTTAGTCTGTTAAAGATATTAGGGGTGTTCAATTTTGTGAGCTGCAAAATCTGTATTGTTAGAGATCCAAATTCTGTTCCTTTTAGTTTCATAAATTAATTTGAAGAGCTTTTAAGCCATTTCTGTGAATTTTGTGCGTAGCTAATTCAGATACTTTTTTGTGGATTCGGTTTGTTGTTGTGTTTTAAGGTTGAACTTGCTTATATCACTTAAATAGTTAAATGTAATAGTTCCTTTTGCATGCAATGCATCTCTGGATTACGATGGAGTGATGGGAAAGATTGGTTTTTGTTTAAATTCTTAGCATTTAGGTTGTATTTTTGGCAATATCAACATGATCTTTTACTGTCTTTTAGGTATTTTCTTGGTGCCATGAACTGGATTCAGCGCAAGATTTACCTGTACAATGTTACTTTTGGACTCTACATGTTGGATTGGTGGGAAAGATACCTCTTCAGTATCCTTATCTTGATTGACATCACATTCTAAATTTCACATTTTTATTCTTGCTCAAGGCAAAATTTTGGTTTCTCAGTTTAGTCTGAAATGGTTCTGGATGCTTTAGATTTAATTTTCAGAATTCCTTCAATATGAGATGGCCATTTTATTAGTTCTAACCTAGCCGTTGTTGTGGTTTTTATGTCGTAAAATTACTTCAAAGTTGTGGGTTTTAATTGTCTTACTAATGAGTTTCCTTGTGTAGTTTTTCTGAATGACCTCATAGGAAGTGTAGTTGTTGTTACAATGTTGTTCTCAACGGTTAAGAGTAAGTGAGACATACATGTGGCTGCTATCGAATCATTTGGACTTCATATGTTGCAATTTAAGTTATTCCACGTTCTCCTTAACATTTTCAGATACTTTGATTGTCGTGTTGATGTGGTTTATTTTCTACAACACATCAAAGTATGTCAGTGATATCTGCAAAAGGTATTTCTACTCCTAACACAAAACTCCGCAAATGTTGACATCCTGTTCCATTTTCTATTTCGTTTTTCCAAGTACAGCTCCAGATCTAGTATATGGAAGCTGTTTTTTACTACTTTAGATTCATCCAATAAAATGATTGAAAGGAGAAACTCATCATTTTAGCAATTGAAATTTTGAGAAATATTATCTTCCTGCAGTAATGTCATTACCATATATTACCATTGGATTTTGAGAGAAAGAGGGTTTTTTTATATCATTATTCAGTTTGACAAATCCCGATGGCTAGTTATGATCCGTGTAGGTAACCTCATGTAATGGGGTAAAATATTAGCTGTTTTCCTGCCATATTAAGTGATCTTAATGTATCATTATACATTATGATAGTTGCTTTTTCCTGACTCTAAACTTGGCAAGACTGGTATTTGAATGTTTGAGGCACTTTATCTACAGCAATCCAATGGCAAAACCCATATTCTCTGCATAGATACGATGATTACTTTAAATCTATACCTCAATTTGTGTTATTTTGCTTGTGTTCTGATCTTTTCTGAACTAGTGTTTGTAAGTTCTTTGCTCTCTTTGTACTGCAAGCTTGTAGAAGATATCTAGGTCTATTTGCACTGTAAGGTTGTGGTAGCATGCTAAGAATATAAGGAAGATTGGCTTGGGGACTAAATACATTCAGAATCTTTACTGTTTCTTTAACCTGATTGAGAGAGAGTAATAATTTCAGTTTCTGTTTTCAGGTACTTGTGAGAGAAATCTGTAGTGATTGAGCAAACCTGATTGAAGAGCAAGTGTGGCACTCTAGCATAACTCTGCTGTATTGTTTCTGTTATTCGATTTGATGATAAGCCCACAAGGCCACGATGTTGTACTCTAATCTGCTACAAAAGGTTTTAGGAATCAATTGATTTTGCCAGTGTGTTGTATCCCTGTGTTTTTTTTCGCCTCTCAAACTCTTATCTCATGACATCTCTAACCTTCCTTGCATTGCCACTTTCACATCTTCACCTCTACTTTACATTTAGAAGCAAATCCCCATATAATAAATTCAAACAAAACAAATTATTTTGAAATCTCCTAAATTTTGTTGGTGATAGAAATTGAATCAAATTCATTAGTGATCAGAATGTATGATATCTCTAGAAGACAAAAATATCAGCATGAAGATAGGGTACCTACCCATTTTTACTCCAAATTTCTGGAGTACCGTTCACAGGTGTACGTGTGGCCTTTACACTAGACGATAACATTTACCTGTGGATCTATATCCCATCCGCCACGTACAGAAGTGTAAAAGAACTTCCTTTTTGAGTTTTCGGACCTTTCCGGGGAAGAAAAAAAAAAAAATCCAAATCCCACGTAGCAAAGATTTACATTAAAGTTCACAAACAATCCTAAATTAGTAAAATCCAATCCAAGTAGCAAAAACCTATATACACATTCAGTACGCGGGCTATAAGTAGAAATACAATCAGATGATCTGATTCTTTTTGTTTCTTCTTCACCAGGAATCATTTCCAATCCTCGCCACAAAGAATAGTACTTCCTCAGCTCCTGGAGACGCATTGTTATTGCAGTTTTCTGTGAAAACAAAAAAAAAAAAAAAAAAAAGGAAACACAGCGCATTTATTGCACTTTTCTGTAATTCAGGTTTATTGTTTTTTTATTGAAGCGAATCAAAGTTGCTGATTTTGACAATATCACGCTCCAAGTCCAGCAATGGAACACTCGGGTCAGCTCTCCGATTCCCAGTTCCTTGCGTTTTTTCATGATTTAATTTTTGTTTACTTGATTGATCTTCTGATGCACGAGTTCTCGTAAAAGAAGTTCATTAGTTTTTCCCTTTTTTGTTCTTTATGATGTTTGCCAAGAATGCTTTACTTGATACATATTGATTTAGTTAGGCATGACGTTATCCCAGATTATTGTTGATGCTGATGAGGTTACATTTAAGGGTTTTCATTTGATTTTTCACTCATATTTATGGTATGGATAAAAATTACCAGTTGTTCCTTTTTTGAATTGTGGGAAAACTAGGCAAATATGAGATTCAAAATGGAACTTGCGGAAGCATTCTTGAAGCGCCCATCTATTATTGCTTCTGAATGGTTTAAGGTGGTTTAGGATTAAAGAGACTGGTGTTACCGCTACCTGTTATTGCCTGGAACCTTTTTGATTAGTCGAATACTGTTTTCAAATAAAGATTCAAGTTTCTGCTCGTTTTTTATTTTGGTTGATATGGTGTACAGAGAATCATCAAGAAATTATGGTGCCTCCTGTTGAAGGTGTTGCTGGTGGAGGAACTGCATATGGATGGAGTGACACTAGTGTGCACGATCCAAGTAAACTGATGGGGTCTATTGATCCTTTGAAAGTTCCAACTTCAGAATTAGTTCATATTTGGTGCATGCCAAGCACCGCTAATGTTGGTACTCAGGACATGCCGCGATCACTAGAACCTGTGAGTGCTGTGTTAACATTTTCTGGTACCTGATTGGCTTCAATTTTTCAGTTCTATTTTCTTTGCTATCCGTGTGCTTGACCTCATACTATCACTTGCTATGTGCCTTGCATAAGCCAAATGCCCCTATGCCTCTTCTTGTGTCAGTTTCACTGGTTATTTTTAATTTTTGATTGATCTCACTTTTCAATTCCCACTTCTAAGGACAAGAAGTGGGTAAGCAGAGCTCTTTTTGGTTTATTACTGTTCGGTGAACCATAGTTAGTTTAACTTATATTTTATACTGGGCATGCCTGTTGTTTAAAGTAGTTCTCACAAAATGGAAATGTTTAACTTCCTTGATATATTGGTGGGTTAGAAAACATCATTTATTTATTTATTTTTTGAATCGGATTCCAAATTTTAACATTTAGTTTTTCTTTTTGTAGATATCTCTCCTAGCAGCAAGAAATGAGAGGGAAAGCATTCAAATTGCTTTACGCCCAAAGTATTCATGGGGTGGATCTGCTGCAGGAACTGTACAAATTCAGTGTACTGATCTATGCTCGACGTCAGGAGACAGGTTCATTTCTTGGTTTTGGAGTTCCGTCACTTTTGGATTTTATTATGTTGGAAACTGAAGCCATTTTTCCCAGATTGACAGCTGGTCAGGCATTGACACTTCGGCAAGTAGTTCCCATATTGGGGGTTCCAGATGCTCTTGTGCCCCTTGATATGCCAGCCTGTCATCTTAATTTGTCACCTGGGTATAAAATTATGTCCACATCATTATGTTCATATCTAGGCAAGTAAGATATCTACATATGCCCTTTTCTGTAGGTGTCAATAAGCATGATTATGTTTTATGCAGTGAAACAACTGCAGTTTGGATATCTGTGGACGTTCCAAGTGCGCAACCTCCTGGTCAATATGATGGGGAGCTGATAATAACGGCTACTGGAGCTGATGCAGAGTGATTGTCTATCCTCTTTAATTCAGTTAAATATTATTCTTGTTGTGTATATATTTGACCTCACTTTTGTATAATTAATCTTATTCATTTCAACAATGAAATTCCTCTAGATGGGTGATCAGTGTTATTCATCTGCGTTGTTTACTCTTGTCACAGATCTGGATCGTCTTGGCTGAGCAAAGCTGAGAAACATAAACTGTACGGACAACTTAGGAACTGTTTAGAAATCGTGGAACCCCTTGATGGAAAACCTATAGATGAAATGGTCGGTATCCTGGAAATCAGTATCATAGGATCTTTTTTCTTTTTTTTTTTCCCGTGTCATTTGATTAATGCTTACATATATCTTTTTCTCTTTCTAGGTGGAAAGGGTAAATTCAGCTTCCTCATACTTGAGAATGGTCCTAATGTCCCCATCATTCTCTGACTGCAATTCAGATACCGCCCCTCTAGATATGATGGAGGAAGATGCTATTTCGAACCTTTCTGTCAGGCTGAAGATAAGTTTGACAGTTTGGGACTTTGTTCTACCAGAAACTCCTTCCCTCCCTGCTGTTATTGGTGTATCCTGATAATTTAATCTTTATTCAACCTTTGCTCGATTAGCTAATTTGGGAATCTACACTGTGTTTTAATGCTGAAAGTGCTTGTTTTTGTGGGGAGTTCTGCAGTAGTTCTTTGAAAATGTTGAAACCAAATTGAAGAATACCAGTTTTCTTAATATGAGATTCCTACTTATCAGGTAACTTCTACAGTTCCATTTTTGTGAGCTGCTATAAAAGATGTTGTGATACCACAGTGTGGAAATGTGGCAACGACCTACTTTGAAAGCTGAAATCAGTCGTAAAAAACTTGAACAAAATGTTGAGGTCTATAACGTTTCTATGTACCATGCTGAGTCTTTCACATTCTGGGGATATTTAACACTTCAACCTGCACCGAGATAAATGCCAGTAAAGCATTATTGGCTTCCTTAACTATACTAGGTTTCTGACACGGTGATTGAAGACCGTTTTGGTGTTGAACATGGAAGTAGTGATTGGTACGAGGCCCTTGATCAGCATTTTAAGTGGCTACTTCAGTTTAAAATCAGCCCATATTTCTGTAGATGGGGTGACAGCATGAGAGTTTTGACATACACCTGTCCATGGCCAGGTATTAGAATGAAACCTGCTCTGTATATGGATGAGAAATAGCTTTATGATCTCCGTGTCGATGTATATGCATCTTTAAAATTACTTATATTTGAATCCTTGAGCAACCTGGTGTTAGAAATGAATTATAAAAACGTTGAGGAGCTCAAATTTTTAACAGAAGTTTTACATATTTCCAGTGGTGCTTTTCACTTTTTCGTTTTATGGCAACTTCCTTCTTTTTCTTCCCCCTTATTTTTCCTTTTCTTTTTTGAAGCATACTAATTGCAAGTTCTAACTGATACCTGTTTTGTGCAGCTGATCATCCAAAAGCGGATGAGTATTTTTCTGATCCCCGGCTTGCAGCATATGCCGTTCCATGTGCCCCTGTAGTTTCCAGGTTGAAAGTGTTGATATGCTTTAGATTGTTGTGAAATTTGTCTTCTTATATGATTTAACGAGTATCTTTTGCCTTCTAATTGCTACCAGTGATAATACAGAAGATTATCTGCATAAAGAAATTGATATTTTGAGCAAAAAGACTCACTGGAGAAAGGCCTATTTTTATCTGTGGGATGAGGTAAGATTATTCAAATGTAACTTGCCTGCTTTTAGCCCTTGCTGTAACTTGGTGTCCTATAGGTTTGAAAAATATAGTCCTCTGTTCTTACTTGTTAGTCATCATAGAGCTTTAGTTTCACTTCATAAAATTATAGTCTTCTTTTGCTTCCTTTCTTACATATAAACCCTGTCTTATAAACTACATTGTTTTATGTATCTTTAACTTTTTGTATTTTTAAATCACTGCACTGGCTTATCGCTTCTCACTTGCGCATATTCTTTTTACTGCTTATATCTTGTTGCTGATCCATGACACATTATCATGTGATGCTGAAAGATTATGAACGTGGAGTGGGGAGTCAACTGATGGTGTTTGTGGTGAGTTTGATGTTGGTATCGAACAAGTGAAACAGTATAGAAACTGATTTTGGTGTCAAATTCTCCAACATTACAAAGGAATTTCTTGTTCCTTTTGTTTATATTCCACATCAAGATTTTTGCATCTCCGCGCATGTTTAAGCTCAACAAAGCCATGTATGTCTAGATTCATAACTGCCGGTCTGCCGCAACTGAACATTTTGTTTCATGGCAGAGAGCTGTAAACAATTTGTGTTAGCATGTAAGCTAAACTCATTCTGTTTGTTTATTATGGCGTGAAATTGTACATGTCAAAGGGACAAAAGAATTTAGAAGATGAGAAAAGAATGAATAAACATGTCTCGGAGAGGACATTCTTTTTGTGGCTAAATTATTTGTACCCACAGCTCCAGATCCACCTTTCTTTTGTTTATATTTGATTGAAGGAAGAGCAAGGAATAAGAGTTGGGTGGGTTTCTCCTGTATGTGGATTATGCTGATATATGTGTTTCTTTCAGCCGCTGAATGTGGAGCACTATAACGCAATCCGTACCCTGGCTGCTGAGATTCATGCATATTCTCCAGAGGCTCGTGTTCTTACTACATACTACTGTGGTAAAATTCCCACTCCGCCCCCCAATTCTAGTGATAGGATGCACCGCTCTTGCATATTGTTTGCTTGCGTTGCGTTCGGGGTGAAACATCTTATTTTAGACATTTTGTGTGCATTTAGCTACTGAATTAATCCAGTCTCTGAAGCACTTTGTTTGGGTAAATAGTCTAAAACTTGGAGGACATGTTCCTTCTTTCCACTTGAATTTCTGGCAGGTCCAAGTGACGCTCCTCTTGCTTCTAATAATTTTGAGGCATTTCTCAAAGTTCCAGAGTATTTACGCCCTCATACTCAAATATATTGTACAAGGTATTCTTTTATGCAGCTTCATTTTTGGCACTTTAAATTGGGGAGGATAAGTTTTTATTTGTGCAACACAGATTCTAAGTTAACTTCAAAAAAATTTAACGGAATTTGAATGCAAGATCTATCTGCCGTGTTGTAGTTATTCTTATCATTGGAATTTCTAGTCTGTGTTCTAAGGTGTTTCAGCAGGTCTTAAGCTGCTTTCAAGCAAAACTCTTTAGTAATGGAGAACTTTATCCTCATTCAACATGCTTACTTTTCTAGTGATAATGTGAATAAGGACTTGATATTTGTCATTCAATTGTTTAGGTTTCAAATCTCAAAATTTACTCATTCTAGACCTTTTGATCACTAGATGCACAATAATGGGAAAATTTCTCTCTTTGCAGTGAATGGGTGATTGGGAACCGGGAGGATCTGGCGAAGGATATTATTGCTGAAATACAACCTGAAAATGATGAGGTAATGCTTGCTTCACCACTGTCTTTTAAGTATGACAAAGAATTACTTTTCTCATTTATTAGATCCCTGTTATTGTCCCCTGCTTGTGGTGTTTGGTTCTTTTTGAAAGAGAAATACAAGTAACTATAACACTCTGGTTGCCCTGCTTTTTCATCCTTGAATCTTTTCGTCTCCAAATTGTTTGGTAGCATTTACAGCTGGGAGAACAAAGTGAAGCCTTTTCAGGACGAAAGTTCCTCTTATTTTAACTGTTTTCCTAACAGGAGTGGTGGACATATGTATGTATGGGACCTTCTGATCCTCATCCTAACTGGCACCTCGGAATGCGAGGAACACAACACCGTGCAGTGATGTGGCGAGTATGGAAAGAAGGGGGAACAGGTTTTCTATATTGGGGTGCAAACTGTTATGAAAAAGCAATAGGTCCTAGTGCTGAGGTTCAGTCCCCTTACTGACAGGCTTCGTTGAATTGTTGGTAGTCTCTTTCTCCTAGTTCTCATGCTTGCCATATTACACATCTTTCTGCAGATAAGATTCAGGCGCGGCCTCCCTCCAGGCGATGGCGTATTGTTTTACCCAGGCCAGGTGTTCTCGTCCTCACGTGAACCTGTTGCTTCTCTGAGGCTTGAACGGCTTTTGAGTGGTTTGCAGGTACTGATTAAACACTGATTTATATGCATCTCTCGTCTTTTCTCCCCAACCCTCTCTTTTAGCCTTCTATGAAACACAGGCTACTACTATTGCTTTTAGGCTTAAACCCTCTCTTTTGATGGAAACTTAATACTGGCAATCAGCAGCACCTTAACCAGAGTTCTACTTATTAAACTAATGTTGGTAGTTTTTGCTCCTGGGGGCTTAATTGTTACTGTATATTCTTTAATTTGGCCACTGAATGTGTTTATTACAATGCGTTTTACCTGTACCAGGACGTAGAGTATCTCAGGCTCTATGCTTCGAGATTCGGTAGGGATCAAGGACTTGCTCTATTGGAAAAGACGGGGGTATATTTGGGTCCCGAAAGATACACTCTAGAACACACTCCAATTGATGTAATGCGAGGCGAGATCTATAGGACTTGTCGATCTTAGAATGTAACCTTTATCTTTTGGTCATTGTACATTTCTGTACGGTCATCATTGTAGTTTACTGATTTATTGACCGCGCGATATGCTTCTCTTCTTAAAATGGTACATATTACGCAGTGTTGCAGTCTTGTAGGGATATGGTTTGCTCTTCATGATTTGAATGCTCTATGCAGAGTTGAAGTGAGGTTGCATTATGAAAACACAATTTAAATGTTGAAAATCATTACTCCTAGTATATTTGTTCAAAGTTTTTCCTCAAACACAGATTCAACCATCGCATTAATCGCCAATTTAATGAGAAACAACAGCAAAACTTAAATGGAGCATGGCATCTCACTCAAGTATATGGTAGTGTTCTTTCCAGAAGCTTTTCTCAATGATATTGCAGTGTTCAACAACAATTTTCTTGCGGAATTTCCCAGCAACTTCAGCCTCGTCGACCATCTTTTCCTCCTTGTCCCAAAAAACAGAGGATCCTAAGCGGAACATTACTGGCATTGTGTTGTAATCAATGGAAAACTGACTCGCAAGTAGCTCATTCTTCTCCTTAGCAAAAGTACCTTTCAAACACTTCTGAGCTTCACTTTTGCTCTTACCAGACTTGACAAGCATCCAGAAACTAGTGTTGTATTGATTATTGATATGACAATCAACCTGTCTCCATGCCAAATAATCTTGAAGTATGTCGGACGATGGATAGCAAACAGCTCGTGCATCAAAATATGGTTGGTACTTCAACTCTTTGTGCGGAAAGTAATCTTTCCATTTCAACACATACATGGAAGTGAACAGAGAAACTATTGCAGATACTAATTGGCTAGCATGCCTTTCATATAACCAAGAATCCTTCTTTAGCACAAAGCTGTATTCATCGCTCACCCCATACGAGAAGATGATATCGTTGAACTCCTCCACCACGGCAACAGCAGCTGAATTCATGAGATTTAGGGCTAGTTCATCGTTTGGCTTCTCAAATTCATGAACATCAGAAAACCTGTGAAAGTGGCAACCATCAATACGAACAACAATCCAAGTAGATGGCAATAAACTGTTCTCAAACTGAAAAGACTTCACATACTCGGGCATGATCTTATTGATGTCCTTATCAAAACTTCCCAACTCTTTCACAAGACACGAATGGCCATTCCAGAAGCTCCTGGCTGCTATGTTTTCCGAATGAGTAACTATAACTTTCCTCCTCAATCTTTTTACAGGATCACCATTTTTGTCATACTTCACAATATCTTCAACCTCCGTCTTTAAAGCACACGAACCTTGACGAAACATAGCCGGAAGGTTCTTATAGTTTACTCCAAAATGTTGAAAAAGTATCTCATTTTTTTCTTGCTTTTGAGTACCCTCCAACATTTCCTTTACCTCTTTTTCCGACTTCCCACTTCCAATAAGCATCCAGAAACAAGTATTATAAAGATTTTCCAAATGACAAAACTGTTGTCTCCATGAAATATATGTTTGAAGAACTTCCAGCGTCGCGCAGCTCATAACTCGCGATCTAAACGATGGTAGGAACCTTAACTCCTTTTGGGGGAAAAATTCCTTCCATTTAGAGACGTAAACAGCAGTGAAAAACGATACAACAAGAGAATTGATTTTGCTAGCTCGCCTCTGGTAGAACTTTGTTCCTTTCTTGAACACAAAACTGTACTCATCACTAAATCCATATGCAAAGACTACATCTGCAAACTCCTCCAAAACAGCATTTGCACACGCATTCATCAATCCTAAAGCTCTCTCATCATTTGGTTTATCAAATCCATGAACATGCGAGAATCTGCTAAATTCACGGCCATCAACCCGAACAACAATAAGGTTCGGAAACATTATTTCATCTTCAACTTCGAATGACTTGACATACTCATACTTGCTATTCGCCATTTCATTCGAGGTTTTCTTCCCTCAAACTCAATCTTTCATAACCGAATTCAACAGACTTGAACAAAATTAGCAAAATCAAATACCAATGAACCTCATTCCCAAATTCGATAATCAATCAGAATAATTGATTATAATCAACAAGAATATAATTCCTCAAATATCAAACAGCTGATAGCAAACGCTCCTAATGGTTCGAATTCACTAGTAAACCGGCAGAAAAGATAAACAATGAAATGATGTACCGGTGTGGAGCGTTGACTTTCAACTGTTGACGGAAACAGAGAAACCCAGTGGAAGCGGCGAACTTTGCAGCAAAGTAGCAAACCAAAAGAGTGTTTCCTCCGGCGAAATTTGCAACAGATTTCCGACCCCGCCGCGTTGTGTTATACAAATAAACGGGCTACTAAAACTGTGTGTAGCCCAATTCATCACTTAATGAATGTGGGCCTGTTTAATAAAATTTTGGGCCAAGGATTTGTTATGCAATTTAAGCCTATTTGGGAAGAATTAATTCATATTTTCATTGACAATCTTTAAGTAATTTTTAACTTTTTTCAAGACACTAAATTTTTTACTATTGACCAATGAATAATCGAATGTGTGTTTTTAATGCTAAATATAATAAATATATACATTCCCTCCAATTAAAATTGTTTATTTTGTTGATCTATAACAAAGTGGACAATGTTTCTTTAGAACCGAATGAATACATCTTTTAAAAGATTTTAATATTTTGGATTTTTTATTTTAATGTTTTACTATTAAACATTCAAGTGTTATTTGACCATTAAAAAAATTACTACTTAGATTCCTGGATTTAATTTAATACTCTCTCCGTCCCAAAATTATTGTTCAGTTTGAGATTTTATTTTTAGTACAATTTGAACTAGAAATGGAAATCTAAACTAGACAATAATTATGGGACGGAAAGAGTATATTATACGATAGATTCCAAATATCCGCACGCAAGTAATAAGTGGAACCATTGACTTTGATCTTCAAATCTGAGATGGATTGTGGCATGAGATGATGATGTTACAACATATATATCTTGGTTCATCTCATCATCATCATCATTAATAACTACGCCAGAAAAGAGGTTGTGCTTTCTCCTTTTGATGATAAAAGCCTTTGAAAAAAAAACTAAAAATTGGTGTATGGGACATACATTGCCGTCAAGATTCAAGTACCAAATGGAAATTCAGAACTGTAAAAAGCTGAAAAGGAAAAAAGGAGGGAGAAGATAATCAAATTGGTGATGATTGCTTTGTGGGTTTCCACTAAATTGATCTTTTTTATATTTAGACATTCATTTTTGGTTACTGCTAATTATCCACCGGCCTCTGTGATGGCAAAAGGCATGGAAAAAACGTTATTGGGCAAATATAGCTTTCAATTATTCTCCACAAGTCTCCCTAACAATAAAATTGGTACTTACTTTTTGAGAAATTGATAGGTAAGGTGTTTGGAGGAAATTTGGCCTTGATGCCACCATTGTTTATGACGACCTTTCACTCTTTCGATGTGTCGTCCTTATAAAATGATTTTCCGTTTTTGTTAGTATATATGTATTAGGGTTAAATAAGGTTATCATTATAAACTTAAATCTATATTGTACCTTACACACATATATATATATAATATATATATGTATATACACTAAATCTAATTCGTGGTATCAACTGTTCATACACTTTCAATTTTTCCTTAACTTCAGTACGCCAATATGCAATAATAATATTACTCTTTAGAGAGAAAAAAAATCTCCTAACATTATTCTTTTCATTCATAATAGTTTAAAGTAAAATCTCTCAGCATTGTTCTTCTCATTCATAAATCATAATAGTCGAATATGGTCTTGGTTAAAAAGCCACCAAAACGATGAACATCAGAACCAAAATGAATGTTGGTAAAGTTAATTCCCTTTTTTTCCATTTCAATAATACATGGTTTTCTATGAACTTTTCTTGTCTCTCGGCTCTCGAAGCCATGTTTAAACGTATATGAAGCAGGAAATAGAAAGGAAAAAAAACCAAAAAAAGAAGAAGAAAACCATAGAAGACAAAAGCACAAACATCCACACTGTTTCGGTTTTAGATTTGCAAACCATTATTTGAAATTTGTCTGTAACGTAAAAGGGCGAAAAGGAAGTATCGCAATAGCTAACTATAGCAAAAATGGTCTGGCTCTGGCCTTTCCAAGTGACTACAACGACAGTCTATTTCACAGTATGATGATAGTATCATATTTCCTTTCTCCTTGTAATTTTTTTTTTTTAACTTTTTTATTTTCATATTTACAAGATGTCCACCCTCGGCAACAGTAACTAATCCCCCATCATTAAATTATAGGCACTTTAATGAGTGGGACAGCTAGCCAAAATATTTAAGGTTCCTTCATACCCATAGCAAGATTCGAACCCTGATTAAAAATGAAGAAGTCCTTTCCACTCCACCACAATCACTTTGATTTCTTTATAAAAAATTTGGAGACTAATTCGAAATATGAATGTAGTTTTTCACCTGTCAAAGATAAACATAAACATTGAGATTGATCATATTTTAAAGCAATTTTTGACTTGTGTTTTGTCGTGTGCAGTGTGTACGTTATTAAAAAGTCATGATACGTCCTCCTCATTCCACCAAAACATTCATACAATAACTTTTGTGCAAGAAACAAGGATTCCAAATTCAAAACGAAGAGAACTAATTTTTCTTCTCTTTCTAGTTAAGATCCACCAATTTTTGTTCATAACTAGCTCACCACAGTTAAAAGAAAAAAGAAAATAAAAGACTTACAAACTGATCAGCACAATATCAATGACCAAGTTGATCTTTTATTAACCTAATTGTGATATACTTCTAAATGGAGATTGGAGACTCATGGTCTTTGAAAGAAAGAAAATACTAGTTTTCGTTGTCTAAAATTATAATTATTCAGTTTAAATTATCAATTTTAATATAATTTGTACTAAGAATAAAATTTTTAAAATGAATAATAATTTCCACTAATTGGGTACTACTTTTGACAAATGTAAAAAAAAAAAAAACAAAAAATAAGAAAAAAAATCCAAATTCCAAAAATAAAACTGTCACTGTTAAGTCCTCCTTGAGCAAGAAGCAAACACAATACGAATATAAGTAGCCTCTTCTCATTCCATCTTTGACCGATTGACCGACGTCTAGTGTGAGTTTGGCTGGCATGAATGCAAGCATTTAAACAGCTGGGTTTCAGATGCTGAATAAATAAAGAGACAAGTTTTTATAGCAAAATCACAGAAAAACCAGGTCCATAGCCGACAAAACAGTCCGCAACTGGTCATTATTATCCATCGTCCTTATCCCCCATGTCTTCGCAGTTATTACTCTGTCATTTCATGTCCTCCTGTTGTATCGCCAGAAAATGCACCAAATTCAGTCTTTGTTCCAAACAAATTACCCTTAACGCTACTAATCTTGTTATTATGATCATCATACATAATGTCCACGAGATTGTGTGCCATTATTATTAATCTTATGTTTGTTTGTTTTTTTCATGGTTTTTTCCATATAATATAATAATAACTATCCGACCCTATCATATTTTTTTTTTACATTTTTAATACACGTTTTTATATTTTCGATACAAAAAGACTAAATTGTATAAATGGTCCCTTACATTTGTCCAAATTTAAATTTTGGTCCCTTATATCAACATGTATATGGATTAAGCCTTTACATTTCATTTTGAAACTTTTTTAGTCTCTTTTTACTGTTCCGTCACCATTTCCGTCTTGATGACCGTTTACCTTACCAAGTCAGGGGTATTTTCGGAATGACACATATAAGATCAAAATAACAAATGTTTAAATGGTCCCCTACATTTGTCCGAATTTGAATTTTGGTCCCCTACATCAACATGTATATGGATTGAGCCTTTACATTTCATTTGAAACTTTTTTGTCTCTTTCACTTTTAATCACCATTTCCGTCTTGATGACCGTTGACCCTACCAAGTCAGGGGTATTTTCGGAATGACACATATAAGATCAAAATAACAAATGTTTTTATAATAAAATAGGATAAAATATTTAAAATTATTACTTAATAATAAAAAATTAAATAATTTAAAAATAAAAATAAAAAATTAAAATGATTTCAAATTTCAAATTTCAAAATTTTTTTTCACTTCCCACCTTTGTGGGTCCAACATGCTAGTCAATTTCCCCTCTTTTTTTTGCTACAGTAAAAAAAAATCAAAATTAAAAATTAAACTTACCTTCACCCATCTTTTACCTTTACCAGCAGTGACTTGGTAAGAATAAAATTAATAATGGTAAAAAAAAAGTGAAAAGATATTGACTGGTAAAAGATTAATTTTACTCTTTTTTTATAGAATCTTTATCCTTAAAAATTTTATTCTCGTAATCTGAAATGCCATTTATTAATTTCATTCTTACCAAGTCACTGCTGGTAAAGGTAAAAGACGGGTGAAGGTAAGTTTACTTTTTAATTTTGATTTTTTTTACTGTAGTAAAAAAAAGGGGAAAAATTGACTAGCATGTGTGACCCACAAAGGTGGGAAGTGAAAAAAAATTTGAAATTTGAAATTTGAAATCATTTTAATTTTTTATTTTTTTTTAAATTATTTAATTTTTTATTATAAAATAATAATTTTAAATATTTTATTCTATTTTATTATAAAAACATTTGTTATTTTGATCTTATATGTGTCATCCCGAAAATAACCCTGACTTGGTAGGGTCAACGGTTATCAAGACGGAAATGGTGACGGAAAAGTGAAAAGAGACAAAAAAAAGTTTCAAAATGAAATGTAAAGGCTCAATCCATATACACGTTGATGTAAGGAACCAAAATTCAAATTCGGACAAATGTAGGGTACCATTTAAACATTTGTTATTTTGATCTTATATGTGTCATTCCGAAAATACTCCTGACTTGGTAGGGTCAACGGTCATCAAGACGGAAACGGTGACGGAACAGTGAAAAGATACCAAAAAGCTTCAAAATGAAATGTAAAGGCTCAATCCATATACATGTTGATGTAGGGGACCAAAATTTAAATTCGGACAAATATAGGGGACCATTTATACAGTTTAGTCATACAAAAAATATTTACAAACACACACTAAAAAAAGGAAACAAATACAGATGATCTCGTTGAAGGCAATGTTTGTTCTCCCCATGCACCATGAAATTTTGTCAACTGGTTTTTCTTTTATTAGTTGATCTGTTGATGTATTCATGCCATAACAATGCTTCTTTTGATCATTGCACGATATAATAGTACTTATTTCTTATTCCATGAACAGTAGCAATCTCTTTTTGTTTTCTTTTCTTATAGTTGCATTAACACTAATTGAACTGTTAATATTGTTGTAGTGATTTCTTTGAATATTTCGATTGACGAGGGGAATGTGAGTAAAATAATCAAAAGATACGAATGAGTTATATATCTTTGCAGCTCTCGTGTTTTTATACATTAATTTATGAACCTTAAGGCTTAAACTAATACTTTTTTTTAATCAAAATAATTTTCTAATTGACTTTTCATTTTCAGCATTATTAGACTACTAAAAATGAAGATTTAAAATGGACAAACATTTTGGATGTATTTTTTGTTTTATTACAATTCTTGGTGTCGACTTTTTTGTCTACTTAATAAAGCCGATGAAAAAGTCGATGAAAGTTAATAATCTATTGTTTTATATAAGTTTTTTCATTTTATTTATGATATTATTGTTTACTAATTAATCAATTGAGTCTGGATCCTAACATACAATCTACTCAAGTCACTTTAAGATCTAAATGCACGATGAAGCCATCATTTCTCTCTATCGGCCGGAGCCATGCATAATCATCAATATTGGATTTCCAAAGCAACCCCTTTATTTAGGAGTTAGGAGAGAAGTAAAATTAAGAGGTCGGAACCAAAGGATAGAACTTATAAGTGGATTCTGAATTCTGATAATCAAATTATGAAAATAGGGCCATAGGCGTAGATATAAAAGAGGAGAAAAAAAGGATCAAGTTTCGACAAGGTTCAAAAACGACAAAACAATCCACCGCACAGTCCGACTTTCTCCGACAAGTGTCATTAGTTTCTCAACGGAGCCACGTGGACGGTGGAATTCGCAGCACGGGACTAATTTGCTGAACCAGATCATAATAATAATAATAAATTTTTCAAAACTCAGAAAGAAAAAAAAAATAGACTTACTAAAAACCGAACAAAAAAAAGAAAAAGAAAAAAGAGGAGAAATATCCATGTAATGTGTGTAGTAAGCTGCCGCCGCTTGAAAAGCCATTTCTTTAATCATCTCTTTTTAAATTTTTTTTTCTTTTTTGTTTTTTTAACTTTAACAAAGTGATCAGGTCTCTAATAACTTCGTGCAAATCTCACTATACGATGTCTCTTTCTTTATTAGTTTTACACCTTTCTCTTTCTCTTCCCCTTTTATTAGTATTATTACTACAGAAAGGACAACGCCGCCGAGGTGTGAAAATGGTTCTCTTCTTCTTCGGTCGGTACACTTGACTTACAAAAAAACGGATTTGTTTTAAACTTTGTTCTTTTTGTCTTCACTTAAGCTCGATTCCAACATTCAAAAGAAGCTAAACTTTTCACTTGGGTTTCTTTCATTTTTCCAAATCAAAGCGTACACAGCTTAAATGGTGGAATTCTGGATTGAACCCAAATCTTGCTAGAGATTGATGAACACAAGTTGAGGTTTGTTTTTAGATATTGGGAGCTAAGAAAGAGGGGAAATAAATGGGTGATGTGGATACTTCATCAGCAATGACAAGTGCAGTAATAGTCCCTTCAAGTAATGCTTCTGAAGAAGCTAGTGTTTCTTCAGCTGGCAATCAAAATCAAGCTTTATCTCCTCCTCAAGTTGTACCTCCAAAGAAAAAGCGTAATCTTCCTGGAATGCCAGGTTACTCTGCTTCTGTTCTGCAAATTGAATAAAAATTAGTCCTTTTTATTCGTTCTTTGCGATGAACTCTTTTTTTTTTTTTTTTTGGTTTTTACTATTTGAATTAGTGGAAAGAAGAATAAAAAGATTGTAACTTTTTGGTGGGTTCTTTTTCTTCTTCTTCTTTTTTTTTTTTAATGCAGATCCAGATGCAGAAGTAATAGCTTTATCACCAACGACCCTTTTAGCAACAAATCGATTCGTATGTGAGATCTGCAACAAAGGTTTTCAGAGGGACCAGAATTTGCAGCTTCACCGAAGAGGTCACAATTTGCCATGGAAACTTCGTCAGAGAAATGGGAAAGAAGTGAAAAAGCGTGTTTACGTATGCCCTGAAGTCAGCTGCGTTCATCACGACCCTTCCAGAGCATTGGGTGATCTAACTGGCATCAAGAAGCATTTCTGTAGAAAACATGGTGAGAAGAAATGGAAGTGTGAACGCTGTTCTAAGAAGTATGCTGTCATGTCTGATTGGAAAGCCCACATGAAAACTTGTGGTACCCGAGAATACCGCTGTGATTGTGGCACCTTATTTTCAAGGTCTCTAAAAAAAAATTGAATTTTTTTTTGAATTTTTTTTTATCACCATTTTAATTTGTGATTATAAATTTGATTTTGGATTTTTTGGGGTGTGAATGTTTTTTTAGGAGGGATAGTTTCATAACACATAGAGCATTTTGTGATGCATTGGCTCAAGAGACTGCAAAATCTCAGACTCCAATTTCAAATGAGGAGAGGAATAATCCGAAAGCGGAAAAGGTAACGACGTCGTCTTTGTCTTCGAGTCCGCCGCCACCGCCGCTTACTCCGTCAACTGGGGTGCTTTCTCCGGTCTTGTCTGTTCAAAGTTCAGGTAACGTAATCTTACATTTGTCCATATTCCATTAATAGTATACTTCTTCTTTTTTTCCTCGTAATCTGGGGGCAGAAAACGTGGATATTATTAATATACATGTATATGGGCCGCCTTTTTTTTTATACTACTACAAAATTTTAGGACTACCGAAACTTGTTGAATTTTTGCCTTATTTTGTGCGGAATCACGTTGTTGTTTAATGCATTTGTTTTTGTCCATTTGTTTACTCTCCTTGTTTTCATGTGCAATTGTTGTCCGAATATTATGCAACCTCTTTTGTTTGTGTCCGTATGTGATTATAGTTTTGTACTATGATTTTGTCTTGTTCGAATGGATCTTGCCTAGCTGAATCATTTCAATTTAGTCAAGAGTGTTCAATGAATTGAGATTTTAAATGTAAAAACCAGGGCAGAAAATGAAGAACATACCTTGTTTTGATGTAAAGAGGGTTAAATATGGAAGTCAGTAATGAGGAGTGAGTAGGATGTAGGCCGAATCTATGAGGGATCATGTAAGAAGGTAATCAATGAGGGAGAGATATGACTCCATTATTGCCTTTAACTTTTACAGTAAAGATTTTTTAAATTCAAGGCTTTTGAGCATTAGGCGTTTCAGTTGAAAAGACTTTGCTTTTGTTGTAAAAAGTTGTGCTCTTTTTATGCATTTGGTAGTTCCAAACTGAAGTTCATTATTGGTTCTCATTATTTTTCATTTTTAATTGTAGAGTTGCCTGAAAATCAACCTTCACGTTCACAACCGGAACCGGTCACCCCGACCGTCTCCAATACAACTATGGTTGCGCCCGGAGTGGGGAACTCGCCGTCCTCAAGTTCTGGTGTTAATGTCAATAGCACAAGTGGTGCATTTGCTAGTCTGTTCGGAACATCCAGCTCTGCGGGGCTTTCGCTATCGTCACAGTCTCCTCCATCGTTATCCAGCTTGTTTTGTGGAATGGGCGGTCCTGAAAGGCTTGCTGTTGCTGAACCGATTTCACTTTCGCTGTCGCCTTCTCTGTACCTCTCCAACCATACATCGTCATTATTTCCTACCTCACCTCAGGATCATCAGAGACAGTATGCAACTAGCCCACAGCCAGCGGCATTATCTGCAACTGCATTGCTCCAAAAAGCAGCTCAAATAGGTGCAACATCGACTAGTTCGTCTTTCCTTCGAGGCCTTGGTTTGGCAATGCCAGTATCTCCCGACTTTCAGGGTAATAGTACTCCCAGCTCCACCTCTACAATCACCTCGTTGGCTCGTCCATCCATGAGAAACCCGGCGATGAGCCATGTGAAGTATGAAAATATACCAATTGCTCCAGGGCTTGGACTAGGACTACCATATGATCATTCTGTTTCAGGTTTGAACGACCAGATTATGATGAGGCCTCCGGCAATGTTTGGTGGCAGACCGACGACACTTGATTTTCTTGGTATTGGAATCGGGCCAGGCGACACTCCGTCAACAGATGGGATTTCGGCGTATCTGACCTCAATCAGCGGCAGTTCTGCAGCCGCCCCATCGTCTCTTGGTGGGGTGCACCTGGCTGGCGGGCATTGGGATGAGTCTAATGATAGGAAGCCATCTTTTCTTTAGGGGGGTTGTAATTTTTGGTTCCAATAGTTCAACCCATGCATCTCTCTTCTTTCTATTTTCGGTTTTGGGGAGAGTTTTTTTGTTGCTTTCATATGTCGATCCATGTATCTATGTACGCTTAGGGGGATATTACATGTAATTATGTAACTTTTGCATGTTCAATTTGATAGATTAAATAAATTTAATTCATCGTGAGGCAGATCGTACAAACGTTGGTAACTTGTTCCAACTTGTAAAGGACTTTTTATAATTTTTGAAATTATTAGTCAGTTTAGATTTTCATTTTTTAAATTGGTCAATAATTTTGGGACGAGGAGTATATAGCATTGGATTTGCTGGGGCGATTACATTGACTAATTCAAATATTGCATGTTGTATATTATAGGGGAAACTCCGCGTGCACACCTTTCGATTTGGTACTCTTTCGATTTGGTACTCAAAAAGTTTCCTAGCAAGTGAAAGTAAACATGTACAAACTTTTAACACTGAAAGTGTTTTTAGGAGAGTTCGAACCTGGATCTCACATGTTGGATTCCAAAGCCCAAATTACTGGGCCACTCCCTTGTTGGTGGGAGCAACCGGTTATTTTCATTCTTGATCATTGAGCGTGTTGAATGAAGAAGTACTAGCCAAAATATAGGCAAATGCATTTTTAGCTTGAAAAAGCCTATGAAAACTTGCGGGCTAGGAGACAGCTCAAATGTGGGGACTTAGGTGTTGAAGGCACTTCGCAAAATTCCCAATAATTTCTCACCCTACACTTAATACTACTACAGTCTAACAGTGTTTCTGGTACGAGTCTATCGGGGCATTCAACACACTAACCAAGAGGGCAAAAAAAAAAAAAAGCAAAAAAGAAAAGGAGAGATTAAAAGAGCATAAAAATAAGACAAGACAGGAGGTGATCTCGCATTACAATAATAAAAAAACCAATTTATTAATTATTATGTTGAGAGTCATGTGGTAAAGGTTGTCAATCTCACATCAGAGGCATGAGAATATGTGAATCACTTAATAAGTAAGGTGGACTCAGAACCTATTAGTTTGAACTTTTGAGTTCAGATGTATCTTATCTTACTTTATGGGCTCTATGTCGAGTTTTTTCCTCCGGATTAATTTTCAACAGTGGTATTAGAGTCCAAGTTGGGCCAATTGGGTGGGTGATGTAGCCCAAATTATCTCGGTTGATCTTACTGAACTCATACAGTCAAAGGCCCACTACGAGCAGAAACGTAGGGATAAGCAGCCCAGTTACTCAAATGGAGTACAGATTTGGGCTTATTAAGATAATTTGGAAGCCCGATGTGGAGATTGCTCATGACGTGGGAGAATGTTCAGGGTTATGTGGTAAGAGTTGTGAATCCCACATCGGAAGTATGAGGACATGTGAATCACTTAATAAGTAAGGTGGATTTATAACCCATTAGCGAAATAGCGAAGAAGGAAAAAGAGCACATTATGTTAGGGGAAAAAAAGAAAACACAAAAAACAAGGAAGAAAAATTAGTATTGGATGTTATACTCATCAAATTGAGCAATTTTTGATTAATTAGCCTAAGGTTTAAGCTGAGGCATATAGTGTTACGCAAGTTTAGTACTCCATGCATTACAAAAATAAAGTTCATATCTCAATGTGAACTATTTTTTTTAAATAATACAAATATCAAAATTCAATGCGAATTAATTTTTTGGGACAAAGAGAGTAGATTGTTGTAAGCGTAATCTTTCTAAGTAGGAGCATTTTATAACAATCGAATTGCCAGGATCGAAGATGTGTAAATGTATAAGCAATAAGTATGAATGCTAATGGGGTACCCTCCATAGGGCCAGAATTTGAATTGGTGAACAGAACTAGCGACGGAAGTATATTGATGAAGAACACAATACTACCCGGCTTAATTTTCTTTTGTACCGACAATCTCTACAATATTTTCAATGAGTAAAATGTTGAAATGGTCCCTTACATTTGCCTTTACTTGAATTTACGTCCCTTACATTAATATTTCAATATCGTAGTCCTAAACATAATGTTTTCACACTTTTTTGGTCCCATTTTACTGTTTCGACCACATTTCTGTCCAACTCGATGTTGACCGGCCGTTGACTGGCCGGGGTCAGGGGTATTTTCGTCCTTTCACGTAATTTGACCTTCCATCAATTTAAATCATTAAAAATATTTAAAAAGTCATATTTTAAATTATTTAAATAGTATTTATTAATTTAAAATATTATTACAATATTTTTAAATTTATATTTTTAAAAATAATTTTTTCATTTACCATTTATCTTAGGTGAAAAGTAAACAGTAATTATTCTATATTTTAATCCCGGACCCACAGTAAATTTTAAATTAAAAAAAATAAAAAAAATTTAAATTCGGGTTTTTAACCCCTCAAATTATTTATCGGGGCCAGCTGTCAAAAATCACCCACAAATTAACCCCTCAAAAAATTCAATCGACGGGGAAAAAGAAAAACCCTTCGATTGAAAACCCCCAAATTCACCCACAAATCAACGAGCAGAAATGTTTCCTCCGATCCAAGACACTAATCCGATCCCTAATACTTTCGAATAAAAAAAATTTAGTGGATCTCGTGCGGATTTTTTGGAGTTCAGAATCTGGGCGCAAGATGTGGCATACCAAGAAAAATTTTGATTGAATCAAACCCCAAAAGGATAAAGGTCAATCTTCTATGGTCAAACACGAATCTTTCTGTGGTATTCAGATATTGTAGAATAGATTTGGATGATGGTGTTTTTAAAAAAATTTCTTTCATTGTCGGCGTGTTGTGATTTTTTTTTTGGTCAATTATTGTCGGCATGTTTTATGGGTGAAGTGGTCTGGCAGTCTCGTGTAAATCGAGCAAAGGTTGGATTTTTTTAGCGGTGTAGGACATGTATGTATGTTGAAATCCTAGGGTTTGGTGTTGAGGGACACGACATGCCTGTTAAATCCGTATAATAGCCATTTTGTTGTATGTATGTAAAGGCAAATATGCAGTTGGATCAGGGATGTTGACCTAACAAAGGACTTCTATTTTACGTTTGGTTCCATTTCAAGTCAATGATTTTTGTAAATATTGGACCAAAAAAGTAGTTGTCATATTTGTGTAGGACCAAAAAAGTATCCGAGAATACCTCGATTGGGACCAAAATAGTAGCTGGGTTTTCAGAGGGTATTTTGGTGATTGAAATGCCTCTTTGTTGTTTTATATTTGGTGATTGACATACTTCTTTGTTGTTTTCAGAGGGTCTTTTCAGAGTTAGAATCCACTATAATGGGTTTCTCATAAAATCACTACAAATCTGGTTATGTTCATGCTATGGACGATTGTGATGCAGATAAGTGGTCTAGAATTGAAGTGGATGATGAAGTAGTTACTAAGCTTGGCCTAGTTGTTGTTGAGTTATCTTATTACTACCTAAAATCAGGGGAAGACATGGACGAAGGTCTCATGCTACTAGAAGATAATAATTCTTCAATCACCATGGCTTCGCATGGATTAAAGGAAGGGCTGGTGGATTTATTTGTAGTGCACAAGGATAGGAATGAAGCTGCAGATGAAGAGGAAGATGGTCAATTATTGGTCAGTCAGCTAACCCAAGAAGAACCACCTCGACCAGCAGAAATCAAAGTGCCGGGAGCAAGTCCTACTCGAAAAGTAAGATTCAAGCGTGCGGCTTATCGAAGGTTAAGTGGAAAGGGGGAAAGAGTGGGAAAACTCAACATGAGATGTTCAAATTGATTGATGAAGATATTGATGATTTAACTCCTGAAATTGAGATATTGAAGGGACCACAAAGATCTTGCTTAGACAGTATCATTGGCAATGAAGGTGTAGACATAGAGGAAGATGGTCAATTATTGGTCAGTCAGCTAACCCAAGAAGAACCACCCCAACGAGCAGAAATCAAAGTGCCGGGAGCAAGTCCTACTCGAAAAGTAAGATTCAAGCGTGCGGCTGTGTCGAAGGCTAAGTGTAAAGGGGGAAAGAGTGTTCCATCAGAACATGAGATTTTCAAATTGATTGATGAAGATATTGATGATTTAACTCCTGAAATTGAGATATTGTAGGGACCACAAAGATCTTGCTTAGACAGTATCATTGGCAATGAAGGTGTAGACATAGAGGAAGATGATCGGAGTATGGGTTTAGGGAAACAAAAGGCAGCACAACATAAACTTTTCGGCTTGATAGATGAAGATGATGGTAGTTCACCTGCATACATTGATATGGTGGAAAATGAACCAAGATGTGGGGTAGACAGTATCATTGGTGCAGGGTGTTCAGACATACCTGATGGAGCAGAAAAAGAAGACGTCGGTGTCATTGAATGTGAAGGTGAAGCTACTGATGGCAACCCAGCAAACCATTTTGAAGGTGAAGGTGCGCAAGTTGGTGTCGTTGCACAAGTAGCTGACATTGCACAATCACATGACGCTGCACAAGCAGCTGATACTGAAAAAGGTTCAGATGACGAACAGAGGAAGACAGATGGCAGAAATAGCAAACCTGTTAAGGTTGGGAGGAAAAGAGCCAAAGTAAAGAGCAAAGCTAGGAGGAAGAAAAAAAACAACTCAGATGAAGATACACTTGACCAAATGCTGACGAAAAAAACAAGCGTCGTAGTTGCTCTGGTACGATCGACTCACTCTTCCAGGATAGGCTAGCTGCTGGTTCTAAGCACACTAAGAAGCACAAGAAAAACCCTGATATTCCAATTGCCTCTGATGATGCCCCTCCCACAAAGAAGGTATCGGTTCATATTGCACAACTATTTTCCTCAGTTTCAGTTGTTAATTAGTAGGTGTTGTCTTTGCGGTAAATTTCATAATAATTATGTCATGTCTTTATTATAATTATAGGCAAAGAGGACTGTGACTTGTGGTTTATGTGGTGTTGACGGTCACTATCGGTCTACTTGTATGAGTTCTATTGCTGGAATGTACAAGGCGAGGGTGGCATCTGCTAAAGGTACAACAACTGGGGAATAGTCGGGCTGCTTCTGTGTTTTGCACAAGTACTATTTTGTTAAGGGTTAGGTGCCTATTTTGTTAAGGGTTAGATGCCTATTTTGTTAAGAGTTTTTACCACTCGATGTTGGTAAATTCATGTAAATGCTCTTTTATTCTGTGATACTATTGTTAAACAGAGTACTTGTAAATTATTACTATGGTGTTGTTGCCTGGAATGGCCTTTTGTACAAGTTATTGGTTTTTTATTTCTATAAATTTTACTTTTTTGGTCCCATTCATTCATTCATTTAGTCCCTAAGCAATAGTAAACCCGAGTCAGAATTTGGCGCCAATAAAGAAAAAATTGGGCGCCTTTTGTGAGCGGGAAAACTCCAAACTACAAAATTGGGCGCCTTTTGTGAGCGGAAAAACTTACTATTACATCCCCCTCAATGTTTTCCTTTATAAAGAGCATCAACAACCCTAAAAAATATCCCAAGAATTTTTATTCCATCATTTTCAAATGGCCAAACTGCATGATGTTCACTTCACGGCCAAAGCACCTAAACGAGGAATTCCCGCCTGTATATTGTAAGTTTTTTTCCTTTTTCAAAAAGATTTAGATTTAATAAAATTTACGATGTTGAATTACCAAACGTTTTCTTCTTCTCTCTCTTTTTTTTTTTTGGGCCAACAAGTAGTAGCACCCTTGAAAACATTAAAATCCACTTTGGTGGGGAGCTTTATGCCAAGGCCATATCCACTTTATTGGGGTGGTGCTTTCAGGGTATTCGATAATGTAGATCTTCAAACAGTATCCTTTTGGAACTTACATGAAATGGCACAAAGGATTGGAATGCTCGACATTGTTAATTTTTACTCTTTATCTGAAGAAAAAGGGGTGGAAAAGATTGTGGGAGACGGAATGTTTTTCCCCATTTGTCAGGATGAATGATTCTTTGCTCGGAACGATGACTTCCTAGATAGTGATCCAGACCTTGAATGGGACTCCGATTATGCCTGCAATTGTGAACAATGTGGTGGCTGGAAGGAATACAATTCCGATGAAGATTCAGACTCTCAATGTTCATCTCAATGTTCTTGTACTGAATTTCCCTGATTCGACCTTTTGATTTATGGTATATTATTGTTATTTTTGTTCAGAAATGGAAACTTATCCTTGAACCATATTGGTGGCATACTATAGCTTTTTTCATCCCTTACAAATTTTACAGTCATTTTTCTGATCCTCTAGAAATTGTAATAACGCTTATTTTAGTCCATTAAATACTAACCAACCACTTTTTTAGTCCACCGAGATAAACATTTTTGGATGCCAAAACAAAGAATTGAACTAGTACATTGCAGTTGTGAAATTCGCCGTATCCAAGTTTACATGGCAGTAGCAGTAGTTAATTAAAAACATTTCTGACATTAAAATTCAGGCCTCCTGAACATAAACTCCATAACAACTGAATAAAAGATCACCCTTATGCTACATTCCACATACTACATCGCGTTGGCCAGAAAGCACAACACATCACTGACTAAATAGTGATACAACTTTTCAACAGTTCAACACTCACTAACCCCGAATCAATAACACCACTACAACAATAAACATACACAAAACACACGCTATGTTAAGCCAGACAATAGTGTTATTTGCACAGTTACAGTTGCTATTTCTCATTTTATACCTACCATTCTGACCATCGAATTCGTGGCTTCTCGCCACCCATCCGCCGTATCTTCTCCTTGCATCATTCACCCCATTTCTGACATCACCTCCAATCAGCACAACCCAATCTATGAACCCATGATTAGGACAATCGTGGTATAGCCGATTAGGATTTTTGAGGGTTTTAGACAGTACGCATCGCACATTTTCTGCAATCAAGTCTCTCGAATCGCAAATAGCCGGTGTTGCCATCGTTCCCGTTGAAACTGCTACTTGATGTCGACATGGATATCTCGATTCTCGTCCCAGATCTAAGGCGCTTCCTGAGCAGCGAGTCCCTAAAAAATTGCTTTCAACTGCTGTTCTTTGGCCGCTTAGATTTGTTTGGAGGTTAGATCATTTTTTTTCCGACGCTGAATTGGAGATGAGATGAAGAGAAGAAGACAGCGGCCTTATAGCGGTAGCGGTAAAATTTATAACTCCTTCGGGCCAAGTGGAAAAAATTTGAGGGTTAGAAGTAACTTAGGGTTTACTGTAGTCAAAGTCAAATTTATGAATTTACTTCTTTTTTCTTTTTTAAAATTTGAATTTTGAATTAAATGTTGTAATCCAGTAAATATTTGAATTTACTGTGGGTCCGGGGTTAAAATATAGAATAATTACTGTTTACTTTTCATCTAAGATAAATGGTAAATGAAAAAACTATTTTTTAAAAAATATAAATTTAAAAATATTATAATAACATTTTAAATTAATAAATACTATTTAAATAATTTAAAATATGAATTTTTAAATATTTTTAATGATTTTAATTTGGTGGAAGGTCAAATTACGTGAAAGGTTGAAAATACCCCTGACCCCGGCCAATCAACGGCCGGTCAACCTCGAACGGAAATGTGGTCGAAACAGTTAAATGAGACCAAAAAAGTGTGAAAACATAATGTTTGGGATTACGATATTGAAATGTTAATGTAAGGGACGTAAATTCAAGTAAGTGCAAATGTAAGAGAACATTTGGACATTTTCCTCTATTTTCAATCTAGCAGTAATACAACTACTACCACTTGCAGCCGACCCGTATTTTATTATTCTTCAACAAGGCTTCCAAATGTTGAAAATGAAAGACTAACAATCTTGTTGGGTCCATGAATCCCCCCCGAACTTGTGCGCGGGACTGAAAAACATATAGAAAGTTTTTCAAATATGTATTAATTATTATCTTGTAATTTTTTATTCCGTAAAATAATTTCGTGATTAATAATGTTTCGCAAGGAATTTCATAATTCATCCTGTCATTTTTAAAGAACCAAAAATAATAATAATAATAATAAAAACTAAAAAATCATGTGAGTTTAATATAATCAAGATAAGGGGTAACTAAACAATATGAAGGCCGGGAATCACCTGATACTCTTTATGCTCCTCAACTTTAAAGGCGACCCTGTATCGTTGTGAAAGATATAAATAAGGAATGAAGGGAAGACACACAAAAATAAAGCCGCTGCCAAATGGGTGATTACAAGGATAAACAAGTGGTGCTTGTCATATGGTGTTCTGCAGGAAAAATAAGCCATATATAAATCTATAGCTCGAGCTTTTGCAGCTAAGAATTTCCAAGGTTAAATGATGATTATTTTTTTTTTTGTGATCACAACGTTAATTTCTTTCCTCGGGATCGAACTTAGTGACTCACTAAGAAAGTGTTATATGTATATATACATACCTATAGCGGATGAAAAGCGTTATATCAATGCGATGTTTCCGATGTTATGAAATTGGACGCATTGATATAAAAGTGAACAATGCCGGCACTCTCGTTGAGATTTTCCTGCTCTGCAAGTGGACACTTCCTTATGGAATTGATGAATAATACAAATGCATGATGATGAAGAACAAATGAACAAATATTTCCTCTGTCCGAAAATCATTATGCAGTTTGATATTTTATTTTTAGTACAATTTGAACTAGAAATGAAAATCCAAACTGGACAATAATTATGACGGAGGGAGTACAAATAATGAGTAGCTAAAAAACTCCTCAAACCTTGCTCTTATTTTGTCCTAAACTTTAAAAAATTGATGTATTAAAGCAGACATGATAGTGGTAGCTGGTTTTATCTTACATGAAACTAGCCACTATACTTTGGTTCCTAATCACTCACTCTAACCCAAAAAACAGTTCACAATATTGAAAATCGTGAATTAGACTAAAAGAAGTATAATTTTTTTTTTAAAAAAAAACGGGAACTATTTTTTTTAGAATCGAAAGAATCCAGAATTTTTCTTATACAGAATATGGCATCACTATAGTTAAATCAGACAAATTATCCACTTTTAAATTTCTTTCTTACAAGAATTACGAGATAATTTTAAATAGACATCTGTTACTCAAAACAAGTGTTGGTACTTGCAACTAATCGAATGCTTGCAATCTGTGGTTTACCCCCGTTGACATTATCATCTGATCATGTATGTGTACTGAGAATCACACAGTTTCGAATTATCTTCGCCTGCTGTAATTCAGTTTATTGACTATTTTAAGCAAAAAGCCGACCACTTGCTTCAGAATTCCTTCTAGAAATGGCACAGTTTTCCGTCAATTATGTCTAAAAAAACAGATCACTATCCATCATTGCCATTAAACAAATCCTTATATCCCTTTCGAATGACGAAAATCTGCAACCATTACTACCTTCAACTCCAACTTGAATACGACCTTTTCTTGGCTCCCTCATAAACAACACACAGTCACACACCCACATACACACTTTTGACTTAATCGAAAACCTCCAGAGTTTCAACTTTCAACTGCAAATATGCACCTTATTCCTCTGATTCTCCTGGTGGTAATAACCATCATCATCCTGAAATTCCTGTACTCAATCATCGGGGTTCCGTTAAAAATTCAAGCCCATTTCAGGAAGCAGGGGATAACGGGCCCGGGCTACCGTCCGTTTTTTGGAAACACGGCGGAGATCAGGCGGCGGATGATCGCCGAAGCTGAATCCAAACCATCTTCTTTCAATCATGATGTGGTTCATCGGGTGGTGCCACACTACTACAATTGGTCAACGGTGTACGGCAAGAATTTCTTGTATTGGTTTGGGCCTAAACCCAGGTTGGCTATTGGGGACCCAGATATGATCAAAGAGATTTTGTTGAATGTTAATGGCTGCTATGAAAAGACAAAGTATAACCCATTGTCTAAATTACTGTTTGGTGAGGGACTTGTTGGGCTGTCTGGTGAGAAATGGGCTGTTCACAGGAGAATTACAAGCCAGGCCTTTAACATGGAGAGAATTAAGGTTACTGTTCTTCTTTTTCCCCTGTATTTTTTTGGTAAATTTTAAGCTAATTTTCCATGAATTACCTTTAATCTCAGTTGCACAGTGGATTATATGTTACTCCCCTCCCTCCCAAAATGATTGTTGAATTTGAATTTTCATTTTTAGTAAAATTTGTTCTTAACGTAAAAATCTAAAAATTGGACAATCATTTTGGAGGGCTTATGTTTATTTTACATTTAAAAGCCAATTTTTGGAAATACTACTGTGGACTGTTTTTCTGGTACAGAGTATCATACATTGTTTAGGCAACATTAGGTACCTTAGTGTTAATCTGATCTTTGACAGGCTTTGAACTGGCTGCATGAATATATCATGATTAATGTTTGTTGAGTTACAGGGTTGGGTTCCAGAAATGGTAGATAGCACAAGAAAGATGCTGGATGCGTGGGAGAAAGAAAGAGGAGATAGAGATGAGTTTGAAGTGGACGTGTTTACAAAATTTCATAACTTATCAGCAGATATCATATCAAGAACTCTTTTTGGTAGTAGTTTTGAGGAAGGGAAGCGAATTTTCGAGCTTCAAGACCAGCAAGTCAGCCTAGTTTTGCAGGCGATCAGAAGTGTTTACATTCCTGGGTTCAGGTCATAATCAATCATCTTAGCGTTGTTTTAGCTTGATTTTTAGACATTGTGGAGTAAATTGTCGATTACAGGCTGACAACCTGACTGGATGCAGGTTCTTGCCAACAAAGAAGAACAGAATGAGGTGGAGATTAGAGAAGGAGACTCGCGACTCCATTAGGAAGTTAATTCAGAACAAGAACAACATTCTAGAGAATCCGAAAGCCTTGCTTGCTCTGTTAATGTCTCCCTACAAAAATCAGAGAGATGAACTTGAAAGATTGAACACAGAGGAGATCATAGATGAATGCAAGACCTTCTACTTTGCTGGAAAAGAAACAACTGCTAATCTCTTGACTTGGATTTTCATTCTTTTAGCTTTTCATCAGGAATGGCAAACTAAAGCAAGGGAAGAAGTCTTGCGCACCTGTGGAGACAATGAAATATCTTCTGCAGATAACTTACCGGACCTTAAAATCGTGAGTTCACTTTATTTCTGTTACAAATTTGTATTGCTTGTGCTTTTTGCGAATTCGTGATTAAGGGGACGGAAATCTTGCCTAAACCTTGAATGATAGACTTGTCGGCTTCTGCATATGTATTTGATGTAAAAATGTTTGAGAAAGTGCAGAAGTCACCAACACCAAGTCCATTGCCCAAATTTGGTAACATTCAATGTAGCAACAGTTTGTCAATGATTTTGAACTTGAAATGCTCTCTTTATCCCGGGGATTTAAAATGTTTCCGTGCCTTGAACAGGTGAACATGATTATAAATGAAGCTCTGCGGCTCTACCCGCCAGCAGTCATGCTGATGAGGGAAACATCCAAGAATATCAAGCTTGGAAGCTTGGACATTCCACCCAACACCCAATTCTACTTGGCCATGGCCGCCGTGCATCATGATCCCGTTATTTGGGGAGACGACGCGAATGAATTCAATCCCCAGAGATTCGAAACTAAACAGAAGCATATGGCTGCATTTTTCCCTTTTGGCCTGGGACCAAAAATATGTGTTGGTCAAAATCTAGCCCTTGTTGAGGCTAAAATTGTGTTAGCAGTCATCATCAGGCAATACTCTTTCGTGATTTCGCCATCATATCTTCATGCTCCCACACAATCTGTCACCCTGCAACCTCAGTATGGTGCCCAGATTATCTTTTCCAAGATCGAAAGTTGATGAATATTCTCTGCATCCTTTTAGTTTTGTGTATATACTATATATAGTATATGTAGAGTATGTGTAACATGAATTTAAGTCGCATTGCTGGTTTATGGTCTGGCCCAAAAGTTAAAAAATACTGTTACTATCAACGCTATGCTAATATGTTTCGGACTTTACTGGCGCCTTATCAGAATGGATTGGCGGAGAGTTATCAGTTTTATAGAATTGCCTAATCTTTCGAGATTAAGATTGGCAAATAACAATTATATTGGTCATATCCCAGATTATTTTGAATTTTGATCGAATGTATTGAGAGCAGATATAGAACTAGCACTCCTTCTTCTTCCCCCCCTCTTTCTTCTCTATGCCGTTTTGGGATGGAATTGATGAGCTTAATTACTTTGGAACATAGTCTGTGGTGTTCGGCAACTCCTGAACATGCAATAGAACATTAGTTTGGATCATGTCTACAGAGAGTCTAATTTTGTGGCGGAGTGGCTGTACGGAGTTTGGGGACTTTCCAAGGTTGTTGGTTCCGTCGGTGGAGGTACGAGAATGGTTTCAACATGACCTTGTCGGGGTTTCAAATTTAAAATAAGTCTTAATTTCTTGTAGTAAGTAGTTAGGTTATTGTCTCTCTTATTGTAAAAAACAAAAAAGAGTATTGTTTTTTGCACAGTAAACTTTTCACTTTTTTTTCGCGTGTTAGCAAATTATCAAGTCTGAAGAACATCCTTTGTATGACAAGTTTGTCCGAATCTCGTAAGCTCACCACGCTAGCTTTTACATGGCTTGTACCGGCATCGTTTCCGGCCGGGCGACGACCTAAAATTTTCAATTATTCTCAAAATACGTCTCAAAATAAAATTGAATTCATGAATAAAAGAACTTTGAAAACACGAAATAAAACATCGGTAGAAAAGGGACCATAGAACCTTTCATTTATATCCCTGAGTTTTGCGATGAAGCGCCATCCGTAGTTATCAATATATTGTTATGATTTGTACTGAATGTATCAAATGAGGTTGAACTTTGTCAAGTTTTTATTTTCCGCATGAAATAGAATACAATCTCTTATTTTTGGACATTAGCAATGAAATCATTTTGTTCTTTTTTTTTGTGTTTGAGAATTTAATTCATAATTATTCACGAAGATAATAGACCTATATATATAGACCGTCTGTAATTCACTTTGGATTTAATCAAAACATCATCAACGGAATAGAGCTCCAGATTCTCATAATTTGCATTTATCGGTAAGCAAGAATAGTTTGTATGAATGCTCCTACTGATTTCATGTACTGATCCAGACACCCGGTGTTCCAAAATAATCACTTGACCAAAAGAAACATTTGTGAAACTTACAAGACTCTAGTCCACATGGTATTTAATTATGTCCCAAAGACTATAAAAAAATTTTAAAAAAAAACACACACAAGAAGAAAACCCCCTTATTTTCAAATTTACATCCTATTTTGAAACTTGGGTGAATGAGTGGATACATCCCAAGGTTTACACGAACTTGCTAATTCATCCTAACGTTTTAAAATTGATCAATTACGTCCCAAGGTTATTCAAATTGAGCAGATCCATCCCATGATCTGCAAAATAACAAAAATGACCTGACATAACAGGTAAAATCTATTGGGTCTCAGATTTATTCTTTTTTTCTCTTTATTTTTTTTTGTCATTTTTTAGTTCATTAAAAAACAAACAAAATTTCTAGATTAAAAAAACTCAAAAAAACTTATTTAATTAATCAAAATAATTTATGCATCACAAATGAAATAATTTATAATTTTGAATAAACTCAAAATTAGTTAATTTTTGAATACAAGATATATATATATATATATATATAGTATAATCATTCTATTTTTCACTAAAAATAAAGAAATTTTTTTTGGAAAGTTTCTTTAAGTTTTGTCGAAAAATTAAGATGAATATAATTATAAAATAATTTAGATTCATTACAAATAAATTAAAATTTTTAGTTTCTCCATTTATAAATGTTGTTTTTGTTTCAATAAACTTAAAAAATTTTAAAAACTCAAAAAAAAAAGAAGTAAAAATGTTAAATATAGAATCCAAATGATTTTACCTGTAATATCAGGTTACTTTTGTTGGTTTGCAGGTCATGGGATGGATATGCTCAATTTTGATGACTTTGGAACGTAATTAACCAATTCTAAAACTTTGAGATGAATTCGCTAATAGGGTATAAACATTGGGATGTACCCACTAATATTCCCTTTGAAATAACAATCATGAAAGGAATTTTCCCAATTACATTTAAATAAATAACATCATTTCTCGAGATCCACCCAGCTTTATAATAGTATTTAAAAATATTAAAAAAAGAGTCATGTTGTTTGTTTCAACCATTTCAGCGAAGTTTGTAGACGAGATGGGTGGAGAAACAATGGCTTCTGAGGATCACCAGCGCCACCATGTTTCCCTGTTCCCATTCATGGCTAAAGGCCACACCATCCCATTCCTACACCTGGCCCGCCTCCTTGTGGGCCGAAATGCCACCGTGACCTTTTTCACCATCCCATCAAATCAGACCTTCGTCACAAATTTCCTTTCCGATTTGATCACCACCACCAATCGCATATCAATCATATCCCTCCCTTTCCCGGCGGTTGACGGCGCCGCCGCCTCCTTCCCCGAGATCCCTGTCTGGATCCCCACGCATGACATGAAACCTCATTTCGAAACATCCCTGGAGACCCTCCGGGATCCACCGTTGACTTTCATGGTGACCGACGGTTTCTTGCCCTGGACGTTAGACTCGGCCAACAAGTTGGGTGTCCCAAGGCTGGTTTCTTACTGCACCAATTAGTTCTCCACCGCTTTTTTAGTAGACCTGTTTCTGAGTGGGGTTCTCCCCAAAGTCCGTGAATCAGAAGACGAAGATCAGCCATTTTCAGTTCCAGGGTTCTCCTGGCTGAAGCTCTCCAGCAGTGATATTCCACCAACCGATTCCGACAGCCGACAAACACGCGGCTTCCTCATGGACTGCGCCATCTCCAGCAAGAACAGCTTCGGATACATAGTCAACAGCTTCTACGAGCTTGAACCCGCCTTCGCGGATTCCATGCCAAAAGCATGGCCTGTAGAGCCACTTTGTTTAGTAGGAGGAGACCACAACAAGGCGGCGGCGCGTGATGATAGTACTACTCCTCCTCCTCCTCCTCGTCGTCAGTGGATCGCGTGGTTGGACAGTGCCGAAAACCGGTGCTTTACGTGTCGTTGGCGTCGCAAGGGGAGTCCACTATATCAGGGGAGCAACTCCAGGAGATCAAAATCGGGTTGGAAAAATCGGGTGTGAATTTCTTGTGGGTTGTACGGAACAAGAAACATTCTGAGATTATTTCGGGAGATGATGGATTTGAAGAAAGAGTCGCAAGCCGTGGACTTGTGGTGAGAGAATGGGTTGACCAACGGGAAATCCTTGGACACGAGAGCGTCCAGGGGTTAACCAACTGTGGTTGGAATTCGGTTTGCGAGAGTGTTTGTGCAAAAGTTCCCATCCTAGCTTGGCCCATGATGGCGGACCAACTGATTCATGCTCGGCTTGTGGCCCAAGAGATTAATTAAGGTTGGGATCAAGGTTCAGATGAGAGTTGTTGATGGAAGTGGTACATTTGTGAATGCGGAGAGTTTGGAGATGAGTATAAGAGAGTTGATGGAAGGAGAGATCGGAGAGGAAGCAAGGAAGAAGGTGAAAGAAGTCGGTGATGCGGCCATTTTAGCCATGCAAGAAGGTGGCTCCTCATCCAAGGCATTGGATCGGTTACTGAATGAGTTATATTACACACAAAATCACGCGTGATTGTTTGATCAATTGTACATTCAGACTACTTGTACCGTTTCTGTTCCATTTCTTTCTTCTTTTTATTTATACTGTGTAAACCACAGAAAATGTCCTATACATTAAGTCAAAAAATAATTTTCGTCCCATACATTTTAAAACACTTATTTTCGTCCCATTTCGTCCAAAAAAAGTTTTTTTTTACTATTTACATCCCAAAGTAACTTTCCGTCCAACAAACCGTCAAATACAAGGATATTTTTTGTCTTTCTACTTGGATTTTGGTTTTGCATTAATTAAGAAATACAATAATAATTAATTAATGATTAATTAATTAAAAAATATTTTTAAATTCAATAAAATCAAAAAATCAAAAAATAAAAATTTGTAATCATTTTACCTGGTGTGGCCTCTGTAAATTTATTTTTTTTATTATTTACTACAGTAAACCGTAAATATATTAAAATAATAAAAAATTTCAAAATTAAAAAAGTTAATTGAATTTCAAAATTTTTTTAGTATACTAATAATAATTACTACTTTATTTTCACCCACTAATTTTTACCCATTTCTTTACCTCCCAAAACCCTACCCCTAATTAGATAGAGTAATTCCTCTCCCATCTTGAACGAAACAATCGTTCAACCGCTGCGCCTCCAAATCCACCTGTCTGACCGCCGATTACTCCATTATCCAACCTCCACCGTCCACCCCCTAGATTCCTCCGCCCTCCGCCCTCCGCCCTCCACCCTCCACCCTTCACTGCCAGCTGCAAACCATACTAATTTAGCCTCACTCCTCTTTCATTCTCTCGCCCTTTTGGTGCTATCACTCCCCAGAAGCGTGCTCATTTGTTGAAGAATTTTTTTCGATAGAGCCGTCAATTTCCTTCCTTCTTCTTCATCTGTAGTTGTAGCTCTTTAGTGCTTGTTTAGATCTATAATTTGATTTAGGAAAAATGTGTGTTTCTGGTGTAATTTATGGTTCTTCATGGTCTGTCGGCTGAATATGATTTAGATTCATATTTGATTGTGAATTTTATTGTTGATTTGGTTCTGTTTTTGTATGCTTGATGGTTTCATTGATATTTGTTAGGTTCTGTTTTTTAATTTTATTATCAATGTGATTCTGTTTTGGTACGCAAGAAACTAGTGTTGCTGGCTGTCAATTGGTTTCTGTTCTTTCCTTTTCAATATTTTTTAAAAAATAATTTGGGTTGCTAAAGAGTATTAATTAAAGGTTTGTATCCAAATTTGATGAATTTGGCCGAAGCAGGGAGGTACTGGTTGCCAGTGTGTTGTGTCTTGGTTGATTTTATTGTATAATCTTGTACTTATTGCTAGCAGGGTCGCTGTTTAGATTGAGATGTTAAATTTAGACTGGGGTAGCTGCTGATGTTGATAATGTTTATAAGTTTTACAAATAAAGATGTTGAGCAGTAGTTTTTTGTCTATAAAGGACCCTAAGTAACCTCCAAATATATCTATTTCTGTAAAGTGCTTTCTTTATTGATTAAGCTTTTCTATGTGGCTTCTTGATCAAGTTTGATTGCCAATTTAGCTAGAAGGGAAAGGCAGAAGAGAAAAGATCAACTTAACTTTTGGCCAAAAAGGAAAGGCAGAAGGGAGAAGCAGTAAAGCTTTTGTGGACTCAGATATTATTTTAGACATTTTTATGTGTGTTCTTTTTTTTTCTTAATTTTGTTTGTATTGTAATTTTATTAAGATAATTTGGCCCATAACTCATGATTTCTAAATTCAGCTAAATATTTTTTTATTACTGAGACAGAAAAGATGGCCTAAATTGTTCAAGGAAAAAACTTAAAATGCCCCAAAAACAGAAGCTCCAAATCGTCAAACTCGTAAGACAAAAAAGAATAAACCAACAAAATTAGAAAAAAAAATTCCACTAATTTTTTTTTTAATTTTCGAATTTTGTAAATTATATTTTTTTTATTTTAATATATGTACTATTGACTGTAGATAAAAATAAAAAAATTTAATTTATTGAGGGCCCACTCAGTAAATATGAAAAATTTTACTTTTGATTTTTGATTTTTTGAATTTAAAATATTTTTAATTGATTTTATTATTATTTAAATATTATTTTATTTCTTAATGACTGGAAAATCAAAAGTTTGATTAAAAGACAAAAAATACCCCTATATTTTGACACTCAAATTGACGGAAAATTGACTTGGGATGTAAATAGTTGGAAAACCATATTTTTTGGATAAAATGGGACGAAAATGAGCATTTTCAAATGTGTGGGATGAAAATGATTTTTTGCCCAAATGTATAGGACGTTTTCTGTGGTTTAGTCTATATTTCTTACTCTGTGCAATCTTTGCTTTTGCTCGTTACTTTATTTTTTATAATTGAGGTACAATATAGTGAAGGAGATAATGTTTTCTTATTTATCTATCTAGAAAAATAATTAGTATAGTGAAATTACATAATGAAAAAAAAATAGTAAATGGTATATATCTAATTTTCTAGTTTAAATAGTATTATGACAATATGACCCCTCTACTTGCAGCCACTTTCTCGTGGAAAATTTTTTACTATAACAAATTACTATATTTTTACTTACTCTATTACTACTCATCAAACTGATCATAATTCTCATCATTATACTTATAAATTACCAATAATACAATTGTGATATGCATGCGTCGAAAAAATTTGGATATTATACATCATACAATTTTGAGACCGAGTGAATAATGTTGATTGTTGGCAATAGAGCTTATTGGTAAGCTACTCACCCACCTGCTTCTCTCATCAAATCCATACAATTATAAAAAATCATGTTTGATTTTTTTTTTTGCTAATTAATTCTGTCATTATCATTGCTTTACAAATGCATATGCTGTAGAATATAAATGAGTATGATTGCTAAAGTCCAAAGGCGATTATATATTTACTTCATTCACAGAATAAATGCTTGATAGATGATGTGTCACCTTATGATACATAAATATTAATTATTATATTCCCTTCAATCCAAAATTATTGTTCAGTTTAGAATTTAGATTTTCATTTTTAGTTTATAACTTCACATTGTACTAAGAGTGAAATGTTAATTTGCACAATAATTTTAAGACAATGAGTCATTCACATTTTATTTTCATCACACTATCAATTATTGGAAGAAAAAAATGAATTTAAAGGCATTATTAAATAATTATTAAATAGTTCTGGACAATAATTATTAATAGTTCTGAAGCGTACGTCTCTGGCAAATGTAACTGGAAAAATACTACTCTACAAATCAATTATTTCACGACACAATTCCAAATTAGTTACCATCTCGCAACAACTCCTTATCTGATCCTCGATCCCAATAAGCATCTTGCAGGTGAAGTTTGTCGTTTGTAAACATCAAAAAAGGAAAAACTAATGGTAATTTTCATCGGCAGCCACCAAAAAATAAAAATTGATAATGCATCTGGTCGGATGAAATTATTGGAGTAGTTTTGATTTCAAAACGTAAAAGTAAATTTAGGAGCCTGGGTGCTTTTTTAAATCCCCCTATACAGTATTTTTATAGTATACTAATATCTATGTCTCATAAAATAATTTATATTTCCTCCGTCCCAAAATTAGTATTTAGTTTATATTTTTCTTTTTAATTCAAATTATATTAAAAATAAAAATGTAAACTGAACAATAATTTTAAAAATTGAAACAGAGAATATTAAATTTTGAAATTTATAGTCTGCTTTAATGTGGATTGTTGTTTTCCGACAGTGATAGTAACATCTAAATTATCACGTTTTTTGTGAATTGTCTAGACAGCTAAAATCTCCCCAGTCTATGAGGACCATTCCTCTCTAAGCTACTAGTCCTGGACAGAAAACTCCATACAACTAGCTAGCTATCCCTCCATATTTCATTCTTCACTAATTTTTTATGATTTAAGCAAAAAACCATGCACCCATTTATTCTTCCAGTTACCTTGGTTATTCTGCTCTTCATCTTCATCAAGTTCATATACTCCACCATCTGGATCCCTTACAAAATCCAACGCCACTTCTATAAGCAAGGAATCAAGGGACCTGGCTACCTTCCGATATATGGAAATTCAGTAGAATTCAAGGGGGAATTCGATCAGAGTTACAGCAAAAAACCGATGGGATATTTCAGCCACGACATAGTCCATCGGGTGGATCCATGCTACCACAAGTGGACTGCCATGTACGGTAAGACTCTCCTGTTTTGGCATGGTTCGACCCCTAAGCTGGTTCTGGCTCAACCCGAAATGCTAAAGGAAGTTTATCTTAACAAATCGGGTCATGTGGTCAAAGTCAAGTTTCCACCGCTGGCTGAGCAGCTCTTCGGAAAGGGTCTCATTGACTTGCATGGTGAGAAGTGGTCGGTTCATCGGAAAATTGCCAATCCGGCGTTCGTCATGGACCGAGTGAAGGTGAGTGTTTTATATACGGTCATCTCCTATAATGATTGTCCAATTTAAAGTTTCTTTCTTAATATAACGTATGACAATTGAAAATTTAAACTGAACAATAATATTTTAGTACAGGAAGTATCTAATTTTCGTTCTCTCCTGTTTGAAATTGTTTTTGGTGTTCTTTGTTTGCTCGTTTATCTTTTTTCTATAGAAATTTGAGATTTTTTTGTTGCACAGTCCAGAGATGATGAAATAGTGTTGGTCAATGTCGATCTATTGTTTGGTTAGTTTGTGTTTGTGGTGAGATTTAGTTTGCACTCGTGCTGGTATAATTATTATCGTTCATTCCAAAGATGTACTCAGGTTGTCATTAATTGTACTCAACTTCACGCATCAACCTGGGTTGATTTGAAGTAACACTAGTGTGACATTTTATGTCAAATACTATAGTTTAATGTAGTAATGTTGATTTCCTTCTCTTTAAATGCGATCGTGATGTCTAGCGGCCGTTGGACCCTGCAGAAATTAATGTTAACAATTGGACACGCGACGCGACAGCTTCTAATTTCCGTGCGGTAATTAATAGTTGATAGTTGTTAGATAGAGCCTAAAATCTTGTTACACGCTTACCGGTTTTTTTTTTTTTTTAATAATCCAATATTTCATAGAAATAGATTGTTTATTTTTGTTGAATAGAGTCTAACACTTTATTATATTATTATCACCATTTCATTTTATAGTACAAAAATTGTTACAGTACGAACAACAATAGATTTTAAAACGGGACATAAGGAGTGTTAAGTTACTGTACTATCTAGATTAGTTAGTCAAAGTGTCTAACTTCAATCAGCAACGGACCACTGAGTCTAATCTGGAAATGGAGAAAACTTTCTAAATAGTACATTTTCTTCATTATAAAGATTTTATATTTGCGATGCAATGATTGTTACTATTATACTGATTCTATTCCAACGTGTACTATTATTTTGGGACACAAATTAGTATTTTTTTCCCCTCTAAACTGGAACCAAATTAGAAATGAAAACATACATATGCTCTATTATTTTGATTCAATTTAAGAAGCCACAAGTTATAGTAGATTGCAGTATTTCACTCATTACAAATCATTCTGAATTTCTATAGTATTAATTTTTGCAGTCATGGATTCCTGAAGTGGTGGATAGTGCTCAAAAGGTTCTAAAGAAATGGGAAGATGAGACAAGAGAAAGATATGAAATTGAAGTGGATGTGCTCAAAGAATTCCATTTCCTGTCTGCAGAGATTCTATCAAAAACAGCATTCGGTAGTAACTTCGAAGAAGGAAAGCATATATTTGAACTACAAGACCAACAGGCTGCGTTGACTTTGCAGGCTTTGAGAACAGTATACATCCCTGGTTTAAGGTTGATTTTCTAAGTTCATTTTGAGTGTTTGTCTTTTGTGACTAAATATAACTAAATACCTTTGATCAATCATCGCAGTACTGTGCTGATCAAATGCAGGTTTTTGCCAACTCGAGACAACAGAAAGAGGTGGAATGTTGAGAAGGAAACGCGACAGCTGATAAGGAAGTTGATTGAAAGGGACAGAAGAGAAGGAGGAAATTCGAAATGTCTCCTTAGTTTCTTACTAAATGGAGGATTGCCGGTGGACGAAGTCATCGATGAATGCCAGACATTCTATTTTGCTGGAAAAGAAGCAGTTGCGATATTCTTGTCTTGGACACTTTTGCTTTTAGCATTGCACCCAGAATGGCAAACCAAGGCCCGAGAAGAAGTTTTTCGGGTTTGCAAGGACGACGAGATTCCAAATGGAGACATTTTGAACGACTTGAAAATTGTAAGGCCCGCCATCCAAATTAACTCAAATCTTCTCAACTACTCCCTCTGGTCCTTAATTATTATAAAATATTTTGATTTATCCTAAATTTCATATGGTATGTATTTCTAATCGAAAATAAAAACCTTAAAAATATTTTAAAAACTGAAAGGAATTCTGAGGCAAACCAAAATAACTTACGATATTAAGAACTGGAGAGGGTGTGTTACATTAATGTTGTTGACATAAATCATGTTTCTATGTTTCATCAAACAGGTCAATTTGATACTTAATGAATCGCTTCGGTTGTACCCTCCAGTTCCAGCTGTGGTAAGGGAAGCATCTAAGGATATTAACGTCGGAAATCTTGACGTTCCAGCTTGTACACAGTTCTATTTGCCTATTGCTGCTGTTCATCATGACACTGAAATATGGGGAGCTGATGCAAATGACTTCAATCCGCAAAGATTTGCCGAGCCTCGCAAGCATTTGGCTTCTTTCTTCCCTTTCAGTTTGGGTTCTAGGATATGCATCGGTCATAATTTCGCCATAATGGAGGGGAAAATTATCCTAGCTCTTATCCTCAAACAATTTACCTTTCAGTTATCACCAACTTATGTCCATGCTCCAGTTACATTTCTGACTGTCACACCTCAATTTGGTGCCCAAATCCTGTTTAAACGGATTTGAAGTATAAGGTCTGGTCTTTACTTGATTGTTGTGTTCCTTGTAAAATTTTCTAGAGAAATATTGACATTTAATGATATAAAAAGTCACGTACTACTATTATTGTGAAAGATCTAAAAATTAATTTTTATTTATTGGATAGGTGAATGGGGAGATTGAAAAGTAATCTTGACTTTTAATTATTTTTTATTTTTGGGAATAAAAACTTCATATTCACTTTATTACTAGAATTCATCCAATAACAATTTATAGAAAAAGAATGCATCCATTGAAATATTGTCTTTAAAATTTAATTCAAGACAGTTACCTACGTATATGCCTTTACATTTTTTACGTATTGAAATGGAAGTATAACCATAAATTATACCTTTCATATGGAAAAATTAATTTATGAAAATATAATACAATATTTAAAATTTTTAACATAAAAAATGAATTTGGAGTAATTACTAAATCATTATATGATCTAAGAGTCGAGAAAATATACAAAAAATCACTGTAAATTTCTACCTTTTTTTTTTTTAAAAAAAATGTTATTATCGATAATGTTACACCTGAATCGTTACAAAAAATCACTGTAAATTTAACATTTGTCTGTGTGAATAGTTTTCTTAACATAAATTTTATGCATGTGTTTACTTTTGGGACGCATGAAATATTCAAGAAAAGGACAACAAAATATCCTTCGTTCTCTCTCTCAAGAGTCAAGACATCCAAACTCTGTACAGTTAGTTTATATTTTATAAGGACCATTCCCTTCTGAGCTAGCTAGTCCATATATGATATAACTAGTTAAAGCCTTACATCCCTTGGAGAGATATTTCCATACTCCACTCTTTTTTCAGCTTTAACCAAAAAACCATGCTAATCCTTCCAATTAGTATATTGGCTGTTCCGCTATTCATCTTCATCAAGTTCATATATTCCACCCTTTGGATCCCATACAAAATCCAACGCCACCTTTATAAGCAAGGAATCAAGGGCCCCGGCTACCGTCCGATATATGGCAACTCACCGGAGTTCAAGCAAGAATTCGACCGGACTTACTTTAAACCGATGGGGGAATTCAGTCACGACATAGTCCATCGTGCGGATCCATGTTACCACAAGTGGACTGCGTTGTACGGTAAAACCATGCTGTTTTGGCACGGGTCAACTCCTAGGCTGGCTTTATCCGACCCCGAAATGCTAAAGGAAGTTTATCTGAACAAATCGGGTCGCGTAGTCAAAGTCAAACTTCCGCCGCTGGCTGAGCAGCTCTTTGGAAAGGGACTCATCGATTTGCATGGTGAGAAATGGTCCGTTCATCGGAAAGTTGCCAATCCGGCTTTCGTCATGGACCGAGTGAAGGTATTTTTTTTTTTTCTACCTCAAAGCATTTTAGTTGCATTTCTATATGATTATTAATTGGTAGTATCTATCTATTAGTAGTAGTATGAGTAGATTTATAATAGACGGATGGTTATTTGTTAGCTTGCGTGCAATATATAACTGATAAAATTTAAAGGGATGTTCGCAGCCACAAGTTTCATAAAACTGGATATATTCACTGTGTAGGAGCGATGTTACATCACGTTAGTGTTATTTTTCATTCTTCTTGATTGCTTAGTTTCATGAGATAAATTGTTCGAATTGCATATGCTGATGACATTTATGAATCCAACTGGATTGATTGTGAAGATAGTATATACTATAAGATTAGTCAGTTCACGACATCAAACTGGATTTACGAATACCTAAATTAAATTAGCGATACTGGTATTACATTTCCGTGCTTGTTCCCTGGGAATTTAAATCATTTCAACTGATCAATTTATCATTTTTATCGGAAATTGAAAGTTCTAGAAAGAAATTATATATAGTTGTCTCTCGAAAATTATACTCCTTCCGTCTCATAATTATTGTCTACTTTGAGAAAAACGAAATCTCAAATTGGATAATAATTTTGGGACGGAAAGAGTATATACTTGATCTACCAAAAAAAAGAAGAAAAGAATTATTTAGTTCGAGTCTAGATTTATTGAGAAAGTACGACTTAAGACCAGTGTGTCCAATATACGTACCAACAAGTCAAGGATGTAAGATAGAGAGCCTAGTATTATAGTAAATCTCTAACCTTGAATTTTTACTAACATAGAATTCATAAGAGTATGTATTTATTTACTAATGATGGAAACGTATATCGACAGTTGCACGTTGCATTATTTTGGGGTCACAGGTGGTAGTTATGCAGCGTATGTATTTTTGTGCCGATGACTTTCAATTGTCAGTCCGTGTGTGCGGATAGTAATAGCTCTGCTATTTTAATATCTTCCATACTGATCTCTGATATCCGCTTGCAACATGTTAGGCTGATAATTATTTTTAATATATTCCATCCATCCGGTCCTTAATATAAAGTTTTTTTTTATTTATTTTAAGTTTTACTTAATACACATTTTTTATTGATAAAAAATTTTTAAAAATATATTTTCACATTTCTTGTATTTTCTTGATTTTATAAAATGTTTTTAAAATTTTTTTATCAATTAAAATTAAGAAAAGTCAAAATACCTTGTAATAAGGACCAGAGGGAATAAGTAGTAGCACTTCCACGGTCATCTAATCCAACATTTTCAGCCACTTAACGCTTTTCGTAAACTAGTTATTCCTTTAGATTTTATAAAGAAAGCCTGGTTTATGTAAAAACAATTATCGTGTTTTTTTCACTTGATCTTTTGTCTTATAAAAAAACAAAGGATTATATTTATTGCATTAATTATTTTAATTTGTTCTTAAATGAGTTAGGTTACCGGTCCTTATTAATTTGTGAAGTGGACCAAACAGGGTCCCAGCTTTAAGCCGGATAACAGTTTGTCAAATAATGGATCTTATTTGGATCCTGTTTCCATTGATGAATAGAACCTGAGATCACACATTAAGAATTTTTAATTTGCAGTCATGGATTCCAGAAGTTGTGGATAGTGTTCAAAAGGTTCTGAAAAAATGGGAAGATGGATTAAGAGGCGTAAATGAGGTAGAAGTGGACGTTCTAAAAGAGTTCCATTTCCTGTCGGCAGAAATATTGTCGAAAACAGCATTTGGCAGTAACTTTGAAGAAGGGAAGCACATTTTTGAGTTACAAGACCAACAAGCTGAATTGACTTTACAGGCTCTGAGAAGTGTCTACATCCCTGGTGCCAGGTTATTTCTTTTTTGAGTTTGGACTCCATCTTAGAAAATTTTAATTTCGTATTCACTTCTGATCTTATTCATAAGATATAAATTAACGTTAATTTTTGCATAATATTTCAACTTTCTTCCAAGCCGACGATCGCTTTATTACAAGCAAACCAGACATGAATCATGTTGATTAATTTTGATAACTTTACATCTTGTTGACTGTATCAAGTCTGAAAGGACATCATTCTTCGGTCTAAACAGACAAGAAAGTAAGTTGAATATGTTTTCGAGGGGATAAGTTAAATTAAAATGCATATGTACGTCGTGTTAGTTGTATTAAAATGAACTGCTTTTTTTGACTTTTTTTCTATAACATTGGTCACTTGGTCCCCTTTGAGTTTGGAAGGACATGAATCCTTTGACTATACGCAATAATAAGGTAGACAAAGAACATGTGCTGATTTATGCTAGGAGAAGATAAGTTAGTATTATGTAGTAACTCTTTACCAAATAGTAATAATAAGGCAGACAAAATTAGTGCTTATTTCTAAGTGTTTAATACTGAATAATAAATGATGAATTCATTAAGCATTGAAGGAATAAATAATAAACTAGTGTTTATTATTTATATTTTGTACTACACAGTTTCAGTAAAATAAATGTATGATTGTTTTGTAGCGGGGGAGTAATTATATTCTTTTCTTCCTTTTTTTTTTAGTGTTCTTGAACAAGTTATTTGTTTGCACGAATAATATGTATGTAGTACAATTCACATTACCTAAGGAATCTGGTTGCTACTAAGTTTGGTTTGAAAACTAAACTAGAAGGAAAGTAACGGAACAAATAGAGAGCCTCAATTTAGGACATCGTATCTTCCTAGCTAGAGCTCAAGTGTTTCTGATAATTTGTTAGATTCAACTACTGCATGTATCTGATATTTTGGGTTGAAAATGCAGGTTTTTACCAACGCGCGACAACAGAAAGAGGTGGAATGTCGAGAAGGAAACTCGAAGATTGATAAGAACCTTGATTGATAGGGACCAAAACGGCGGTGGAAATACGAAATGCCTTCTTAGCTTCTTATTGCGCGGAGGATTGCCGGTGGAAGAAGTCATCGATGAATGCCAAACATTCTACTTTGCTGGAAAAGAAGCAGTTGCGATATTCTTGAGTTGGACACTTATGCTTTTAGCATTGTACCCAGAATGGCAAAGCAAAGCTCGAGAAGAAATTCTTCAAGTTTGCAAGAAAGACGAGCTTCCAAATGCGGACACCATGAATGACTTGAAAATTGTAAGTGTAAATCCTTATCATTTGCTAACATTAAAATTACCAGATTTAAATTCATAAGTTGTAGTAGATCATTCAATCTTATATACTATAACAAACTTATTAATTTCTATTCATGAAAACAGGTGAGTTTGATACTCAATGAATCGCTTCGGCTCTACAATCCTATTCCAGCTTTGTTTAGGCAGGCATCGAAGGATATGAAGGTCGGAAACCTTGATGTTCCTGCTGGTACACAGTTCTATTTGCCAGCATCCGCAGTTCACCATGATACTGAAATATGGGGACCCGACGCAAATGAGTTCAACCCACAAAGATTTTCCGAGCCTCGGAAGCATTTGGCATCATATTTCCCGTTTGGTTTAGGCTCCAGAATATGCATTGGCCAGAATTTTGCCATAATGGAGGGAAAAATTATCCTGGCTATGATCCTCCAAAAGTTTACTTTCCGGCTATCCCCATCCTATGTTCATTGTCCGGTGACTTTTCTGACTGTCACGCCTCAATTTGGCGCTCAAATCCTTTTCAAGAGGATTTGATCAATTAAGCTGACTGATGTTTATTACTTTATTTTGTATGAATATTATAAATTTAGTATTTATTGCGTCTTTTCTCTTGTTTTTTTCGGTGCAATTTTCCATTTTCCGTTCAAAGGTTTGATTAGTAAGAATACCAAATTAAAAAGGGACACAAGAATTATCACCTACAATATCTAATTTTGTAAGTCGGTCTTACTAATTAGCGGGTGAATTAGCCCCAGTTAACTATGGGAGTCATCTTAGAATTTTTCTGTTTGTCTGGACTTCAAGATACTGTGATGAGAATTATACATCATTCTGGACAATGATTTTAGTAGGAATCTGCCACCTGATATTATTTGAGTGCTATTGGTTTTATCTTTTGGCACGGAAATCATTGGACATTCGCATTTTGGATTGTAATTGATTGTAAGAAAAATATAGAATCTCCAGGACATGCTAATACCAGGAAAATGTAATGAACAAATTATTTGTTACCATTCTTTTGCTACCTAAAAATATAACCCAAACATAGGTTTGCTTTTATTGCTAATCATATGCAGATACCTACCACTTAACACTATAAAATTTGACCATTCTCCCCTCCACAAACGAACCAAAAATCCATATTTCATTCTTAATTTTTTATTCAACCAAAAACCATGATCCCATTCATCCTTCCAATTATCTTGGTTCTTCTACCACTGATCTTCATCAAGTTCATATACTCCACCATATGGGTCCCATACAAAATACAACGTCACTTCTATAAACAAGGAATCAAAGGGCCTGGCTACCGTTTGATTTATGGAAATATGCGAGAGTTCGAGAAAGGATACGATCTTACATACAACAAACCAATGGGCTCATTGAGCCATGATATAGCCCATCGTGTGGATCCAGCCTACCATAATTGGGCTGAAAAGTACGGGAAGAATTTGCTATTTTGGAATGGGACGATTCCCAGTCTTGCTGTGGCTGATCCAGAAATGCTGAAAGAAATTTTTCTAAATAAATCTGGACACGTGAGAAAAATCAAGATTCCACCCTTGGCTGACCAGCTCTTTGGGAAAGGACTCATTGACTTGCATGATGAGAAATGGGCTATTCATAGGAGAGTTGCTAATCCCGCTTTCATGGTTGACCAAGTCAAGGTAATTTTTTCGTGTTAGGTGATAAACTTACTAAGTTGTTATAAGGTTATTTTTCGTGTTGCTGTTACGCTACACATAATTGTGTAAAATCGTAACTACTATTGTAAGTGCGTTATTTTTTGTCTTCATTTTGAATTTTTCTGTGTTGTATCTAAGATTGGAATGCCCGCTTGTTTAACTTGTACATGACTTCTTTGAAATGTCTAACATCCTCATGTCAGAATGTTTTTGTTACTGATGATGAATTATTTCTCGATTTTTATTGCTTGACAGGCATGGATTCCTGAAATAGTGGGGTGTGTTCAAATGGTTTTAAAGAAGTGGGAAGAAGAGATGGGCGGGAAGAATGAAATAGAACTTGAAATGGTGAAAGAATTTATGTCCCTTTCAGGAGAAATTACATCACAAACAGCTTTTGGTAGCAACTATGAAAAGGGAAAGAACATTTTCCAATTACAAGATCTCCAAGCTGCATTGACAGTGAAGGCTATAAGGAGTGCCTACATCCCAGGTCTCAGGTAATTCTGAGTTTTGAGTTAGTCCATTTGTGCAATCTAGTAGTTTACGGAAACTCTTATCAAAATTTTGAGTTGCGTTACAGGTTTTTGCCTACTAGCGAAAACCGGATGAGATGGAGAATTGCACGCGAAGTTCGACGCCAGATAAGGACTCTGATTGAGGAGGATCAGAATTTAGAAATAGATTCGAAATGCCTGCTTAGCTTCTTACTAAGAGGAGGAATCCCAAAGGAGGAAGTCATTGATGAATGCCAGACATTTTATTTCGCCGGAAAAGAAGCCGTCGCAATGTACTTGTCGTGGACACTTCTGCTTGTAGCATCAAGCCAAGAATGGCAGAAAAAGGCAAGGGAAGAAGTTTTTCAAGTTTGCAAGAATGATGGATTTCCAAATGCAGACAATTTGAATGACTTAAAAATTGTAAGTCCCCCTCCTAATGACTAAACTTTAAGTCTTTCAATTAGTGATTGATGGTAAAACTTGTTTATTGTTCATTAAACAGGTGGGTTGGATCATCAATGAAGCACTTCGACTATACCCTTCGGTTCCAGCTCTGAATAGGCTAGCATCTAAGGATATAAAAGTAGGAAACCTTGATATTCCGGCTGGTACTCAGTTCTATTTGCCAATGGCATCTGTTCATCATGATCCCGAGTTATGGGGACCCGACGCGAATGAGTTCAATCCACAGCGATTCGCAGAGCCCCGAAAGCATCTGGCTGCATATTTCCCATTCAGTTTAGGCTCCAGAGTGTGCATTGCTCAACACTTTTCCATAATGGAAGGAAAGGTCATCCTCGCTATGATTCTGAAACACTTCACTTTCGAGATTTCGCCGTCTTATGTTCATGCCCCTGTGAGATACCTGACTTCTACACCTGAGTTTGGTGCCCAGATCGTTTTCAGGAGGATTTGAAGCATCTTTACTTCTGTCAATCTGTCATTGTTTGCTTTTTTAGATTTTATTTTTTCAGAAATTATTATAAGCTATTATAGCTAGATGCTTCATTTTGTAACAACATATACCATGTACTTTGGCACAAATAAGTTGGGATGCTTTTTGGGTAGTTCATTAAATTAACATCTTTTAAAACTTTTTGGTCTTTATTAAATTGATTAAGCCGGCTGCATCCTACACAAAAGCATCTGCAATTTTATTTTTATTTTTTCTTGGGTTTGTCATCATCAGCTACCTACTATACAAGCAGCTTCAGAAATAATGGCTGAAGAATTCAAGCGTTGACTTTCTATCTATTTGTGCTTGAATGATTGAATTGCCTTCAGACTGCAGTTATTCCATCTTTACAATGTATCCAAGCATCCTTATCATTCTGCTGTTATTTGTTCTAATCATTCTGTTAAAATTCATATACTCAGTGGTTTGGTTACCATTGAAACTTCAGCGGCATTTCAATAACCAAGGAATTGATGGCCCAAAGTATCGTCTTTTCTACGGAAATTCAGAAGAGATCAATACTTATTACAGAGAAGCTGCATCAAAGTCGATCCCTTTCCACCATGATATCGTTCATCTTACGGTGCCTCAGTACCACAACTGGTCACCAAAGTATGGAAAAACATTTCTGTTTTGGTTTGGAACGAAGGCGCGTTTAAATCTAGCTGAACCAAGTATGATTAAGGAGCTCCTGTTGAATCATACTGATTGTGTTGATAAGGTTGAATTCAACCCACTTTCTAGAAATCTTTTCGGACAAGGAGTCGTTGGTTTGTTTGGTAAGAAATGGGCTGTTCATAGAAGGATCACTAGCAAAGCATTCAACTTGGAGAGAGTGAAGGTAAGAAATCTTTTCTCCTCCTTTATTGAACAGCTGAAAGATGCCTTAAAAGCTGGCTTTTTTTTAGTATTCAGGAACATGGCATCTTTCAGTTAATTTGCGTTTTATTGTTTCTTTTGGTCATTTTTCATCTGAAGTAATTTAGTCAATCTGCAATAATGGTTGAGTGTATGGTTTTAGGCTTGGGTTCCTGATATTATTACTACTACCAAGAAGTTCATCAGCAAGTGGGAAGAAGAATTAGGAAACAGAAGTGAATTCGAAATGGATGCGCACAAAGAACTCCATAATCTCTCAGCTGAAGTTATCTCAGTTATAGCATTTGGAAGCAGCTATCAAGAAGGGAAGCGCATATTTGAGTTGCAAGAACAGCAAATAAGCCTTACTTTGCAGGCCATGAGAACCATTTATATCCCTGGATTTAGGTGAGCATATGTAAACAATCATCAAGTCACCATTAGTACAATGATTTTTAACAACCTACATAATTTTCACATTTAGAATGATGCAGATTCCTGCCTACAAAGAAGAACATAATAAGGTGGAAACTTGAGAAGGAAACCCGCGATTCGATTAGGGATTTGATAAAGAAAAACGGGAACCATAGCGAAAATGCCCGGGATTTGCTCAGCCTGTTAATGTCTGCCAATAAGAACTATGACAATGATCAAGGAGGAGAGGGATTAGATCTGGAAGAAGTCATAGATGAATGCAAGACTTTCTACTTTGCAGGAAAGGAAACAATTGCTAATATGTTGACTTGGACACTTTTTCTTCTAGCACTCCATCAAGAATGGCAAGATAAAGCCCGTGAAGAAGTTTTTCGCGTCTGCAACAAAGGCAATGATCAGCTTCCAAGTGCAGACAACATAAACCAACTCAAACTCGTAAGTTAATTTAAGTACTTCGCCCAAATTGATTGCCCTGTTTATGCTTAATTGGCCTTACTGAAATTCCGGTTTTCCACAAAAAATGACCATTTTGTGTTACATTTTTGTCCAAATTAAACTTTGGTGTGAACAGTTGACAATGATCATAGATGAAACAATGAGGCTCTACCCACCAGTTGTACATAAGCACCGGAAAACTTCCAAGAGGATCAAGTTGGGAGAGCTAGATGTGCCTGCTGATACAGAATTCTTTGTGCCTTTGGTTGCAGTTCACCATGACCCTGAAATCTGGGGAGAAGATGCAAATGAATTCAATCCAATGAGGTTTATGGAGGGAAAGAAGAAGCACAATATTGCCTCCTACTTTCCATTTGGTTTAGGCCCTAGATTTTGCGTGGGCCAAACTTTGGCCATGGTTGAAGCCAAAGTCATCTTAGCCATGATCATCAAACATTTTTCGTTCTTCCTTTCACCATCTTATGTCCATTCTCCGGTGATGTATCTTTCTTTGCAGCCTAAGTTCGGTGCTCCGATCATGTTCCGGCCAGTGTCATCCTAAAAGACTAGCTAGCTAGTGAATGAATAAAGACTTCAAGAAATATCAGCTCGTTTTTCTTTCCCCCTTTTAGTTGGATTTGTACTATGATAAGAACACTGGATCTAATATTCAGACCAAAGTAACAGACTAGACGTAACATTTTTTTTTCCGTTTATCGTATTTTTTCAATTGAAATGAAACTTGAAAATGTTTTACAATACTTGGCAAAACATAACAAATAAAACTTAAGACAAATCAAAATGACTTATAATAAACACCGAATGGAGTATATTGTGCATATGGTTCATCCTGTTAATAGTTAAAAAATGTGACATCTTGTGCCGTAATGATACATCTGATTTACGACAGTAAAATGAGATAATATTATTTTTTTAACACTTATGATGATAAACCAACAAATTTAATCCGATCCGCCAAACACCATGGACTCACGTGATTTTGATCAGAAAGCAGTACAGTGGCAAACTCCTACTATGCAAAACATGTTCCATAAATCCAACCCCCATTATAAACCAAAATAGGTCCTAGTGTGATACCAAACAATAACAATTGTCAATGTGCAGATCTAAACGCCATGCAACGATAAACTACACAAGAAAAGCTGGAAAAGGAGAAAAAATTATTGGGTACAGGTTTTTAGTGCAATAAGTACTAGCACCCCTATTTTGGTGGTATCATTCTCGTAGAAATTATATCTCTTTCCTTAAAATTATTACTTTACCCCTATTATTGTGTCTGGCTGCACAATCTTACGTGGTATAGTAGCTGCACAATCTTACTTGGTATAGTAGATGCATTGAATAATTTTGTGGAAAGGAGGGGGCCTAATAATGGGTGGTGTGTCATTTGTCATCCCTTCTAAGAAATCCATATGTACAATAAAAATAATGCAAATCATAATAAGACCGAAGTTTCTTTTTTTTTGTTGTTAGTTACCCCCTACCACGAGATTTAGCAGGGTTTTTAGTTCAATCAAAATATATTATTTTTTTAAAATCCCAAAATGATCTATCCTTTGTTCTTCACTAATTCGTGGGCCCACAAAATTGGATCTGGACCAATAACCGCCGGCTTGGGCCCGCGACTGGTAAACGAATGGAGCCCGTAATCCGACTCCGTTAGTTCTGGCTTTTGGGTTTGGTTTAACTAAATGACAAATTCCTCCCCAACCATTTCTTAAACTACAACCATTCCAGTTTTCCATAGATCAGCTAACAGGGGCAATATAGTACCTTGACCAGATAGAACAGAACAGCACATTCCTTGGAAAGAACTGGGCTTCATCAGACAAACATAATTACGTCATTTAAAAATTCGTTAAGACTTTTCCATTGCTCGCCGAATTAATTCCACGATTGCAGATTATCAAATGGTAGCTCCTTTTTCCAATTTTATGGGGGAAATTCTAGGGTTTCCTGGTGCAACTTAGCTCAATCAATCCAGAAGCTTCAACGAAGATTCTGGTTTTGTGTCACTTGGGCCAACCAAAGTAACCAAAAGGGTAAATAAGAAAAAAGAAAAAGAAAAAAAAGGGGGCAAGTCGTAAGCAAATCGAGGAACTTGAAATTCGAGTTTTCCCCAACATTTTTTTCGGGTTTTGAATTCTTACAGATCATCTCTGCACTTCTGCTTCCTGTTTCTGCGAGGTTTTGTGGTTTGTATGTATTGAAATACGAGTGGGTTTGCTGGGGTTACCTTATTTGTCGAAACAAAGGGTACGTTTCTGAACTTCCTTATTATATTTTCAGCTTATTTGTTTGATTTCTCTGTTGTTATTGTGGTTGATTTTCTGTTTAAGAAGGGGTCTATTGCGTATGTTTCCTAATATTGTAACATTTCAAGGATTGGTTCTGACCACACCTATGATAAAGTTCAGAACTTGATATGTTTTGAAAAACATTGTCGTGCTATATAATTGGAGAATGTAGGATTAGTGGTAAGAGCGGTTGTAATACTTGGATTTCCTATTTTCTGCATTCATCCGTGATTGGTTGGTGTAATCAGCTGTTGATGGTGTCACAAGTTTGTGGTAATGCTAGACTAGTGAGTATTAAGAATCCATAAGATTTGGGAAAGTTTTCAGTTTGTTTGTTTTGATCATGAGCATGGCTCTGATAGAAATTATTTTAGAAATGGTTTTATTGATTATCCCCGGTTCAATTTCTTTCGTTTCAGGAGTTGAGGGCTTCTGTGGTAATTACACGGTGGAGAATAGGATCTTATCACTAAAATCACCATATGTATAAATAGTTATGAGATTTGTTTCTGTACCCTGTGTTACGGGTGTTTTTATCTTCATCAAACTGGTGAAAGCAAATCTTCGAGTCCACAATGTTATCTAAATATGTTTCTAGACTTGTTAATGCATGCCGGCAAGGATCCCAGAGATCAACATTCTCACAAGTTGTGCTGCAAGAGTTAGTGGAAATCCCTATCAGCCAAACAAAATTATTGTTTGGTGGAGCATCTGAAGTAATCACTGACCTGCAGGGTCTTGTACGGCCGGGCACTGTTGCTGCTGCCCAAGCAAATTTGCATGTAGCCAACCGTCGAAAGAATATATCATTAGCCGAAGTGTTTTCTCGGGCAATCTCTGTTCCATCTGTGTCTGGACCTTCATTTCAAGTTTGTGGTTATCACGTTGATCGGTTGTTATCAGAGCTTACTGAAGTTTCTGTGCCCCACGTGCCTCAATCCATGGCTGTTTGTAGTTCTAGACTCGGTTTTTCTTATGGCAGCAGAACAAGTAAGCACATTCAGCCTTCCATTGTGGCAAAGAATTCTCTTCCTTCCAGCAGCAGCAGGAGTATTGAGAATTGTCGGAATGCTAGCATGAGTTCACGAAACAAAGAGCAGCCCAACAAATTCTTGGTTTATGGATATTACATTTACAATGTTGCTAAGAGGAAAGGTAATTCTCCTTTCCATGAATTTGGGCTGAGAGTTTTCCACACTTCATCTCCATCATGTTCATCGGCCGGTACTGCTCCTGATGTATCATTTGATAGCTCTATCCGTGAGGAGAATCTTTCCAGCTCTGCCAATTCATCAACAGAGTATGTTTTGCCATTACACTTGTCTTTCCCTTTTAGTTTTAGTGTTGCTAGTACATCTTCACCTCCAGACCCCTACGGAGTTGGGAATATACTGGGTATGTTGTTGTTGTTCCTGCAAATATTTATTTGGAACATGTCAGTAACCAGGGAAAATCGAAGCCCTTTTGGGATCTCATCTGATTTATGGTGGCTTTGTGTTTTTGCTTCTGCAAACTTTTATATAATGTTAGTGAGTTTCTTAAACTGGTTGATACAGCATTTGGAAGTAAGTAAGAGTACCAAGAAACTATTTGTAGGCAGACCCTGTTGTCTGCCATTCAATTTTTTTTTTTATTTTTTTTTTGGTGGTAACGCCGGGAATCTCCTCTTGAGAGCAAGGGTGATTTTACCACTGAACAAACACCTCATCCGCTTCAAAAGTGTTCTTATATTATTATTTTTTCTCTTTTTAAGTAATTAGGTCTGTATTTTCTTTAACAAAAAAAGACTTGGGCATGTTATTGAAAGCTGAACATCTCATTGTTTCTATAGGACGATTCCCATGCACAGAGCTCTGAAGCTGAACTCTGGATCATGTTATTTGCCTCATCCTGATAAAGAAGAGACTGGTGGAGAAGATGCCCATTTCATTTGTTTAGATCAACAAGCAATTGGTGTTGCTGACGGTGTTGGTGGATGGGCAGATCTAGGAATTGATGCTGGACAGTATGCTCGTGAACTTATGTCCAATTCAGTGACAGCTATTCAAGATGAACCTAAAGGTTCTGTTGACCCTGCAAGGGTACTGGAGAAAGCTTATGTCAGCACGAAAGCCAAAGGGTCCTCTACTGCTTGTATTGTTGCTCTTACGGACCAGGTATTGAACTTTTTATTTCCTGAATTTCGTTGCCTTATTCCACTGCAAAGACATGATGCTTTATCTTTTTGCCTGATATTGTGAAGGCTAATCAAAGAGTCCAATATATTTACTTGATTTTGTTCTTCCTAGTGAGTAAGCTTGTTGACAAGCTGGTATCTTCCTGAATGTATTCCAGCAGGGTCTGCACGCTGTTAATCTTGGGGACAGCGGATTTATGGTCGTTAGGGATGGTTGCACAGTTTTCAGATCTCCTGTCCAGCAACATGATTTCAATTTTACATATCAGCTGGAAAGTGGCAATGCTGGTGATTTGCCTAGCTCTGGACAGGTAAACTGGCTGTAGGCTGACTCAAAATGGTATTGATGCAATTTGTGGGTGAATATCGCTGTTCTCTTTGCTAATCTTTGAAAAGTAATTCTTACATGTTTAAATTGTGCTTATGTCTAGTTTATTAAATGACTCATTATAATGGAAGGAGGAACTTCGAGGCTTTGTGAAGGGTGAGGCTATGATGTAATTTTTGCTATCAATCTTCGGGGCTGGTTGGTTGCTCATTGTGTTAGCTTGTGTCAATTTGCAATATCCAATGTGTAACAAACAGTCATTTGTTGTAAGTGGTTATAGCTTGAATGCGTTTTTTGGGGGTGAACAATGTAAATTTATGAAGATGAGCAATAAGAATTAGAGTGACAAACTGAAAGTACACTGTTTCTATGACTTATTTTCCTGTATAACTACTAGAAGGATACTTTCAAAATATCTTGTTCTTTGAATGCTAACTGTCTATTCCAACAATCTTGAACTGTCCCAGCCAGATTAAGCAAAAAAAAAATGAACTCTCTGCATTTTCCAGAGGAAAAGGATATAGTAGTCTGAATAACTTAAAGTTGTGTTGGGGAATATATGTAGTCTGAATGGCCTTATTGACGCAGGTCTTCACAATTCCTGTTGCTCCTGGTGATGTTATAGTAGCTGGTACTGATGGTCTTTTCGATAATTTGTATAATAATGACATCACGGCTGTGGTAGTGCATGCCGTGAGAGCTGGATTTGGACCCCAGGTGACTGCTCAGAAGATAGCAGCATTGGCTCGACAACGAGCTCAGGATAAAAATAGACAGACTCCCTTCTCTGCTGCTGCACAAGATGCCGGTTTCCGCTATTATGGTGGAAAGCTTGATGACATCACTGTGGTGGTTTCATACATAACTAGTGACAACAATGTATGTATCGACTACTTATATACATCTTGCACTATTGAAAAGTCATGGACTTCACCGAATCACACATGCATGAGTTGGTGATAGCCGCTGGGATTATTATAAATTTTTAGGCATTTGAGATTTCTGATGAAACTACCTATTTACCATGCAGGAAAAGGTTTCACAAGGTGGATCTGGTTAGAGATCTGTGGTACGATGTGCAGCTTGCCGATAAATTGCAATATTCGTGGCCGTGTTGGTGCAGCAAATCATTACAGTATCTATAGTTTAGACTTTAGATTTGATCTAAGCATTTTTTTTAATCGTTTTCTGATAATGGTTGCTACCTTTACATCATCTGGTTTTGTACATAATAATTTTGAGATGTATTTTCTATACAAGAGAAGAAACTTTTTGGACCTGTAAACTCTTGTTGTGTAAAAGGACTTGTGTAAAAGGACCTGTAAACTTTTTAGAGAGACTTAATGGAGACTGCATGCAAGTTTGTTTTTGCTCTATGAACAAAAGAAACAAATAAATTGTAGATCTTTGCATCTTTTTCCTTTGTTTTTGCTCTATGAACAAAAGAAACAAATAAATTGTAGATCTTTGCATCTTTTTCCTTACAGCCTCGTTTGCAATCTAAAAATCGTACTGAATTTATATACTTCCTCTGTTCCAAAATTATTGTACAGTTTAAGATTTCACTTTTAGTACAATTTGAACTAGAAATGAAAATTCAAACTGGACAATAATTATGGGATGGAGGAAGTATATGGCTTTTGTATTTCTCTCCTAGTGGCCAGAGTTGCCTTGCTATTTGAATCTGTGGACATACTTACTTTGTCAAATGAAAAGGAAAAATTAATAATAATGGAAGTCACAAGAATTACTCACTTTAAAAGGTTTTGACCTTTCGGTAGAGTTTTTGGTTTCAACCAACTATTGTTTTTGTTTTATATATCTATATATATATAGAGAGAGAAAATAATAAAGAATGTATGCTTAATTTTTTTTAAAAAAAAAAATAAAATTCATCATTAGTAGAGTTTCCCCAGAACAGATGAAAATAATCACTATTTTTTTGAGCAAGCCCCTACTCGAAATAATTCGCCAGCAATTGTGCAATGGATTATTGAAATTTAAAACATCATAGTTATAGTTATAAATCTGGAATTACTCAAATTATTCAGCCGTTGAACTTAAAAGGCAGGTAAACCGCAAAAGGCAGCCAAATTAGAAATACAGTATATGTACTCCGTTGGTCACAGAAAAACAGTGAACTTGTGTGCTATTTTTCGGGAACAGAACGATTATCATTTTCCTCACATTTGCATTTTTAAAGCCACACCATTAAAAATAAAGTTTAAATCATATCCCTATATCCCAAAATTATTTTTTAGTTCAGATTTTCAATTTATTTTGATAACGTCGGAAAGCTCACTAAAGATGGGTAAACCCACGCCCACTGCAATAGCCTGCAAACCACAGTGAGGTAAACCACCTTAAGCAAGTCCGGGATGGCAAGTTTGGGTGCGAAATCGGGAGTTTATAAGTGAATTTGCCATAACAAGTTCTCTAGAGGTGTCAATTGTCAAGGTTAGAATCACCTCTTACTCTTGTTAGAGTGAGGGTTTAACTCATGACCTCCTCTTAAAAGTAAGGATGGTTTTACCACTGAGTCAACACCTCATTCGCAGATTTTTAATTTTAATATTCCCTCCGTCCCATAATTATTGTCCAGTTTAAATTTTCATTTTTAATTTAAATTGTACTAGAAGTGAAATCTCAAAGTGGACAATAATTTTGGGACAGAGGGAGTAGTATCTCTATGGTTCTATTAAAAAAAATGGCCTAATTTGAGGTTTGAAATTTATACTAATTATTAGTATGTGAATTACTGGTAAAATTTCATTAGTGAGAGTAGAGTAACTTTGTCTTACTAGTGAGAGTACTTCAATTTTCTGTATCCCACACTCCGATCATACACAAAAAGATTTCTAATTTCCATTTCCGGTCAAGACCCTGATAAAAATGCCGCCGGTAATTTTGTCCGGAATGGATTTCAGCAAAACTCACCCATCATGCATGACAGTTAGGTACCTAAACATTATTAAAAGAAAAAAAAAACAAAAAATATCATAGTCTTTACCTAACTCTACAAAAATACAAGTCAACAATTACAAAATTAATGCAAGTGCCCAAAATTTCTTAAACCCCGTCAACCCCAACAAAGCCAGTCGGAATCGGGAAACCTCCTCCACCACCTTTCCTCTTTTCCTCCTCGATTGTCCCAATTGAAAAATGCCAACTTGGAAAGTTGACTGAATTTGTATCCCTCTAGGTTTTCCCCAACATCCTTTTTTTCACATAGATTTTGCCCAGCACGGAGTTGATTCTTTTCACTTAGATGCTACGGAAAGTATTTCTAGATACGTGTTAGCCGGCGCCATTTCCGAGTTTCATTCATTCATTCTTCTTCTCTTGGAAATGGCCCTTCGCAAAGATAAACACAATCAATCGGTCCGTGGATCCAGAATCGCTATAGCTATTGTTATTGGGGTTTTTCTGGGTTGCGTCTTCGCTTTCTTGTATCCCAATGGATTGTTCTCCTCCGCCACCTCCGATCTGCCTCCCCGGAACCGCAAGGTTTCTAAAATAACTTCTCAGGTTCGTGTATTTATTTTCTTTTTGTTAGTATTTGATTTATTATCCCTTTTAAGTTTTCAATTGAAAGAGTTGTTGTCATTCATTACCGGGATTGTATCGAATGTAACCTAAATTGGTAGTGCAATTTTTAGTTAGTTTAAGCTTCAGAAATGATTCTTTGGGTAGAAAGTTTGGTACTTTAATCATAATGGTTTTACTATGTGAGCAAACTTATCAGACAGGAAAATTAAGGGTTGCAGTTCTTTCATCCCTAAAAATTTTGTTCCGCTATAGTCATATAGGATGGTTTCGTGGATCTACTTCCTAATTTGCTGGAGAAATATATGATAATGTATCTGCATTTATGTTCTTCCAATTTTGGATCCTTCTATTGAGGGACTATTGAGGGAAGAGGATCTTAATTTGATGAATGATGAGGATTGATAAATTTATTGATTGGTTTTGGTTTTTAGGTTGATTCATCTTGTGACTCCTCAGAGAAAATAAACATGTTAAAGTCTGACATCATGCAATTATCAGAGAAGAACGATGAGTTGAAGAAGCAGGTGAGGGAGCTGAATGAGAAGTTGCGGTTGGCCGCAGTGGGAAAAGGTCATGCCGAGGAGCAGGTTGTAGCATTGAGCGAGCCACATAAAGCTGGACCTTTTGGTACTGTCAAGGCGTTGAGAACTAGTCCCACCGTCCTTCCTGATGAATCAGTCAATCCAAGACTGGCTAAGATCTTGGAGAAGGTTGCTGTTAGGAAGGAGGTTATAGTTGCTCTTGCCAATTCGAATGTCAAAGATATGCTTGAAGTTTGGTTTACTAGCATAAAAAAAGTAGGCATTCCAAATTTTCTGGTTGTCGCACTTGACGATGCAATTGTGGAGTTTTGCGAGTCAAATGACATCCCAGTTTATAAGAGGGATCCAGATAAGTATGTTGATTCGATTGGTAAGTCGGGAGGTAATCATGCAGTGTCAGGACTGAAGTTTAGGATTTTGAGAGAGTTTCTGCAGCTTGGTTACAGTGTTCTCCTTTCTGATGTTGACATAGTGTACCTCCAGAATCCTTTTGATCATTTTCATAAAGACTCAGATGTGGAGTCCATGAGCGATGGTCATGATAATGCTACGGCTTATGGTTACAATGATGTTTTCGATGAACCTGCCATGGGTTGGGCTCGTTATGCCCACACGATGAGAATTTGGGTGTACAATTCTGGTTTTTTCTTCATTCGACCCACCATTCCCGCAATTGAGCTCTTGGATCGAGTTGCTGATAGGCTTTCTAAGCAGCCAAAATCTTGGGACCAGGCAGTTTTCAATGAAGAACTCTTCTTTCCTTCCCACCCAGGGTATGTTGGTCTTCATGCTGCTAAAAGAACATTGGACATTTATCTCTTCATGAACAGCAAGGTCCTTTTCAAGACCGTTAGGCAGGATGCTGCTCTAAAGAAACTGAAACCAGTGATTGTCCATGTGAATTATCACCCTGATAAACTATCAAGAATGAGGGCAGTGGTTGATTTTTATGTCAATGGCAAGCAAGACGCTCTAGAACCATTCCCTGTAGGTTCTGACTGGTAGTACATGCAAAGTTGGAAGTTATGCTATGGTAAAGATCCACATTGCAGTTTTCTTTTTGCTTTCTGCTGGCTGCTGATTTTTTGGGTGGAATTTGTATAATCTATCTTCATTCTAGATATTCCATCCACTTATATGCTTTAAGGTCCTTTTGTTTAGTGTATGAGGTCTGATTGTGGTGAAAGTATGATACTTGCTTGGAGGTTCAAGTTGTAGCCTGTTTATGTCAAGGAATACTATATATGTTCTGATCCCTGAAAATAGTCAAAATTCACTTTCATCCTTGCATTGCAACTTTACCATGTTTCTCAGTCCTTTTACTTTTAAGGTTGGATCCCTGAATCAGATTTGATTGTGATGCTGACTTGAGATTATCACTGACAATTGACACACGGCGGAAACATATTTATCAGAGATACTTTGAGTTGCGGCATGAAGTATAGTTCATTAGTTACTCTTAGAATTACAGTTTGAAACATAAATGTTTATTGCTGGCAATGGGTTTTAGACCTAAAGTAAGGATGTATGTCGAAATCATTCCTGAAAAAGTTTTCACATACCACCCAGCTTTCCCTCCTTTCAGGTAATCAGGCCTCTCTTTGTGATGACAAACCAATTCCCCCTCCCTTCTGTTAAGTAGCCAGTTTTCTGTTTTTATGGGTTAGAGTTAAGTAGGCATTTTCAGGATCATGGAAAGTGTTAGAAGCTTTAACAAGCACGAATCTTTCTGTATTCAAAACAGTTCAGAAGCCTGTAACAATATGCTTGAAAGTTACATAAATACCCTGAAATCGACGAGATAAGCCTATTAATCTACAATTCTACATTCATGTGATCATGTCAAAACAGAAGCATTAGCTAGCAGTGGTGGAACTCTATTGAACTGAAGAAACCCCCTGATGTCAGAAAAAATGGGGATGGTTCAGCCAGTATCCATGAACCTATTACAATTAGGACTTCCTAAACATCATTCATTCACTTTTGTTGCTGGCTGCAAAAACAAGTCGTTTAGGTAACTATAGGAGGAAGGTTGATGATACATCATGAAGTCTTGACCAGAAGAAGGCAATAGAAAATGGCAGCCATCTTCATCAACAGTTTCAAAGAAGAGATAGACGTGGGAGCCATCTTTGACACCGTAATCTTGAAGAGCAATTTCATCTTCAGTCATCAAATTAGAACACCCATTAACGCGATCATGATCAACCAGCAAAATGAGTCGATCCAGAGGTAAATGTTCTTGAAATCCGATCTCCCTTTTCAAATCTTCAACTGTAGCATCTTCTTTAATCTCTACGTAAAAAAGTCTCCCAGTGAGTATCTCTATTATCACTCTCATTTTTCTTTTTCCGGATCTAGGAAATAAAAAAATAAAATTTTCTTCTTCTTTTTTTTTAATATATTAGTTTTGGGTTTGGCAAAACATATGTATAGGTTGGAGGAAGAAGAAGGCATGCAGGACACGAAAGGTGTTCATAAGGACTGCATTCTCGATCAGTTTGTTTGGGAAGCATTTGCCCTATTAAATGGGATGGTTTACCCAAAACTTTAAAAGAGAATTCTATTCTATAGCTTTCATAATTATCAGTTTTAAGTGCTTGAATTAGTCAATTCAATTCACTAAATGTGGGTTCTCGATCCGCGTTTAACAAAATTGTAGTAGTAGTAACATCTAAAGGTTTGAATGAAATGAATGAATGTTGGATATTTTCCGGTTAAAGTTAGACTTGGACCATGGTAAAATATCGTACCCTCGAAATATAATAAATCACCAATTCTATAATTAGCCTACCTTTTATCGAAAAAAAAAAGGAGAATAGTGATGGATTTGCAGACCTGTTAAGTTTAAAGTTCGGCAATCACTAACATCCAGATAGATCAATCCCTGTTTCCTTATCTATTTTGTCACTCTCATTATCTTTCCTTTTATCGTAGTTGCAAATTTTAAATTGGGGTAATAGATTGATTTGGAGTCAGCAGTTAACTAACTAGCTAGGATTACGACCGTCTATTAACTTCTCATTTTGTACCATTTCCCGGAATAATTGAAATGATTTCAGACGGAAACCAACTGGATTTCTATTCCGGTGTGGACACGTCCATTACACGAATTAAAGAAAAAAAAATCATATACACTAATCCTAATATTATAACGATCCTAGTTTCGTAATTAACAATTGTCACAATATGTGGGATAGTCGTGAGATATATTTTTTCTTTCTCTAATTGATAGTACTAAACGTTTTCTTAATCGTTGTAAATGCTAAAGATATTTTTTTTTTAACAAAAACAATGAAAGGCAACTAATATTATCACAAACTATGTACAAGTACTCCAATGAGTTCCACATTTTTTATGTCTTGGAGCAAGTCACTAGACATTAAAGGAGATTTCAAAGTATCTGTCTCCTAATGACAATGACCAAATTCAATGTTTGGTGGTGGGATAGAGAAGGGAAGAGAATGGTTACTAAATGATTCAGTTTAACGATCCAGATTTTTTTTTACATATTGTGTACGGTGTCCTAAGTGCATTACACTTAAACTAATTTGCATCGAACCGAATCGGTTTTCTTTCGGAGGAAAAATTCTCTTAATATTACTCTCTCCATTCATAAGATTCGAACCCGAGACTTAGTTTAAGAAAACCAAAACACCTTACTACTCTGACCAAGCAAGTGTGTTAACGATGTAGATTTAACACTCTAATTCAGCTGTTTTAATTTTTGAGGGAACTAGAAATGTAGCTCGAGGTTATGGGCCGAAAAACTTCCCAAAATCTGGGAATAGCTTAAGTTGGGTCCAGTTTTATAAATGATGGGTCCGGTCCAGTTACCCGAATCTCAAATGAAGAGTCACCGGACCGGACTGTCACCCAAAAAACTCCGCCAGCTCCGCGTGATTGAACTTAGCATATTCATCATCACCCAAAAAATAAACCTTACCAATTTATTCTTAAAAAAAAAAATCTGATTAATTTCCTTCGTTTCCAAGCGTCCTTCTTCCCTCACTTTTTATACTTCTCAAAACAAATCGGATCTTGTTTCTTGGCATTGTACATCTTTCTCACTTCTCCTCCTCTCTCGGCGAGCCGGCCGGACGGCATTGTGGATCACTTGTTGCAACCACTGGAAAGTTTCTGCAGATTTCAGAAAAGATTCGCGGCGTTTTAAGCATTTCTCCGGTTGGTTACGGTATGATTTCCCACTTACTTTCGTGGTATGATTTGAGTACACTCACTTTATGCATTGTTATCGGTTTCTTGATTACGCTTAATTACTTGATAAATTTTCGGAATGTGTCTGATTATAATACTGGTTTTCTCTTCGATTTGTTTCTTCGCCCGAGGTTGTGACTTGTTACTCGGATCTACTGGGTGTTTCCTCTAAAATCTTCTAATTCGTGGCTGCAAAAAAAGAGTTTGGAGTCCGCTTTTTTAATCCTTTGAAGTTCTTCCATGTGGAATATGTGTGTTGTCGACACAATTTGGTAGAAAAGTGGCCCTGTTTTATTTAGAGTGATAGGCATAGTTTCCCCTTTCGTTTTACTTCAATTGCTGCCTTCAGGGTCGTAGAGCAGTAGTGGCAATCCCAGTCTATGCTGCCTTGGTTGGTCCTAATAGTAGGAGGTGGGATAATATTAAATGTAGCTTCTTAAGAATGCCTGCTTATCAGCTAAGCCTGTCCAATTTGACCAATTTTTAGCTGTAGGATAACTGTTTTATAACCACAGTCATTAATCTCATGTTTGATTCAGACCCAATTTTGTGTAAATATTCATTAAAATTGGCTTTGGGTAATAGGTATTGGAAGTGGATTTTATGAGTTGAAGTAATAACTATAGTTACTTCACCCTCTGCCTCCATCTATGTTTGGAGGTTCTCCCCCTTCCAATAGTCCGCATTTACGGAAGTCTGGTAGCAGACCAGTTGTCTATGATCTTGGTAAGAAGATATTTGACTTTTCTTTTTAGTTTGTGTTGCCAACTTTCGTAATACTATCTGTTTTTCATCTTCATTCTTCATTTTGCTAATTTTCATTAATAGATACTAGCAATCTAGGAAATAGTGGTGAAGAGGTTCTCCTACTTCCAGTAGAGTCTGATGAAATGAAGGGTGTGAGTACGCCGTTGAGCACTACAGCAATCTTGCCATCTCCAATTCTTTTATGGAGATTCAAGGTAATGTTCGGTTATAGAACATTGAGAAGATTGGCTTAGGAAAGGCTTCTTAAATGTTATGTTCATGCTATCCAACTTTTTCATATCTTCTTTACTTGGTTTTATTTTCTTTTTTAAGCGTACAATTATCTTTTGAGGGAAATTTAGTGATGTCTGGAGCTTAGATGAGTATGTCTAGCTCAATAATATTTGTTAATCTACACTGCAATAGCTGAAATCCTGTGTTTCTTGAAGTCCGCAAGCTATTTTTCTGAACGAATATAAGAAATAGTTTTGCAGAATTAGTGCAATGAGAAATAAGTCCGTGTTTAATAACTTAAGTCCAATACTGATATGCTTTTGTCCCCCCACCCCACCCCCTCCTTTTTGTTTTTAGAACCATTTTACTGTTTACTTTATTTTGAATATGCTCATATTCTTGTTATAGTCTAACTGATCCTGATTTTCAGGTGATATTGTTTTTCATTTGGGGTTTCATTTGCTGCAAGGTCAGTTTTACATCTTTCCTCATTTTCTGTTTATGCAGCTGTTTTTGTCATTGTATACGGCCACATTCTGGAATCCAGTGTTTTAAAGGAAGTTGTACTTGAGTACTTGATCTCGTGACAATCACCTCTTTTTGCTTGCAGATTGGATGGGATTCTGTCATGAGAATGAGCGCAGACCTGAGGGATTTATTTTTGTACGAGGCCTTTTTGTACTACAATCCCCTTCTTCTGGTGGTTAGTGTTGCTCCAATTATAGAGTTAACATTTTTTCTTTTTTGTTTATTCTTTTTGTTCTTTGGAGTTTTGGTTTTCTTTTTGTGATCACGTTGTTGTCATTGATTTCATTTCAGACCATGACAGTTTGGCTTTGGGGTGTCAATTTATGGGTTTTTGCCCAGGGTAGTGTGAACTATGCCAAGATTTTTGACCTTGATCAAAGTCATCTCACCCATGGGGAAATATGGAAGGTATGGATCTGTTGACAGCGTTGCGCTGTTGGAGTTCTTTTCTTGTATTTCTTTCATTGCTTATGTCTAACTGTATTTAAATGTGAGCTTTGCTTCTGCAAATTGCTGATTTTTCCTGGAGAGTCAAAGATAAGAAGGTTCTTGAGAACCATTGAAAATATATGCCTCAAAGGATGAGTATGCTCGGCTCTCTCTGACAAATTTCCTAACAAGCCCTTTGATTTTCTTTTTAATCGCTAATTTGAGGGGCTTCCTGCTTTGAACAGTTTTTTATAATCTAATTTGTGTTATGATATGTGCCCCGTACATATCTTTAATTGTGGTCGATTAGTTTTTTATCGCTTCCAACAGGAGTGAATATTGTGTTTTTCTGTATGTCATAAATCTGTAGCAAAGTTGGGACTTGATGAACTTGTCTACGTTGATCTTGAGGTTTGTCGAATGTGTTGTGTGTACAACTGATCATTGATATAGCCTGTACTGTATCAAACTCGTTTGCTAGGACAAGGCTTTTTTTAATGTTATAATTATTTTTGTTGTGAAAGATGATTGTTAATGCATTTGATGTTTTGCATGCATATACTCAAGGAAATTTTACTTATTCTTGAATATTCTATTGTTTTTGCAGTGTGCGACCTGGATGACAATCATTGTCCCTACTAGCATGACGGCATATTTATATCTTTATTCTCATGGCGAGGTTGCCTTAGCTGCATCTCAACCAGTGTAATAGATGCTTCCTTTCTCATATTTTTCCCTGTCTTATTCTTCATCTATAGCTTCTGCGGAACCTGAACTTTTTTTCACTGAGGTGCAAAAATGTCTGCTTTTTGTTAAAAAGCACTTGTTCAAGATTTATTAATTACCCTTAGACTAATCTTTGGAGGAGACATGTTGCAATTCACATGGCTTTAGGGTGAATAAAATATTGTTTCTGATAAATTCATTCAGAATTTGTGTCCATGACGAAACAGCCTTTTCATTTATGATATTTTACCGAAAGATAGCGAATGTAATAGGAACCATGAATTTTATAATGCTGGGGCTATTGCTGTAATGAATCCTTAACTCTGATGCCAGTTGGTCATTCGCAGATTCGCAATGTTGTAATAAACTTTTTTGTGCCACGCAGGTGCTTCTATATGTTGCTGTAGCGATGGCTCTTATATCTCCCTTTGATATTTTCTTTCTGTCATCTCGCTATTTCTTGTTGAGGACTCTTTGGCGAATAGTATTCCCGTTGCAGGCAAGTTTATGATCTCTTGACACCATGTGCGCGATAATTTTTCTGATTTTTGCAGCAAATCTTTTGAAGTTTACATGCTTGTAACTATGTTCTCTTATTTTAAATTTCTTCTATGGACACAGGCAATCACATTTGCAGACTTCTTTTTGGCGGATATACTAACCTCCATGTCAAAGGTATGTAGTTTTCACTAGTAACTCCTCCTGTTTGTAGTTTTTTTGACATGGAAGATTTCTACTATGGAGGAGAACCGAGATGTTATTGGAAAGTGTTTGCATGTTGGTTTCCATGTGACTGTATTGCTTCGATGATATGAAGCTTTCGTCTGTGAGAATACCTATTGTCATTGGTGGTTGAACAACCTTGATTCTGGATGTGCTTATTATGCTGCTCAATACTCTTTGGATTATATGATAAGTCTCTCGAGGGTGTAGTTATTTAAGGGGAATATTGAGGTGTGGAGGATTTTGGAAGAAAAGAGATTGGGGCAGTTTTGATAGTAAAGAAATTTGCTTTTTTTTTTTTTCCTTTTTTTTGGGATCAAAGTTTAAATAGGTTTTGAATTTTAATTATTTGATTTATTGAACTGCTTTTAAATTTGTAACTTGTAACTTCTTGTAGGTTTTCTCAGATTTGGAGCGTTCAACTTGTCGCATGATTCACCGGCAGGTTTGCATAGTTTTTCTTTTGTCTTTAAATTATGAGAATTATTCTGATACCTGTTTGATTTATTCTTTTTATCATTATTTTTCCTTTTCTATATGTACCTCGATTGGTGTGAGTAATTACTGGCCATGTCTTTGTCGTTTGTGTTTGGTAGAGTTAGTGATTTGGGATTCCTAAATTACATAATCATGAATTTCCTTGAGCTATAGCTATGCGCGCTGCTTGAATTGTTAATGTAACTAGTTATTATCCCTACATTATGTTCCCAAGTAGAACCACCTTGTATTAGGTATCAGTTTTACTTGCTTGCCTAATAGTTCATCATATGTGCAGGTCGCCACTATTGCTTGGTTTGAAGCTGATTCTGTTTGTGGCAGTCATGCAGTTGCAATCCCAGTAGTTCTTGTTTTGCCTTATCTTTTCCGGTTATTTCAATGCCTTCGGCAATATAAAGACACTAAGGAAAAGAATTGCTTGTTGAATGGTAAGTTTATTCAGAATCACATACCTCTTCAGATGGTTGCTTGATTGCTTAACATTTGGCAGAAGTCGTATCTAGATTCCTTTTTTTTTCTATCACTCTGGGCTGGCAGACCCGGTACCTTGCTACTTTGCATTATCAGATTTCTGAATGGTAGAGGTTTAGAATTCAATGATATGCTCAAAAACTACTGCAATCTTTTCAAATATGAATCTTCTGCCATTGTTTTCTTGGGTCCAGGCAAGATAGTAGGGTAGGGTGGGCAATATCCTTTTTGATACTCTCTTTTCTTTGTTCTAATCAACTTTTTTCTGTTCTTATATTGGTTTCAGCTTTAAAGTACTCCACAGCAGTACCTGTAATTTTTCTTTCAGCCCTCAAGTATCACGTGTTTCCTGATAACTGGACGGGCATATATCGACCTCTGTGGCTTCTTTCTGGTGTTGTGAACTCTCTATATTCATTCTACTGGGACATTACCAGAGATTGGGACTTGAGGTATTTGTTATTTGTCTTGTTGGCCCTTCTAGAATCAGTGGAATGATTGTTGAGGGCGCTAGTTAGGATTACATTGAATCTGTTATGTACTTATGTCCTTAACTAGTTAAATACTAGTATATGACTAGGAAAATAGTATTATGAAACTCGTGGAGGTATATATATGTTGTTGATAAAAAGCTCAGGATTTGACATTGCCTTGCAACTTTTAGACTTATCATGAGTGCCGTTTTAAACCCTTGCAACTTCATTAGTGAATTTTACTTTTTTTCTCTTTGTCAGCTGTTTCACTCGGATTTTCAAGTTCAACCGACCCAATCTCCTATCTCACATGTTATATGGACGAAAATGGGTAAGAGTTTACTTTTAGTTCTCCCCTGTTGATCAATTATTCACTATCATCTCTATTGTGGTTATTAAAAATCAGTATATTATTGCACATCCTCCTGCAGTGAAGTTGGCTCAACAGATTTCCACTTTAAGTTGATCAGAGTGCATTTCATGCATATAAGACAACCTTTTGTGAGCTAAATGTGACAGCCTGCAAGAAATCATACCCCCCTGATAAAATTGATACCTCAGATCCAACCTCTTAATCCATGCTGAGTGATGTCTCATGTGCATGCTATTTCTGTTCCTCTTTTGATTAGTGAATCCCTTTTTCAAAGAAAAAATAATAAATAAAGAAAAATGAAAAAGGTACTCTTGGACACTACAAGAAAACAAGTTGCAATCTGATAATGTGGTATCTGTGGAATTTACTTCTTCTTGGTTCACAGGTCTACTTTTGGGTGATTGGAAGCAATCTGATCCTGCGATGCACATGGACTTACAAGCTCTCTGCCCATCTCCGCCATAATTACATCACTGTGTTTACAATAACTGCCCTAGAAATTGTTCGCCGTTTTCAATGGGTATTCTTCCGTGTGGAAAATGAGTGGAACAGAATGACAGCTTCTAAATCGAACATTGAGCTCTCAATGGCCGATATGCCAACCGAGGAACAGAAGTTGCTCAACTCCAATGGCCACAATGTATGAAAATCATTTAGATACATGGATGCTTTAGCTGCAAAGTTTAGACGAGTAAGATCATCCTATTTTGATCAGAAGAGTCATCTTTTTTACATTCTTTTACCCGGCCATATACGCTTGAAAATCATTTTTGTTGATAGTATATATAAAAAATGATTATAGTTCATGTGGGATGCAAATTTGTCACTGTCTTCTACTAGCGATTGTAGAGACACAGCTACTTCTACGGATTCCTAGTCACGTTTCCATTGGAGCAAGCTAATATCAATAGGAGATGTTCAATCTTTATGCTTCTTGTTAGGCTAACATTACAACTCTCACCATTGTACTCCGAGGCTCCAATATCACCGTTTTGTATCGGTTCTTGCGTCGAAAAATTGTCTTCGAGTTCTCTCACCAGCATATTGGTGGAGCTGGAAGCCTTGAAGTGTGAAGCTTCTTTGTAAACAATTTAAATCAACGTTGAATTCCACAGTGAAGCATTGTGTTCCCGACTTATTTTGTAAAGCATCACTAATTTCATCTGTGTCGTAGATTTAGGACCAGATGTCCGACGTAGAGACTGGGAAGGAAGGGCAAGTACTACGGTCTGTGTGACACAACAAAGAAAAGACTGGTGTCAAGTGTTAACAGCAATAACCCAGAAATCTCAGGCTTCTTTAATTTCCTTCACAAGTTTGACACGTGTGACTATTTTCATCCCACTTCAATCTGTCACACTCTGAATTGTTCTCCCCTCCTTCGAAAATGAGTGTGTGGTTTGTTATCGGAACAATCATTTTGAGACGGAGTGAATAATATTCAGGTTTAGTGACAAGAGAAAAGTAATGAGAATACTTGCGGAGCAACCGCCGCCATTAGAATTTCTGATTATCAAATTGCTCAGAAAAGCTAGAGCCTCTAACCTCTTGTCATTTATTTGTCGTCTTGGATACTTCCTTTCTTCTTATCCAAGTACTACTACTCAACATAATATTCCCCATCCAACAAGACATTGCTGATTACCTTATTATCCCCCACCAATTTGTGGCTTCAGTTTTTCACTCATCCTCTGTCTCCAGCCCCACTCTTTCTGTCTTCATCCTCCTCATTTTCAAATTTGGCAGTTCAAAGTTTAAACCCCATTTTCACAATTTTGATTGATGGAACTTGGAAGCATATCTAACATTAATACCACACATTTATACTTTCTATATTTGTTCTTCAAGAAGAAATATAGAAGTTGCTGTTTACATTTCCTAGAATCACAGTTTTGCATTAGAGTCTTATGGGCTGCATTAGATAAATCTTTTATTTAATCTTCTGGCTCTTTGACAAAGTTCAAATAGCATATTTCCCAAGCATTGTTCTTGATTCAGGGGAGTTGTCAGATTTTCCCGCCAGATATTAATTTCTTTGAAATTTTGTACATAGTATACATGGAGAGATTTGCTCAACGAGAAAGTGTTTTGCTGGGATATAGCCCACACAGATCATTTGAAAATTCACCCAGAAAATCAGATGCAAACCCAGATATGGATTTCAGTGATGTATTCGGTGGTCCTCCAAGGCGGTTTTCGGTTCAAGAAAGTAAAACAAGATATAGTTTTTGTGAATCAGCAATGGATTCTGAGCCCGAAGATGACGCAGCAGTTGTGTCAAGACGTAATCCATGGTCTTTTTCAGATGAAAAACCGGTTTTTGGTGCTGAAAATGCTAACAGAAGGACTACTTGTCCAGGGGATGACTTCTTTGATGATATATTTAGAGTTGATGAGAATAAGTCATTTAATTCACCAAGGAAGAGTAGTAGTTGGGATATCTTTGGTTCTTCCCCAGGTTCCCGGGCTTCAAGTCCATCCAGGGCACTGCCTGCCAAAGCTGAGCTTTTTAGTTCTTCAGTTCCTGCTCAATTTAGGTACTAACATTTGTTCTTTTCTTAAAAACCTTTGTATTATGTCTTGTTATCTCATTCCTTAATCTGGATACTCTTCCACACTTCCACATGCTAATGTTAATTTTTAATTGAGATATTATTCCCTACCTTTTAAGATTGCCATTTAAAGGAAAATGAGGTTACAACTTTTTGGGGGGGATCCTGCTTTCTGTTTCTGTGAGGCTATTCCATTCTGATTTGCAGTGCGCAGTTTGCTTAGTTACTTTCAAATATGCATTGTAGTTTTTAGAAGAATGTAAACCACAGTTGTTCTTTGGAGCTTTCTAGCAGTTGTATTCTTTAACCATCTTTGAAAATGAAATATTTGCATTGCATCAATTGGTTATGGCTATTGAGGTTTTGTGTTGCTGTGTCCTTATCTACAACCCACTTTAGTGCATTCATCACTTTATGTTAATCTAAGCTGGCTGTGTGTCTCCAAATATTTCAGCCTTCCTGCTAAAGCCAAGAAAACAACAGATTTTCCTCCACTTGATTTCACCATGAATCATGGTCCATTCCATAAGAAAGATGGGATGGCAAATGGTATAAATAGTGGAATCAGTTCAAGTCACTTGTATCGGAAAAGCCCCTTGTCACAAGAAGTGTCGGATATCAGTCAGGAGACCTCCACTGAAACAAAATCTGAGGCAAAGAACGTGGAAACCAAGTTGAAAAAATCAGGTAGCATTTCCACTACACTTGGTAGTGGCCAGTTTCACTTCTCCATCTACAAATGGGCAGAAAGTGATGTGCCCTTGTTGATATCTCTGGGAGAAGGTAATAAATCAAGACTTAAGGACAGATTGAGAGCTGATAACAGTTCAAATTCTAATGGAAGACTTGAAGGTGATAGAAAAATAACCTTGAATGAGGGTGCCACATCTCTTGATACAGAATCAGTGCCCTTGAATATAAGAAGTGATAGTAGCAAAGAAAAGAATGTAGAACCTGGATTTCGTGATGAGGAAGTACTTAAAATTCCGGAAACAAAACTCTCAGTAAGGGAGGGAAATGATATTCCACAAAGTGATGCTATCTCAACAAAAAGTACAGAGGAGAAAGCCCATTCCAAGAAGGTAACAAATAAGAAAGAAGCTTATGTGAATAAGGGTCAAACTCCAAAGATTGAGCAGAAGCCCTTGCATGAACTGCTCAATGAAGACAATCAAGAACCAGGTACAGTGTTCTACAGTTTGATCATATGAGTTCACCTATCAGTTCCTCCTGATGGTGTCTTTATTTTTACCTTGTGTAGGCAATGCTGCTGAAGGGAAAGGTAACAAGGTGAAGCATACAGATACAGCCACTGTGAGCAGTCATAAGAAAAATGATTCAAAAAAGAGATCAGATGTGAGTAATAATAGCTTCCGAAAGTCCGAAACGAATTCAGGAGATATCTTTGGTAGAAGTCGAATGAAGGGAAAAGTAGGGGAATTCGTAAAGATATTCAACCAGGATAGCTCTGAGAAAACAAAGAATGACTTTCGCAGCAAGAGCACTAGATGGAAGAAAACAGACACCCATGCAAAAGAAAATGGAGCAAGTAATGCCGTAAAAACAGAAGAGAGCATGCACAGGTTGAATGACACTAAGATGCCAGAATCCTCCACCAGGGTATTTCATAAAATCCTTTTTTAGGAATCAGTTTCAGTTCAGTTGGACTGACATCCTAGTTGTTTAATTTGTTTCCTTGATAAACTCACAGTTCTCCTGGAAGTCAGAAGTCAATTTTGCTTAAATCTTGCAGGAAGATGACAACTTTATGAAGAATGAAGTACAAAAACAATCACATTCAAAGACATCCTTCAGCAAGGTTAATGGTGTCTCTAATAGTGAGAAGAATGCTTCAATGTTTTCAGGTCAGTTACCTCAGTTTAGTACTTTAGTACAGTCTTAGTACAGTCTTAAGTTTGTATCCTTATGCTTCCTTGATGGGCAATAGAATAATCAACATTAAGAAATAACCTAATGTTTTCCTCACCCTTTCTCTGTTCTAAACTATGTGAAAAAGTGAACTGCCCCTTGTACTTGAGCAACTTGCGGCATCCCTGCTGGCTATAAGACATGCAAACTAACAACAGTTTTCAGGGATTGCTGGGAAGGAAATGCACGCATTGTGCGAAAAAATAGTTCTGAGTGCTTCTACACTACTGTTGGAACAGAAAACCAAAAGGATGCCCACTGAGGCTGAGTAGTAGTGCAAAACCCATATTTTTCTATTGTCTACAAATAAATTATCAGACAAATGGAAGTTGACTTCATGTTTTAGAGCATCACAAACTGCAATTAGTTTTCTTCATAAAATTGTTCTAATTTGTGAACTTTTCTTATTCGTCAGTTTTTTAAGCCTTTTCTTATTTTTCTCTTTGACTTTCTCGGCTGAATTCTTCTATGGTTCTTGTTTTTTACATATTTTCCTGGATCTCCCCAGAATTGGCTTCCGATAACAATGGAATCAAAGTTGAAGACAGAGATGAACCTCTTCATGAATATTTCCAGGTATCTATATTCTGCCCCCTTTTTCTCCTTTTTGGCTCGTGTCTTATTATATAGAATGTACCAGATATCTTTGTATTATGATGTTTGAGTACTGCAGTTGTCTGGTGTTATCTAGTTTATAATGATGAGTAGTAGTTTCAACAGTGATGTTGACAGAAAGCTATTAGATTTGAATACATGCTGCTATATTCACTGGCAGGTAGAGGAACTGTCAAATGTTGAAGACAAGGATTTAGAAACTAATGGAGAGTCTGATCATATCCAAGTAAGGTCCTTTAGTCATCATCATTTTCACAAACTTTTTAAGATGCTGTTACATTGCTGTAAGAATTTACATTCAGGCTTCAAATGCTAAAATTCAACAATGGTCAAGCGGAAGGAAGGGAAATATCCGCTCATTGCTGTCAACTTTACAGTTTGTAAGTTCTCTCCATACTAAAAAACTCTTTCCAATCTTCTAAAATGCACTTTCAAAGTTCATGAACTTTATCGTCTGGTATAAGCTTAATCATATATGCCTGCTTTTCACTTTCTTTTCTCCCCTTTCCTGTTGATCAGATAATGAAATTTGAGTTTAGCTTTTTGTTTTTATTAACAGTTGAATGATGAAAATTTTCAGCAATCAAAGATGATTGGAATGTGCCCTACTACTTATATTTGAACACATATATTGTTGGAACATAGAATTCTGATATTTATCCACAAATCGCATATCAGGTTCTTTGGCCTCAGAGCGGATGGAAGCCAGTTCCCCTTGTTGATCTTATTGAAGCAAGTGCAGTTAAGAGAGCATATCAACGAGCACTGCTTTGCCTACATCCAGATAAGCTGCAGCAGAAGGGTGCTGCTTCTGATCAAAAGTATATTGCCCAACAAGTGTTCGACATTCTTCAGGTGTGATATAGCAAAATGTCCTATATATATGGTCTGTTTAGTTTGGTTCAACATCCAAAATAGAAACCAAAATAAATCCGTATATCACTCAAAGAATGTGCCAAGTAACTTTGTTAGTCCACTGGTGAATGGTGATGAGCATAGTTATTTCTACCTGAATAGCTGAAGGACCTTACCAGTGTTGCCGCCATTATATGCAGAATAATGATGACAACCGCATTACCTAGTTAACATGGTCATTACTGATTTGGTACCAAAACATGGGTTTTCTTTTTTTGCATGTTTTTGGGCTTGAATTTGTGTATTCTTATTTAATGCAGGAGGCATGGGATCTTTACAATACGCTAGGTGCAATATGATAGACTGCCGAATGTTGTATACTTGAATTAGAGCTTCAGGCCCCGGAAGACCATCTAGCTCATATGCCATCTGACAATTATTCATGGAGAAGAGCTCTTCATTCTCATTAAAAACACACAGTACAAGAGCTTGAGTTTCAGTTTAGCCTTGATGCATTATATTGGCATCAACCAAAATTTTTCAGAATGCAGTGAACTGTGGCAAACTGGCGATATGTGATCTATACAGTCGGACTTTGCACTGTAGGATACAGCTTAGTTCTTCTTACACTTGAACGTAAAGTGGTCTTCATTTTCCCACTGTTTTCAATTGAAACATAGTTTTTTTTTTTTTTTGACTGGGTGCAAATGTAGATATGATGGATATCGTTGTAGTTGTGAATGGGGATATAAATATGAATATACATTTGATTGCCTCGGAAAGTATAGAGATATAGAGATCAAAGAATTCCATTATGAAATCAAAACGTTGAACGGTTTTGAGACCTTCAAACTGAAGTTTTTCTTCCAGTGTCTGGATTCTGGATAATCGTTTGGCAAGTTCTTTCCATGGGAATATAGATTTTGGAAATGTGCAAATGGTTTCTTCTTTTTTAATAAGCCCACAAAAAAAGTTTCGGGGCCAAATTTTAGTGGACAATATCGATCTAGTAGCTCTAATAAGATTCAAAATTCTTAAAATATTGTATATACATCCTCCTATTTAAAAGTTTTGACTCATGAAACGCCCTTAATCGAAATTTTCCCTGTTTATAATTCAAAATGTAAAGATGAACAATAACAAACACGTTGAGAACCAACATTAAGTATGAATCACTATATTTGATGTTTCCATGTGTGTTTTCTTTCGTCGTATTTTCTCAAATAGTATCTTGTAAAAAAAAGAATAAATGAAAATGTGTATCTGTTGGGTCAAAAGAATCTCACATCGGTGTCGTGAAGGATCAGTCACCTGTTTATAAGTGCCAAAAACCACTCAATTCATTGCCAATTGGTTTTGAAATGGGAAGCCAAGGTGACTTTGACATGGTATCAGAGCCCACGATCTGTGGACCTGTGATAACTATGGACCCGCGTGTGAATTATGTTGCATTGTACAACCTCAATGGGCCAAATACCCCATTGGGTTTGAGGAAGGGTGTTGGGACAAAAAGAATCTCACATCGGTGTCGTGAAGGATCTGTCACCTGTTTATAAGTGCCAAAGGCTACCCCACTTATTGCCAATTGGTTTTGAGATGGGCCCAAGTGACTTTGACATGGATATCGAGCCCACGATCTGTGGACATGTGATAACTATGGACCCGCGTGTGCGGGCTTGGATCCGTGTGCCTTGGACTTGCGTCAATCGCTTCCGTGCACACGGGTGGATTTGTTACTGATCCGACAGTATATTCGGAGTATGTACCCGTGTGTACGAGCTTGTTGACTGATTCAGCACTATATATCTGGTGAATTATGTTGTGTTGTGCAACCCCAATGGGCCAAATATCCTATTGGGCTTGAGGGAATTATGTTGTGTTGTGCAACCTCAATGGGCCAAATACCTCATTGGGCTTGAGGGAGGGTGTTGAGACAAAAGAATCTCATATCAGTGTCATGAAGGATCTGTCAACTGTTTATAAATGTCAAAAGCTACTCCACTCATTGTCAAGCTACTCATTGTCAACTGTTATAAATGTCAAAAGCTACTCCACTCATTGTCAAGCTACTCATTGTCAACTGTTTATAAATGTCAATTAGTTTTGAGATGGGAGCCCAAGATGACTTTGACACTATCCCATAAAATTTTTATAGGGTTGGGAAAATTGGAATGTCTCTTTTCATTTCTGTCACGTTGAAAACTGCGACTCCTATTTGACATCTGACCAAAAGGGGTCCCTTTATCAATGGCCTTACTTCACGCTGTACTAGTTTTGGTCCAGACTCTATGGAATATATGAAACTTCAACCAAAAACACAAAATTCCAGAGCCATTTTGATTTCATCCATCACACACATATATATATATATAGTAGAAATCCTGTGTAATCTCAGCCCCGGAAAAAAAAAAAAAAAATCGCCCCTTTTCATAGCTAATAAGATTCGAGCTTGTGATCTTGAACGTTTAAACCAGTAAAATATGAATTCTTTCTTTATATAACCATAGTTACAAACTCTTTGTGATCTAATAATTTTTTTCACTCAAAATGTTACATAAAAGTAACATGGCATTTTGATTGTTTTTTTTTTTGGCATTGGATTAAAAACTGATGGTGATCGATAAATCCTTTTTTTTTTTCTCCTTTTCTGACTTTTTCGTTGACAACATCTTGATTTTATGAATTCCATGCCGGCACCCAACATTTCACTTTTGGTACAGCTATTTATGTTTCCCTTTCGAAAGTATATAATTTCCGTACACAAGATATCCATGAAGGAATTTAATTGCTACATCCTCTAAAAGCCACACAAAAAACAAAAATTAAAAATAAAATAAAATGAAGGCAGAAAAAAACAACAAAAAAGAGCATTATTTTATGAATGAAGTAGAAGGCAGCTGCAGCTGTACCACCCCACAAATAGAGCTGTTAATGTTTGCAAACGTGCAAAAAATCCCCGTTGACTTCACTCCTCCATCTTCTTCCATTTCTACTTCTTCTTAGATTATTCTTCTTTAATAAGGCATTTTGACTTTATTTTAAGTTTTACCTAGAATGTCTTTTTAATTGAAATATAAATCTTAAAAATATTTCCTAATAATTAAGAAAATACAATAAATATAAAATATATATTTTTAAGATTTTTTTTGGATAAAAAATATTCCAGATGAAATTTAATACAAAATTGAAATGCTATAAGGACCGGAGGAGTACTATTTATTTTATTTTTGGATAAAATTAAAACCCTTTCTTCGTGAGTGCTTCCATTTCTAGCTGTCTTCGAAGAGAGTTAATAAAATATAAATAAATGAAGGGAGACCACGGAATTAAAATAACTTTATTTCACATGCTGTACCACACAGTATTACTGTTAATAAAATTGGAATCCCGTGAATAATCATTGTTGCCAGCGTAACACGGTTAAATTAGGTATGTTCTTCATTACTGATTCATGTGAAATGCTAACACCAATCTAATGTTCAAAAAAAAAAATCACAGAAAGAAGTTAAAGCTGTAAGAAAAAAAAAGTGATGAATGATGGAAGTCCTGGAAATTAGCCATTGATTACGAAGAAAGTAATTAAAACTTACTTCACTTTCTCTTTTTATGTTGAAGGGCAATATCTTTACGTTTTTCCGCATTTGCGTAAATGACAAGAGAGTTTTAACACTCAAAATGGGATGACTTAATCACAATACCCCATACCAAAATCCCCATGAGAGCCGTACACATTATCATCACATATCTAAATCGAGACCATCGCTATGTTAGGGTAATGCAAACAAAACAATCAGTTAAAGTGGGACGAAAAGAGTAACAATTAACCAGACCCGTTACTATGTTAGAGTAATACAATAAAATAACTGAATTAAAATGGGACGAAAAGAGTAACAATTAACAAGACCGACCTTACAAATGCATCATTTCAATTTGGAATTTAGGCACATAATAAGGACATGCATGTTACCTTTCACAAAAGTTAGGCCTAATGGGGGTGATTGGGATAGTAGAATTTTTAATATTTGGTGGGCTTAATGTGGGTAGGGAGGACAGCATTAACATTACTGAAAATGAGCATGACTGATGACGCAACGTTTATCCATAACCATAAATGCATCAAAACGGATTTCACTAATTCCAGTTGATCTGTTTTTGTTTTTTAAACCACTCATAGATAGAATCTGTTTGTGTAAAAATAAGACTGGTCAAATTATAATTACAGTGGTCAAATTATAGTTACATAAAGCGTTTTGGACAATACACAATGAAAAGAAGACAGTCAAACCAGAGGTAGCAGCAGGCTCCTGGATTGTTTTATTTGTGTATCTTTATGTCATATGTAGTACTGTATTTATTATCATACAGGAAAAAAAATCTGGCTCAGGGAAAAAAAGGGTCCCTCAAAAACCAGTCATTTTACTGACTACTCATTTCCATACTACCAATGCAAAGTTGCAAATACACAGCCTTTAAGCATGAGGCTCTGAAATACACATATGTATAATGTTTGGTTGACTCCTAATTTCCTTTTTGACCTTATTTCAAAACTTTTGGTCATTCTGTGATAATCAATCTTGAAACAGTGACATTATGGGAGTAATATAAACTTAGGTAACCTGATACTATTTGTACTTACTCTCTCCATTTCAAAATATAGGTCGTTTTAGGCTCCATGTAAACTAAGAAAACAATCATTTAATAATTAATTTATGTGTTAAATATCTATTTTATCCATCATTAATTGTTTTAGAATTATAACCAAGACTAGATGAAACGTAGTTGACATCATTTATTGGATGTAAAGTTGGAAAGTTAATTTTTAATTTGTCTTGAAATCCTAAAACGACTTATATTACCAAACCTAAAACGACCTACATTTTGAAATGGAAGGAGTATTAAAGAAAAGTTGCTTGTGATGATGATGCATGATCAGATAACAGAGGTAGGGTGATTTAATCCACATTATCCCAGAGAATAAAGGGAAAAGTTAGAGTACTGATCTTTTAATATTATTGCACCAAAGAACCATTGTTCCTACTGATCCAAATTCAAGATGGGAACTTTTGTAAAAGGCAAAACACTCAAAATACTAATTTTAATCACTGTTATATATGTGTACACTATATACTTGTTTTGAATTAAACTGGTTTAGTACGTTTAACTCCGCGGACCAAGGGTGACCAAAGGCAACGGCTAAGGCACATAGGGTCCCTAGTACAAGACAAATAAGGTCCCTTCTGAATCTGAATTTGTCCCTTAAGGTGGTAAAAAACTTTATTCCCAAAAGCAGTAAAAACCCAAATAACAAACGAGTGAAAACAGCAAAGAATTACCCACAAAAACCCCAACAATTGATAATCTCAGATGTACTGTGTGGTGAAAGGCTTAAAGGTAGTGGTAGGAAAGGGAAAGTGGACACTGCAATTACTTCACTCTTTCAGTCTTCTTCAGGCTCTGAGCTGAGAGGTTAAAAATAAAAGCAAAGAAAGAGAGAAAGAAAGAGAGAGAGAGATAGAGTGAGCGTGTGAATGTGTCAGTTTTAATAAGGCCCCTCCCATTTCCAGCTTCCTAAACTTGGGGTCTTTTCACATTCCCAATTCATCGTGTCATCTTTGCTTTTCTTCTGGGTTGAGTCTACCAAGTAAAATTTGCTTACTTGGGGCTCAACAAAGTGGTCTTTTTGATTTCTTGTATTTTCAGGACTTTGGAGTTTGGAGAGTCTTCTTAACTTGGGATTTGTTCACGAAATTGAGGGCTTTTTTTTTTTTTTTTTGGAGTGTTTTAATAAAAAGCACAATTTGACAATCCCAGCTGGGGCTCTCCTCATTCTCTCTCTATCTATCTTTGCCATTCCCAGCTGGGTTTTTTGTCCAAGCCTCCAAGGGATGATGCTGTTGAAGAAAGATGGTTTCTTTTGAGTTCGTAAGTCTCTCTTCCACCAAGCATTTTTTTCCTCCTTGATTGCGAATTATGTTGTTCATTTTGATTCAAGCTAATTTTTTTTTTTTGGTGCATTTGTGCTTTTCATGTTCTACTTTGTCCTTCCTTGCTTCTGTCCTCTGAACTTTGCATCGAGATCTGGCATTCTGCTGCTTAATTTACTAAATTCTGAGACTGAAACTTCTTCCCGGAACTCTTCCTATATGTTTTAACTTGCTTGTTTTAGAGACATTTTTGCAAATTTGGGCGTATCTACTGGTTTTGCGTTAACCAGTAGAATTTGTGATGGTCTTCTGCTATTTTGATTCCTTTTATTGTCAAAATTTTGTGTCACAGAGTCTTTAAGATTTCATTTCACATCTGGGATTATTTGCTAAATATCATCCAAAGGACGATTTGACTTGCATAGTTAGTGCAAACTTTCAGCTCATGAATGCAAATTTCTGGCTTATTGGTTTCTTCTCTTATATACCTTCTCGCCGGATTTTCATCATTCCTTTGTGGGATGTTTTGTTTCAGGACTCTGGCAAACGAGATTTTGAAGTCTTCTATATGTATTGAGCATTTGGATATATACGTAGGCATTGATTGTTATCAACTTGAATTTGGAACTTTATCCTTTAAAATATAATTTCCATTTTGTCCCGACCCCTTAAAGAAGGATAGATCTTGTGACGAACTGTTCTTGTTAAAATTGACGGGAATTTCTTGGCTGCTTGTGTGCTTAAAATCTTCTCATTAGCTTCGAGCATTATTTAGTAAAAAAAATTGATTTGTGCCTATTTGAGACATTGTGGATAATTGGAATATCTTGCCCATGATTATAGGAAGCTGACAAAACAAAGAATGTCATTTCTGTTAAAGAAAGAATGTAGGATGGCTTTGTTTCATTATTTTTTGCTTAAAACTTTCTAGAGGTTCAGAAGGCAAATTTGTATGAAACTGTCTTGATAATACTGGAATTCTGCCATGAAATTTTGGTAGAAAGAAGATATACGTCTGAGAATGCTTCATTGACTTGGAAATTATGTTTGCTTGCTCTCTGCTACATGATTGAGTTGATATATAGCTTATTTGAAGCTAGAAGTCTTTATGTTTGGATGTGTGGGAGGGATTTTAAGTGAGATTGTTGTTTCAAGGCTTGTGTCACCTAATAGAAGGGAAAAGAAAGTTTTGCAGGCCAGTCAGATATGGCAAGATGACAAATTCCTCATTCATTATTTCATGTAAACTTGACTATAAGGGTGTATCAAGTGAGAATTTGAGTTAGTGATTGTGCACTCATCTATTTTTGACTACTTGGTGAATTTGTAGTTCTGAGGATCCATCTTTGTGCCTCTGTCCCTCTCTCAATCCCCTGATAAAAGTGCTAGGGGATCAAACAAAACTTGAAGGAAAACTTAGCTTAAATTATTCTTTTTTCTGGGGAAGGTTTGTTAGAACTAGTATAATAATGTGCCTAAGTCAACTGCTAAAATTGATAGTTTTTTCATTTGTAAATGAATATCTCAAAGAGTGGGTCTAAGGGTTTAGGTCATACTCCAGCTGGTTAGAAGCAGTCCTCCTGCAATCATAGAATGTAATTACCAAGTCTAGGTTAACTAAGGCTTGTGAAGGGAAAAATACAAAAGCACGATATCAACAACCTAGCCTTTATCCTAATATGAGAGGTCAGCTGTGGAGGGGAAAATACTAACACATTACACAATATTTGGAGTTGTTTCAAACAAATTGGTTGGACTACTTAATTATTTATACTATTATAATCTAATTTCTTTATATTTTATTTGGTCTTGTAACTTACTAGTTGGTGGTAGAAGAGAAAGCTTTGGAAATAACTTACAGCTACATTGATCAACACAATTCCAGAACTCACTTTTCAGTTTGATCTTTCAGGGTCATTATAGTTCATTTCACTCCTTTGCTTCTTATTTTCTCCTTAGTATTAAGTCGACAAGAACTCACTGTGAAAGAGAAATATATTGATTGACTCTTTTTTTCTGAATACTGTAATCTTGGTTCTGCTAAGTGCTTATGAAGCAAGTCGTATGGCTGGAGCAGAAATTTTCCTATTTATCTATTTCAAGCACGCTTGAAGAGTGTCAATTCTTTTATGAGGGACCATGTTCAGTCACTTTCATTTTCTTTTTCAATTCCTTTTATGTGTGGCCTATCACTATGTTAGTCTTTTGCATTATTATATCTGTATTGTTGTTGATAGGCCATCTCTTATATTCTTTATTGCCTTCTAACTTGGCCTGATTTTTTATTGTTTATTTTAGATCAAAATTTGATGGTCCTTTGGTAGACTTCCAATTCTACCACCAAAAGAACCATGACATTGGGATCAAAGAAAGGATGGAAGTCAATAGTGCCCCTTCGTCTAAAAGGCAAATCAACTCCTCGGTTTTGTTTATTCTCCAAAGTGAAGCCTGCTAGTTACGGCCCTGGCAAGACACCAGTTTATTTAAATGTGTACGACTTGACACCGATGAATGGCTATGTATATTGGGCTGGCTTAGGTGTATTCCACTCCGGTGTTGAAGGTAACAGCTTGCTGAGTTTTTCTTCTTGGTTTGATTATGACAGTTTTTGTTAGGAAAGATCTGCAATATGGCCTCGTATCCTGATTCAGAGCACCTGTTGGTGTCCTCATTCATGTGGCTTGTGCTCTTTTGTTTAAAATTTGTACTCGATGTTTCCAGCTGACCTTTGTTAGTTAGAGTGTGTATACTGTGATTTCCAGAGTATAGTTAACTGCAATGCTATTGTTTACATTTTGCTTCGAGCTTGGCACATGGGCTCATAGAGGCAATTGCAAACTTGTAGGCCAAACTCAACATTATTATTAATTGTTTTTTTTTGGCTGATCTTCTCTCTGTCCTAACCTTATGAAATGGAAGTTTTGATACGACGAAAGCCTTGTGTACTTTGCAGTTCACGGTGTGGAATATGCATTTGGAGCTCATGACTATCCAACAAGTGGGGTATTCGAAGTTGAACCACGCCAATGTCCAGGCTTCAAGTTCAGGAAGTCAATATTTATTGGAACCACGTCCTTAGACGCGACCCAAGTTAGGGAATTCATGGAGCGACAAGCTGCAAGCTACAATGGTGACACGTATCACTTGATTGTCAAGAACTGTAATCATTTCTGCACAGATATATGCTATAAGCTTACTGGGAGAAAAATTCCAAAATGGGTCAACCGTTTGGCAAAATTAGGTAGTCTCTCTGGCACTAATATTATTCTTTTGGAAGATCTGTTAGTATTAATTTGCTCATGATGCATGAGACTCCATCTCCGATATGTCTCTATTGCTCTGCTCCAAGTTTTATTGTCTTTCCTTGTTTGCTGCTAATTGTGATTGGCTAACATTCTCATGACATTTTCTTCTTATCCAGGTTCAACCTTTAATTGTGTGCTTCCTGAGTCCCTGAAAATTACAGCGGTGCAACACGAACCTCATGGCTCTAATTACCAAGAATGTGATAACGAGAAGAGAAGGCTGAGAAGTTCTTTCAGTTGTTTGTCGTCGATTTCAACAAGGCATAAGCAGTTGTCGACATCTTCGTTATTCCTACAGTCCCCTTTGAAAGGTTGCTTGCCACCGTGGGAATTGAAAAGGTCGCATAATGGATCATTGAAGGAAAGATAATGGACTTTCTTGGGCTCAGTTTCTCATGTAGTGTTGTAACTTTGTAATTTTAACCTGTGTAACCTTACTGTTTGGCAAAAGATGCCCTTTAGTGGGGAGTAGAATTTTGTGATGTATTGTGCCTCTTTCTCTCTCTTTATCAACGATGGAATATAAGTACATGTTTCAGTTAGATTTAGAAGGAAATGAAGTTGGATGAACAAGCTGTGAAATAACGCCAGATTTGATGGAAATTTGCCATTCTTTCCTAACATTCTTGATCATTTTTCTTGGCTAACTCTTGGCTATAATGTCCATCTAAATCTTTTTGTTACGTACTCTTGGTATCATTTCTTTTAGCATTCTATGTATAGAATCCGTCAAATGGCATCCTTATCTATACGATATTTTATAGATTTCTTACTGCGTTTGGCGGACAGGGCCAGCAAGGTCTCCAAGCTTAAGAAGCCTTCTCAAGTTTTACTCATTATATTCTCAAGCCTGCAATTTTGTCTAGTGAGTTTGCAGGACTCCTCGATGATATGATGAAAGGGAAAACGTCATTACCAATCATACTGAACACGGAGGAGAGAGCGAGAGAGAACAGCTCGTTTATTAATCAAAATATGGTTGAATTGTCGAAGTGTAAGTTGATGGAACCACAAAGTTTGAAGAAAGAATCGCTTCCATATACTTTACTCGTTTACACAAATTAAAATGATTCGACTATGGACACCAATACAAAGAATGACATACTTTTCTAAGCGGTGAAGGGGGGAACAAAAAAAGAAAGAAAACTGAATGGCAGCACTCTGATAACATGCAGGATGCCGAATGTTAACAATCAAGTTCAATATCTTGTTCCCAGTGCGCTCACCATTCGGACCCTTTTGAGGCAAAATTGAAATCGGGATTGTTATTGAAGATAACCTAAACTACTAAACTAGTGCCCTTTTCTCCTATATAAAGATTACATGATGAAACCAACATGAAGGCAACAATAAGCTGCACCTGCAGCCACTGTGTTTCGATAATCAGTCAAGCCAGCTCTTGGTTTGTAGAACAAAATTGCCTATTTAATGCATGTTTCAAAATTAGCAAGATTTGAAAATGGTCCCTAAATCTAAATATATAGTGACAGTAGCAAATCTTCTTGCAGGCAATAAATTATCTGCACATAATATCTAGTAACAGAGTCTAAAACTGAATATACAGACCGCGAAGCTGAATTACTGATCATATACACCTGCAGGAGGAAACCAAAGAGATACTTCAGATTTAGAAACACAGTACTTACTTGCACTAAAATGTTTTCCATGGATAGGTACTAGAACTAAATCGATTCTGTCATACACGAAGCCCAATTGAGCTCTGCCTGTATAGAGAGTTAGGGAAGAAAATTGTCCAGGGGGAACATTAGGAAGTATATATTCAATGGTCATGTCCTTTTATAGGTAAAGAGGTTTACAGTGGGTGTCATACAACACCCAAAACTCGGTTTTCAAAAGCCGAGATCATCACCCATCACTATCCTTATACTAGATACAAGCAAGAAGTACAAATCAAAGTTGAACTATATATCTTTTCAGACCCAGGCGATGAAATTATCAATCTTCTTTCGGATGCAAAACAGTAGGTATGCTATTATTACCATTGAGGGTAGCATTGAGCGCAGCATGAAATACTCGCTTCTCAGCCAAGCCAATTTCAGAGAGTACTAGATTACCCTGCACAGCACATCACAGGTGACATATAAGATGGCAAGTAGAAGATGGTGATTACTACTACACTGTCTTTTGGTTTATTATGCTATTCCCATCACACAGATTTCCTTCTTCCATTTATCTTTTCCAGTAGCCATTTTTTATGATGATGCTTCCAATATGTCTACAGACTGGAAAAAGGGAGAGAGAGGGGGGTGGATGGTGGAGAGAACCTTGATCCCACCAAACAAGTTTTTCTTTGTAACGCCGCCAAAGTTTCCTGATGAATGGAGTACTATACAACTTGAAAATGAGGAAATTTCTTCCATCAGAGAGGTCTGAATTTTTTACATAACTACTTCAACAAGATTACGTTCGCAGACAGAATAATTTTAACTAATGGAGGTAGTAATTCTAGGCCGATTGTTCATTTACTACCAAACCAACCATGGTAATAACTTTAAAGAGAATGCAACAAATGCATACCTCGTGAGCCATCAGCCTTCTGACATTTTCTGCATAAAGCTTTGGGTCATCCTTCTCTTGCTGCGAAGGGTAATAAACCGGGAGCTTTATCACCTCCATGTAATTTACGAATTGACATAGCAGGAAAAATACATGTCTTGCCTGCAGAGATACATATAGCCAAATTATGATTCTGAAATCATATGTATTTTGACAATGGAGCAATATGCAAATTGGGAATAGTCATGAAGAAACAAGCAGTCGCCAAATATGAATAGACTATGGTGTCCCAACCGAGCAAGAAAAAAGTGAAATTGAACTGAAAGCTGTCGTTAAATCCAAAACTATGCTAAAAGCGATTTCTAGCAATGATTCTATGCTTGTAGAGGGAACCAATGTCACAGAGGAAACAACTTTGCACCAAAGATAAAACCCTGTGTGACTGATGAAATATATCTTAATAAATTTCTTCAACTGCACAAGAATAAGTCCAGATTTGCAATTGAGTAGATAAGCACAGTAAGAAAAAGAATACTCACTCCAGATATAGAATCCCAGGCAGGACTAAATCTCTGGTATGGATACCTCAAAATGACAGGTAGCACAGGGGCTTTTGCCAAAAATGCCCCAGTTTTAAATGGAAGGAGAAAGTCACCATTGGTAGTTGTACCTTCTGCGAGTACAAAACATAAAGTTAAGAGAAACTGTGGATTGCGATCTTCAACCAAATCAAACACCTAAAAATGATGAGTTCCAACACTCCACCAACTTGGTCGCCAGGTTAAGATCTCAGCCAGCAATACCGTGTAAGATTAACAATCAAAGACAACAAGTTCATTGAAAGCTTAAAAACAAAGAGCACTACAGAGCTAGCCTTAACCTGGAAAAAGCATCATCATTGGGGCAGACTTATCTTGATGAGCTTCCTTAATTCTGTCATTGACGATACCTGCAAGCAACAAGATCTTAAGACTCACTGACCTGGCATATAACAACATCGAGAATGTTTGTGGCATATTAGTCGCAAAACAGGAAAACAAACAATGGCAGAAAACATTGATCTCCTTCACTAATCGTGTCATTTGGGATATATAATTTATGAATAAAGACATTACACTGATCAATCAAAATTCTGGTTCTAAAGATTCATGCAACAAGCAGCAGGAGATAAACTCTACCTGAAACACCTTTGAAGTCTGATGACTTTGATTCCCGCTGGACATAAACACAACCAAGGCATTTACTGGCAAAAAAGAAGAAACGAGAAAAGCAATTAGAAACACCTACAAGTAATTACCAATCATAGGCCTTCCAAAGCAGATGAATTTTTATTTATATTTCCCCCCATTTAATTGCAGCCCTCTAGGTTCAAAATCAAGACCTTTAGGCTACAAACATCCAAGAAGGAAACAAACTGAGGTTATCATTTTCCTAAAAGATCAACGGTCGACTTAGATGCATAAAATGTAAAACTAACCTGATGATGCCGACCAAAGGAAGTTTCCCCACCGACCTCTTCATTAATACGGATAGCAGCATAATTGCGGGAAACAGTAGGGAAACACGTCAGTTTAAAATTTTTTAGCATATAAACTTCAGAAAGCAAGTAAGAGAGCTAAGCAGCAAAAAGTCAAACCTTGGCGACGAAGCTGGGAAAGGATGATGACATGTGGTATAAGATATCCAAATAAGAAACGTGATTCGAAACAATCACTCCAGGTCTAGCGTCATCTTGTGAACTCTGGCAGAGATGCAACAGGTTACAAATATAAAACCACTAATCTAACTTAAATTCAAAAAAGTATGCTTTTCACATAAGCACCAATCTGAACTTATAATCCAACAGTATGCTTTTCGCATGACCCTTAACAAAATACCGAGGAAAGATGCTGTTAATTTCCATCATCTAAGAATGATTTGAGTTCCACATCTATAATATATGAGGACTAGACAGCATTGTAGAAAGATGCTGCTAAATCCGAATCTTGAAGTTTATAACGAGGAACACTTAGTCAGTCAATGCACAAAAACTATACTGCTTTTAAATGCTTCCAACGAACAACCAAACCAACCCACCACAAACTAGCCTCAAAAGGATAACCATTTAGCTCTCTTTCAAGCAAAACAATTCATCTATTCCAGCAAGTCATACTTACAAAATCACTACATCATGAATCTCAAGTAGCTGCAGTAAAGTCAACTCAACTAACAGATTTTTAAACACATGCAAACGCATAAATCAAGCTTTCATTCTTAAATCCCAGGAAGAGAAAACCAAAAAAAAAAAAACAGAGAGAGAGAGAGAGAATCTGATAGTAAAATGAAAAGGGTACCTCGTCAGTATTGAACTTCCCATTGAGATCGACATCCACATTATCCCGATGATATTCAGAAATCCAATAAAACCCGAAAACGAAAAGCATAGCCCGAGACAAAAACCTCCCACAATGAACAATCACGGCCCTCCGCCAACCACCCATATGAGCATAATCCTCTTGCTCATCCTCCCGGTTAGGCGCCAAGAACGCAGTACAAATCCTACAAATCAAATAATAAACCACCAGCACCGTCATCCCCAATACCACCCGAACCGGAACAAGCGTCACCAGCGCCAACCCGAGCAACAACTTCTCCACAAACGGCAATTCGCCCCGACCCATTATGCCGTAAACGTCCCGCCGCACATACGCGGCGTACTTCTTCTCCAGCTCATCAAGGGTCAGGCTCTGATCCGTATTCTGATTCTGGGCAGGGTGGTTGGAAACGGGTTCGGGTTCAGGTTCGGGTTTGAGTAACGGGCGGTCATCCTTGGTTAAGTTGTCGTCGGGAGGTTCAGGTTGACGATGCTGTTGTTGTTCAGAAGAAGGCTGAGTTGGATTTGGGTTAAGGGTTTTGAGCTCAGACTCCATTAAATTGGGTGGGGAATTTACAGGGTTTAGTGAGAGAATTATAGCGATTGAATATCGGATTGGATGGCCATTGATGCGTAAAAAAAAAAAATGGCGTTTGTCTGGGTGGTTTTTATTTTTGTAGTATTTTTATTCCGTTTTTTCTAGATCTGTATTTTGAGGAAGTAAACAGTGATGAAGGTGACAGTGATGTTGGGGAGATGTTTATAATCAGAATCCGAATTGATATATGCTAGTAATGGATTTTACTGTACACGTGGATTACGTGATGATTTCCTTTCTTGCATTTTCGTCAACGTTTTCTTTCCCTTATGGGCTTTTTCTTTTGTGTTGGTAATTCTCGAATTCCTTTTTTTTTAATTTATTTTTTTGGTGGCATAATCTTGATCTTATAAATTCTCAAGAAAATAATTTACAACGGCATTGATTAAGAACTGATTTTCCTTCTTCTTTTTTTTTTCTTTCTTGGATGATTGGGAATGAATAAATCCTACTAATAGATATGTATAATCTGGGATATCATATGATCGACCTGTCCAAAAATGAGGCACTTAATTTCTATGAAGAAAGATAAAAATTATGGGGCACGTAATCTGTTTCGGAATTAAATTATGGCTAAAAACCATCGTTTTTATGATTTTATTACAAACTTTAGGATTTTTATCCGAACATAGATAGAATTATAGATAGAAATTCAAATAAAACTTAGGATTTTTTTCCCCCCTTCTATACATAGCGATGATGATACCGTAAATAAAACATGAATCACAGCCGGACATATCTCTGTGTCATCCATAAAGTTTTATTCATTTAAATTCGGTCCCATCATTTTACAAGTTTTCTTTAAAAAAAAAAATATCGGTAAGTGTACCTTATAAACTACCATAAATAAAGGTTCCGTGTGATAGTAATGTTTTTGGAAAACGTAAAAGATATGCATCAGAAATTATTTTTTAAAAAAAGGATAAAAATTCAAGATACACATTGTAATAACTTGTTAAAATGTCTTCCCTCAATGTAACTTATTTCTATTGTTATCTCTCAAATTAAACTCTCAAAGTTGGATATCTGATTAATTGATTATTATGGTGTTAGGCGAGGCTTTGCCGTTTCCTTTGAAGCATAAATTTATTATCCCAACTCCCAAGTTTGATCATCTTCTTTGGATGGACTATCCATAAAGCTTTAATACTCCTTCTGTTCTAACATTATTGTCCAGTTTTGAATTTCCACAAAAAAGTGTTATGCACTTTATATTAACTCATTCCGTCTCAAATAATCATAACAAACAAGATAATTGTTTCAAAGTGGTGGGAGTATAAAAGTTATGACTAGATCAAAGTGAAATTTCCATTGATTGAAGAGGCAAAAGTCCAAACTCCAAACATTCGCAAAGGCAATGGCATAAAGAAACAATGAGATGGCACAATCAGTCCATCACAGAGTCTTATCACAAATCCAATTAGCCAAAGACAAAGAAATGTGACAAAAAATGACATGTTTCGACCAGTTAGGTACGAAAGAATCCCAAAGTAAAAAAGTGTTATTTTTTTCCTGAAATTGTTAATACTACCACAACAAAAGTTTTCATGGATTACATCAATTATTCAATGAATGATTCTTACATTATTATTGATGCCACATTTTCCCCACAGATGCAAAAAAAGAGATCAGCAAGAAATCCAGTTCTTGTGAGTACTGATAATGGCGGATAAGAGCCCAGCTGAAGATATCAAAAGTGGAGCTGAAAGTCTTCCTTTACCATCTCGGATATCAGCCAAAGCCATTAAACCATCAGCTAAATCTTGTACAACAGAAAGCCTCTTCAACAATTTCTTCTCCTTCAATTTCTTCAACCTTTTCAATTCATCTCCGCAACCAATTTCCCTAACTTCGGAAATCTTTATAGTCTCAACCAAACAAGCCTCATCTTCATCAATTCTCCTCAATTCTTTCACCTTCAAACTAATACTCCCAATATACCCGATGAATTCACACCAAGCACTCATCTTTTGCAAACTAATCAAATTCTTCTTGTCAATCAACCCCGCCTTTGCTAACCAAACAAACTGTTCAACGAAATAGTACAATCCCTCTCCGCCATAGGCAATGATTGAAAGGATTACATCTTGACCCGATGAAAACCCGGAAGCTCGAAGAGCGTTGATGTCTTGCACGAATTTCCCCAAACGAAAGGCTTTCCGGCTCAGACCAACGCTGGATTCGAAGGATTTGAGGCGGGGCGGTAATGATTGGGAGTCGGGAAGGATGGAAGAAGCCAGGACGATCTTGCTAGCGTATCTCGAGATCTTCAATAATTTGTCGATCCCATCTCGTTTGGCTAGGTAGGCTTCGAGATGGAGTAAAAAGTCTCTGTCTTTGGTGATTCTGGGATTTGGGTTTTGTGAATTTGGTGCGGAGGCTTGAGGATTTGATTTCCCTGCCATGTTTCCCGGTCGGTTTACGGCTTGGTCGGAGTATGACCGGAGCTGGAGTTTGGAAGATTGAGAAATTGGGATTGAAAGGCGATATTTAATTGGCCTTTTGGATTAGAGACGACGTAGTTCCTGGGTGATGGTGAACTGGTAATGTTAAAATTCATCAGTTAGATCAATGGGGAAATAAGGTATGCCTACAGCCTACACGCTTGAGGGAACTGACGTGTGCATTTGACTCCGCTGTTTTCTTTTTTGTAACAAAGGGTGAACAATTTTACTCCCAAGACCCAAATAAAAGGAAGGGGGTGGTGTTGGGTAAACAAAACTTAGGATTATGTGTGTTAGGACTTAGGAGTGTCACCTCATAATTACATCACAGCGTTACCATGATCTAGGCTTCATAAATTTGAAGTAATTTTATTGTAAGTTTTTGACCCATACAACCCAATTATAAGGGAGTGTACCCTATGTATTTCATTTGTGTACATTGATGCTAGAGACTAGAGTGTGAACGATAAAATTTGTTTATATAAAAAAATTTAATTGATTTCTATTTTCTAGTCTCTTGGTGATATTCTTTTTAAAGTTGTTTTATAGTTGTGTAGATTTTTTTTTCCTAATTTCTTAATAATATTTTCTACTATCAACTTCGACTATCATTCAACTATGTCACATGTCTCACGTTAATATGAATTCTTAAAATAACACCCCCCCCTCCAATTATAATCAGGTGATCATTAGCTCCTCCTTTTCCCAAATGCGACTTTATTGAAACACAATCTTCAATTCATCAAATGTGAAATTAAAGAAATGTTGAGATTAATCTATAGGGTCATTGGTGAAATTTGCTTGAAAACAAACCAAAATATGATTGTACCTTAAAATGTTATTAAGTTGTGGAATAATCTCTACTTATAAGATATTATATATTCGGTGTCAAAATTATTTTATTTTGACTAATTCAAATTTTAATATACAACTTTTGGTTTTATTGGAGCGTGTTTCATAGTGCAGATTTCTTTGATCCAAGTGCCGTGTAAGTTGTTTCTTAGCTTGTTTTGCGTGCCAAATCCATAAAACTAATCATGGGCCATTCCTCCATTTTACTGCAGATTATGTGACACCAATAACTTTTTCATCTCCTTGTGGCGTTGAGATTTTGAATAAACTATTTTTAGAATTGTACAGGTTTTCTCTCATTACATTGTTCTTATGTTCTACAGTTCTAGTCTTTTGCCTTCTCCTTTGATTTTGTTGTTGTTTTCAAACGGTTTATAGAAAACCCCACCTAGATTTAGACAGGTTACTGAAACCCCGTTTTCAATTCAAGCCATGATTGGTCAGTGCAACCTTTCCCGGCTTCCGGTTGAAAAACGTAAACTCGCGGTCGCATTCACAAAATAAAATAACATTACAATGATAATATATTTTATCCAGAGCATTATTGTTGCAAATCAAACAAGAGTCACGACAAGGATCAGGTACACAGAAACAGTCAAACTTCACTGTGATTTCCAGAAATCAACAACCCGAGAAACCGAATCAAACGAAGAACCACCAGATTTCATTGCCTTTTCAGCACTTTCTTTCAGCAATTTGGCCTTACGCCTCACAGCATTCCCTTCTTCACCTCTCATTATAGCCCTCACAACCTTTTCAACTTCTTTTCTTCCAATCAAATTACCCTTTCCGGGCTGGACAACAACATCAGGTTTCAATGCCGCACCCACTTCCTCCACCAGAAGCGTCGCATTCATCCTCTGCTCGGCGTATAACGGCCAAGCGAGAATCGGCACGCCCCGAGATAGACTCTCCAACGCCGAATTCCACCCGCAATGCGACAAGAACGCGCCGGTGGACGGGTGCCCCAGAATCGCCGCCTGAGGCCCCCATGATGGAATTGTTAGTCCCACCTTTTCAGTCCTCTCCAGGAATCCTTCAGGCAAGTAAAACAGAGGATTGTTTGCGTCGTCTTTGGTCCGGAAATACGCCGCGGAGGCAAGCGCATCAAACGGTTTCCGGGCCACCAATATAAACCTTTGCTCGCTCATTTCCAATCCCCATGCTAATTCCGTCAATTGTGCGCTTGTTAATGTTCCGCCACTTCCAAAAGCCACGAACAGGACAGAATCTGGTGGTTGATCATCCAGCCAGGATATAATTTTAGCATCACCTGGACAGAAAATCGATTCGGGTGGCTTAATAATTGGCCCGATTGGATAAACAGGTGGAGCTGATATAGTTTTGTAGAAATCATGATTCCTCATTGCATCCAGTGACAAGCGTTCAAGATCTTCCCAGCTGTTTTCCAGAATTCCGTCAACCAGAGTCAACCGGCGAAAATGAAAGAGGCACCATTTGTAATCATCGGATTTTCTGTTCCTCGCTGGATCCATGAGATCTTGAACGCGTTCTTCCCTGCCTCCTGGAACCTTAACGGGTTCAGAACGATCCATGTATTCGCCTTCGAGTTCGCGATCGAACGTTGGAACATACAACGAAAAGGCTAAGAAAGAAGCAGAAACAGTGCAAAAACAGTACACCGGAATGGAAAGCTGTCTGGCAACATCAATAGCTTGGGTGGTGAACATATCAAGTACCAAAGCGGTAAGATTCAGGCCAGCCAAGATTGAGTTTATTGGTTTCAAGGATTCTCGGACAGTAAGGCATAAGCGGGCAACCAAAGGAGTTACCTCGGAGACAACGTTTGACATGTCAGCCGGAGGAATTTCGATGATTTGAATCTCCGGCGGGATTTTTGGGCACTTGAAAAACTCGATTTGGGCAGGGGAGGCATCGGTGGTGATGACGAGGAAGCTGACAGTGATGCCATGGTTTTGAACCAGGAGTTTTGCAAACTCCATGAAAGGAATCAAGTGCCCCATTCCAGGGCAACAGAGTAAGGCAACATGAGGCGGCTTCAAGTTCTCTGCAACCATAATTGCAAAATTTACTAATTGATTGATGAATGAAAGCTTTGATTTCTTTCTGAGAGGCAAAAAACAAGAGTTTAGGAGATACGAATATTTGAGGAGCCAGCTTGCCACTTATTTATAATTACAACTAGTTCGTAGAGTCATTATGGATTCATATCCTGTTTCACAAAAAATTAAAATTTAATTCTGCCCCACATGTGGTCGTTCATTGGTGTCAAATTGCAGGAGCAGCCAACAATTATTAGTAATTTGCTAGCTTATAATATAGTTTTTCTATAAACGGATCACTCTAATTATCAATCTTAAGGGTACTTGTACGTGTCACAAAGAATTTTATGCAATCACAACATATTTTCATATCATACAATACACAAGTTATGTCTATAAATAAATCAAATTAATTAACTAAGATAAACACATGTCCCATTTAATTAAAAATCAATTGTTATACTAGTTTTGTTTAAATGGCCGATTATTGAAATAAGACAAAATAAATATTAAAATGTTGCATTCGCTCGCTAATAGCTATGAGTGTCATTTCCTCTCATTCCAAATAATCATGCTTGGTTAAATTTAATGGACCACTTCTTTCATTCTTTTGGCTAACTTGCATTCCACACCAATGTTTGCAGGATCGCGAACCTAGATAGAATTGAAATGAGATCGTAAACGAGACTGGTAGGATCGGAATAATAGGATCGTAAAATTAATTATACATGTTATATAATTAATTATTTTAATAATTATATTTTAATTATCTTTAAATAAATTATTTAATATTTAAACAAAAAGAATTGTGTAAATTCAATTTTTCGTATGTGAATTTTTTCATAACTTTTTAATAAAAACTCTTCTCTTATAGTTATTCTTTTCATTTTATTAGAAAAACTTTCTAAAATATATTTTTCTTAGCAATTAAAGTTTCCTCAATGAATATTAGCCTTAATTAAATGTAGACCAAAAGAAATAAGAAAAAAAAAATCTCAATAAGCTCAATTAATTTTTTGTAATTAATGAACAGTAAACTCGAACCGATCTTACGATCCTGACCGATCATGTACGATCATAACCGATCCTAACCGATTCCACTCCGATCCCACTACAAAGTTCGAGTTTGATCGATTCAGGATCAATTTTAGGTATTTGGGATCGGACGATCCTACAATCCTAGGATCCTACGATCAATTTTAGGTATTCGCCTAACTCATCTTCTCCACCTTCTCTTTCCAACTGAAGCTTACCATTTTTTTTTTTCATTTTGCTCAAAAGAACCACGTTCTCGTTTTCACCATGGCCACCGTCAACATAACCATTTTTACTTTTTATTCAATAGAATCACCTCTGGAATTGATTCAAAGTTATACTACAAGGTAATTATACCTCTTGATAGGGATGCCCTTCTCAAACGTTGTCGATTTAAAATTCGTAATCATCAACATCTCTGTTATTTGGTTAAATTATTGAAAATTTGAACCCGGGACAACAAAACATGAGAGTTGCGGAGATCCACAGTTTGTGACTCGGAGGGGAGCTCGGGCTCATCATAATAGCATCACAATGACTTAAGTTTTTCAAATCCTCTACCTCTGACGGTTTGTCCTGGAAACCCAATTGTCTAATGGGATTCCCCTCTCCCTACTTTTTACACTGATGATCTATCACTTTGATTTGTCCTAATAATTTGCTGTATTGAAACTTTGGTCAAAGATTGATGTTTCCGGCTAAAGAGATGGTGGTTTGGAAGGGCAATTAAGAGGAGCTGAAATAATTGGTCGGCTGAGTTCCCAAATAATTGACTTTGAGATAAGGATAAAATTGTAATTTCAAATCATTTCCAAACCCACTAAACATCCGAACCAAGCAGCTAAAATGGAAATTTCAACACCCATCACATTCCTTTGATTTATGAACCCCTCTAATCATCAAATCACTAACGATCATTCCCTTTCAACCAGACACCCCCTAAATCTTCAATTTTGAAAGGGTTACACAGTACAAAACAAAGAAAACATGCATGTGGGTCACCGTACACAGTGCAGTTGTTAGTACGAGTAAGTAGTAACTATCCCAATATTCTTTAAAAAAAATAACTATCCAACATGGTCAACTTGTACAAATCAAATTGGAGATTTGGAAGCTAAGAATCCACTGGTACTTCCGTATGTTTATCTTCAACGAGGGGAAACTCATAGATATTATAGCATAAATACGGTTCATTAAATGTCAACTCTGAGCTGCCAGCCTGCCACAATTTTGTTTTATTTTTTTTGGCAGAAGTGATTGATAATTATTAAAGAAAACGAAGGACAAACATAAATTGTTAAAGAGAATTAAGCTATACCAATTCACTGTTAAACTATAACAACCAGCATTTTACGTCTATCTAATCACAAAAAATGAATATACACAATCTTGACACTAAAGTGAATTAAATTAGCAAAATAACAAGAAAGTTTGTATTTTGTGTTATACTTCCTCGGGTTCTTAATATAGTGCATTTTGATTTATCCTACATTTCACCTAATATGTATTTTTGATTGAGAAAAAACTTTAAAAATATATTTACATATTCATTGTGTTTTCTTGATTGTTAGAAAATATTTTTTAAGGTTTTTTTTCAATTAAAAATACGTATTAAGTGAAACTTAAAACAAATTAAAATATTTTATATTAAACACCGGAGGAAGTATATTATTGTATATAAACCAGAAACTGAAGGGTTGTCAACCTTCAACGTCGTGACCTTTAGGACGTTGCAATGGCGTATTGGCATTGATCTATTTGTCTATTTCTCTACTTAATTATATACGACAAGGCAAATTGGATTTTATTAATGTTTTATTTTGAACTAGATCGAATAAATACGTTTCGCACGTATGTGAACCATACTATAGTATAATGAAAAATATTTTGCATTATCTAGTGTAAAAACAAATAATAATTTAATTCTAGAAAAAATAAACATACATATACAAAGTGAATAATATAATACAATCAATTTTTTACATAACAACCTCTATTCTCCCCCCTCTCAAAAAAAAAAAAAAGGAAGAAAAAAAAATCGAAACTTGAAGTTTCACAAGAGATGAGTGATACTAAATGAATAGGTGATTATCTTCGATTAGCTTGGGATGAAAAGGTCATCCAGCATAGAAAATAGACAATTTAAAGGACATTTAAAAAGTGATTAGACTTTTATTTTTGAAGTTATATATATATTGCCAAATTTAAGTATAAAAATCTTAGTATTCTATCTGAGTTATAGAATAATCTTTCTAATTCTTGTTAATAAAATCTTAAAATTCAAAGAAGAGAATAAGAAAAGACACATAAAAAAATTTAAAGATACAAAATTACATGAAACCATGACCAATCAAAATTCAACTAATAATAAATATCAATTTGTTTATAATCTTTAAATTAAAAATAAAATAAAAATTAACTGAAGATAATCAAAAGTTGGAATATTAAAGGAACATCAAATGTAACACATTATAAAGTCTATTTAAATTAAAAATAAAAGAAAAAAATTAATGGAAAGAGATCAAAGGTTGGAATATTAAATAAATACCAAATGTAACACATAAAACCTTTTCATTTTATTGGTTGAAAAAGAGGGTAACCCCATAGTTAATACTTAAAAGACTACTAAACTCAAATTTACATTCTGCAATTATAATATATGTTGATGAAGATATAAACAAAAAAAAGGATAGACATCTATTAGCCACCAGACCAATTATATAATAATATTATGAAACTGTGTGCTGAAGTATTTTGAATAATGTCCTCTTACTAAGGGCTTATATGAACAACGTTTTAGCTTTCGTTTTTTGTTTGGATTTGAGAGGAGATTTAAAATATAATTTGAGAGAAAATTTAAAAATTGTATGATAATATTATGAAACATTTGTGCTAAAGTTTTTTGAATAATGTTCTCTTACTAAGGGCTTATATGGACAACGTTTTAGTTTTCGTTTTTTGTTTGGATTTGAAAGGAGATTTAAAATATGCTTTGAGAGAAAATTTAAAAATTGTATGAATAGTATTTTAAAATAAAATAATATTTATTTTTCGTCACCACTAGATACCTCTACCACCGGACCGCCCCCTACCGTCACCGGACTTGCCGAAATCTAACCAGCTGGTCGCGGTCCAGCGGCGGAGGCGGTGATGAAAGTGTTCGAAGGTGGTAGATGAAAATTGTATAAAAATAATATTTGAAATACTTGTTAGACTAAATTCAGAAAATGGTCCTCTACATTAGGCCAAATCCACATTTTGGTCCTTTACATTAACATTTGGCTAAAATGCTCATCTACATTTCCGGATGTAACTTTTTTGGTCTTTTGACACTATTTTTGCACTTTGACCAGATTTTTTTGAAATAAAAATTATATTATATTATTTTACTGGAAATCGTTCAGCAACGATTGATAATGAAAGATATAGTCGAAACAATAACAAAACTTACAATTAAACTTAATACTATTATTGTGTTTCTCACGGATAAACCTATCTTGATTTACCCAGTACAACGATGAATATATTAGGCGGCAGATAATCAATCGGATAAAAAACATATCTCTAATCATCTCATGAAACCCCCAAATTATAGATTTATCAAATAAATATATGATGACTGAATCTTCTTCAACCGCACAGTGTAAAGCAATGAACGAAATTACGGACATTGCAGCAACAGTACGGAAGACACCACGAACAATGCAGCAAAACCCTTTGGGAAAATCCTACTTATTAAATGATAAAAAGAGCTGTGAACTAAAAAAAATCAAATCAATTCCCACATCGACCTATGAGGGAAGATGGGAGAAAGAAATTCTTTTTTGAGAGATGGCTAAAGTTTGAGATAAAAGAGAGAGAGGAGAGGAAAACGTAGCAAATGCCGCTTAGGTGTTGTTTTCCACTTTGACCAGATTTAGTATCAAATCAACAAAAGTATTTTCGGAATAAAATTTTTCATTTTTGAAATTTTTTTATATTGACTGGAATATCTACAAATATTAAACTAATTACATTAATAAAAAATTAAGATTTTAAATTAGATATTAAACAAAATAATTTCTTAAACTTCATTCCAATCCTTAAAAATTAAAAATAATATAAAATTTACGCTAAAAAGTACAATTTTTTATTATTTTAAAATTTTAGTTAATATGTCCTCTATGCTCCATGATCTTTCTATCTCATGCTCATTGAAAGTGATTCTTACTCATTATTTTCACTCATTCCTTGTGAAATTTCCAGTTTTGATTTGTTTTTTTTTTTTTGAGAGGTGGAGGGCGGAGTTGTTATATAAAAATCTAATTGTATTTTATTGTTCATTTTGTATATGTATGCTTCTTTTTTTAGTTAGCATATTATTTGTAATTAGACTAAATTATGAAGAATATTTTTTACTATAGTATAATTAACGTACGACGCAAAACACGTTTATTCCATCTAGTTAGCATTAAAGAATCAATCGGTGAATGAAACTATCAAGATGTTGGAACTAAGCCACAACCAAAAAGATGAATCCAACTCAAAATTCTGTTTAGAACTAAAGTTGTCAATCAAGCCAACATTAGCAAGACATTGGCGGCCTATATATATTGCCATTGATTGCAAATCTTGACAAGAAAAAAAATCATGGAAATGCATGAACTGGCCCGTTCTTCTTATATTGCATTAATCAAATTTGGTGAAATGAAAAAAAAAAAAAAAACAACTGCAATATCAGTTCATATGTTACACTGAATTAGATATTAACTGGTAACACTATTCGCATAAAAGATAACAACTATATTAAATATTAACTAAAAACCCAAGACATACTTGCGTCCTTCCTTATATTAGGACATGGAAGTTTCAACAACCTGCTTCGATTTTCTAGGTTGTGTACATAGAGCCGATTATCATCCGGTTCAACATAATAGATGGAGTTAATCCTAAGACCTGGTCCAGGTTTGGAGTATACCTTTCCATGATAAGGACTTAGAAAAATCACACGTTCGCCTATACTTTCCAGCTCTTCACAAATCATGTCGTTTAGATTTAAACGGAAAATTCTGAAGTGGGTCACTTCATCGAAGAAACAGGGGGAGTATATTTTGTAAACGCGCCAAACTTCCTCATCATTGTTTAAATCAATGAAAACATTATGAGACATAATGTTCTCGGGAGGTAAAGGATTACTTATCTGGAATGGCAAATCATCCTTGACCAATGGTGTGGTACGCAAAGTTGAGCCTATTACGTCGAAAGCAACTAAAGTACAATCCACCATCAAACCGTATACTTTTCCCTTAAAAGCGAATATATCAACTAGAGCACTGTGTCCCAGATTGGATTCTTCAACAAATTTCTCATCACCAATCTTGCAAAATGCGAGGTGATACGGGTTTGGGCCTGACCGCGCAACAATGAAGACGAGGCAGTCAGGATGATGGGGAGCTTTAGATAGCAAGATGTTCGTAATCTTATCTGCTTGGAGCGGCGGAAGCTGAATATCCTCGGTAGAAACAGGATTAAAAAGATTACAATTTTCATTGTCTCCACAAATCATCCAACCATAACTCTGACCGAGAAGAGTCTTATTGCGCAAGCAAGGAATTTCTCTCGTGTAACGTTTGTTCTCCGTGACACTAAAGAACGTGTGTTTTTGATATTCTTTACCATGAGAAATCAAAAGCCATGGACAAGTTTGAGCAGTCGCGGCGGGAGGTCGATCATAATCTACTAATTCTCTAGGTTGAACATATTCTGGTAAATCTCTACCTCTCGCTTCGGCCATCGTGATCAAAAGAGAGAGATAAAAAAAAAAAAACTCTGATAATCGAAAACGATGGATGTATTTCACGTAGAGTGGAGAACACGTAAATATTTATAGAAATCGATCAAATATGTACTCCTAGTAGGACTATGATTTTAGCGAGACGTGGTTGGTTATTTCCGATTCTTAATCCGTTTACTTTACGTTCCTTATCTTTGTTTTACCTTTTCAAAACTAGAAAAAAAATTTTTCCTAAAACCAATAGAATAAAAAATTTCCTTATCTTTGTTTTACTTAAAAATTTCCTAAAACCAATAGAATAAAAAAAATTAATTCCTAGTAGGCAGGAATAGGCGGCTAACGTTCTTTAAAACGGCATAGATTCGGTTTATTTGAAACTTAACAATACCGAAGAGAATCAAATTCCCACCGGTATATAAATAGAGGAAACCCTTATTGTTATTATACGTAAACCAATTCGATCGTACCTTCACCCCTCAATTCACAGAAGTAACCTGCACAATTATTCTGGTATACTATTGTTTCGGAAAAAGATGAGAGAAATTTCTGAAGTCTATATTGGAGAACAAGACCAGCAGCGGAATCGTTGGTCGGATCTTCCTTGTGATTTGCTTGGTAGCCTATTATGTTACCTCCCTCCAAATAGCAGATGTGCAGTCAAAGCCACTTGTAAATCATGGAGGGTTGCCGAAACAATATTCCCACCGCCTATCAACTCATGGATGTCTCCTCGTTACTACTCCGGTCTAAGTCTGATGTTCACCCATCTTTCCATGTCAAGATATAAATTTTATAATCCAATCAACCATGAGTACTTTCATGTTAATGCCACCGCCAGTTTGAAAGGTGCTATCGTTCGGTGCTCTAGTTTTGGTTGGTTATTGATGTCATGTCCCAATCTTGACATGTTCTTCTATAATCCAATCACAAAGCAAACCATCAAACTTCCCCGAATCGATGTTGTTTTTACGGCGATGTGCTTCACCTCTCCACCAACTTCCTCCGATTGCCGAGTTTTTGCAATCTCTGATAGAATCGAATACAATAATACGATGGGTATCATAAGACGTGGAGAAGAATCTTGGACACTATGTAATCATGGGGTGTTACATGAATTTTACTTTTCCACACACAATCCTATTTTCTACCGTGGCTCGTTTTACTGTTTAGATAAAAATGGAAACATTGGTGTTTTTACTCCTGATGGAGAAACAGGAGAATTTATTATTCATTATACATCCTTCAAAAAGAAAGGGATACGCCAAAGTTTTTTGTTAGAAGATGATGGAAAATTATTGGGAGTTTTCAATCGCCGCGATAAGCATATGAACGTGGTGTACTTAGATCTTGAAAGTTGGAAATGGCAGCCAGTTCTGTGTTTGCAAAATAAGAGTTTGTTTGTTAGTCATAGCAATTCGTTTGCTATTGCTACAAAAAATATTGGAAATCGGGTGTATCTTCCCAAGTTTCATGATGGGGTTGGGGTGTTTTACTGTTTGGACACTATGAAGTATTACTCTGTCGTCGGCAACTTTTCTAGCACAACCTCATATGAACTAGAAGAGATTTTAGAATTTGGAGTTTGGATTCAACCCAACTTTGATGTCGAACCTCTGCCGCAACTTAACTGGTCAAAACCATCATTCAACTGATATCATGAATTATTTATCTTTCATGTGTAACCTAATTTTATACGTGTTTGTTATTTTGAATTTCTAAACCGCTATATGCAGCTCCTTTATGAATTTATTTGAATTTATCCCCCGGTTTTACTACCATTAATTCAAAGGCGGCTCGATGGTAAAAATGATTAGATAGGCCTAAAGCCTTCAGTTATCGCTTCGGTAGTGATACTTTTAGACTTTTACTCAATTTTCTCCCTCATAAACAAATTAAATTGTATATGAAAAGAAATCTCCTTGTAAATCATATAATATGTCATGTTTGTGACGACCCGAATCACCAGCTAGCCTTACAACGTCATGCTTTAAAAAGTTCATTGTTTACATAGTGTTTTGTCCTCGCACATCGCTCGCGTACCTATCAACCTGGGATGGGGAAAGTAATTTATAGGGGTGAGCTCGCGCCTTGCATGCAAGCCCGGCCAGTGAGTTCCCTATTTTTATAACCTATCGACACGTATAGAGCATGCAAATCTCAAACACAAGCAAGCACTCTCGAACATGATAACAAAAGCAGTACAGAATCAAATCAGATAAGCAAGTGTCAGCACACAAAAGGGCGAGTCAAACCTGAGAACCAAATCTAAGGACTTATGTAATCCGTTGGAATAGATTCACAAGCTGACGTCGTAGCACGATCAGTCTGGGATTGGCCAAAGCACAATCAATCATCATTCTCTTATCATCGTCTTTATCTCTTTCATAGCTTATTAAGCGCGCACCTCCTTCACGTTTGGTTGTGGTTGTCACTGGTTCAAGCGACTTCCACTGGTAACTCTAGTATACCATCATTAACCTGGGATCTTGTAGTTCTCCCTGAGCGACCAAGCCCGTTGCCGGCTCGCCAGTTTGATTGCTATAAGATTGGGCCCATAAAGATGCACAAGTAGTTCACAGTTTAACAACCAAGTCAATCTCTCTCAACTTGTCAATCTCAATCACATAGATCATTGTCATTTGCTTTATCAGAATCAAATATCACATTGCAACATTCCAAACAGCAACAACATATACATTTCAGGCACACTTCACATTCCGCATTCACACACAAAATACAAATGTATCCCTAACTGAAGACTCTTAAATATATAGATAGTAATAGTATAGGGGAAACAGTCATATGCATAATCCCACGACTAACTCACCTGAGTAACCTCGCAACTTACTAAGGTCGCTCCGAAAATCTGTTAATTAAATATTTCCACTTGTCATTGCTTACTCATATCATAAAACTAACTAATGTCTCGTGCCTGTGCAATTTACTATGTGGCATAGTGATGTATTGATTTCTATTATGTCTTTTCATATAATTAAGATATCGTTTTCAAAGTCAAGAGGTTAAGGCATTTACTTTCACATAAATTGAAGGATAGAGAAGAAAATATGGTGAGAAAAGAGTATGTGGTCAAGGAGAACCGAAGCCTCGAAGCCCCCAAGTTCTGAATAATTTCCAGAAAAGTGATGGTAAAGAGGTCATATTCAAAACACGTTTTCGTTCAAACCAAAAGTTCGATTTGCAAGCCGTCAAAACCAGTGTAAAGCAGGTCAAACAAATAAGAGTTTTTTATGCAAAGAAATCAGAAAAAAAGAGTTCAATAAATAGGAGAAAACAGCAATTCAGGACTAAATTCTCAGAAAATTCCGAACAGGTTGGTCCTGTTCAAATCCAATGTTGTGACAAACCATACCTCCATTTAGCAATCCGTAAAAACCACTATAAACTACATCAAGCATAGAAGAGATTTATCAAAAGAAATTTTATTAAAACAGTTCAAGATATAAGAGAAACGACTCTCTCAAAACAGTCGCGCAAATCAAAATCCTAGTGACTAAACTGTAATTTTCAATTCTGAGTTTGTGGACAAATCACATATCTATTTTGCAATACGTAAAAAAAATCCTTTACCTTCACCAAACAGCGTGGAACTTCACCAAACAAAGAAGAGATTCATAAAAAAGGATTTCTGGAAAAGAGTTCAAGAGATAAGAGAAACAAGTCCTCCAACAGAGAGACATGAGTAAACTTTTTGCTTTTTCATAAAACAATCAGAGAACATGTCTAATTATAATTAAAACTTTTTGGAAGATAAGTAGGCCGTTTATCAACCTGTAAACAGAGATGCGAACCTTGAACCATAGAGATTATAGACTCACAAAATTTGGATAACAACAACCACCTTAAGGTGGAGTTTCTAAACCTCGAAGATAACTACTCAAAATGAAAATTCCAGCAATCCCTTAGTGAATAATTTCTATTTCAAACCAGACTTTGAAGGATTGAAAATGCTATCTAAGTCTAAGGAACCCAAAACCGAAATACCCTTTGAAGTCCATAGAAAATGTACACCAAATTGTAGAAATTCATTCTCTTCTTTTCCTCTTCATTCAGTCAACAAAACACTTGATTCTAACTTCTAAGTTTCAATTTCTATACATGGGACTCTAAATGCAATTTGAAACACAACTAAAATCCCTGTTCTATTTAGGAATCCTAGTCATCGTTTTTAACATGCAATATTCTACTCCCACTCTCCCAAAATTATTGTCCATTTGAGATTTCACTTTTAGTACAATTTGAACTAGAAATGACAATAATTATGGAACGGAGGGATTAATATATTTCAAAATTATACCTCTATAGCATGTGTTCTGTCATTTCCATGATTGAATTCATCCTTATAACATCAAAACTATCATTATAAGCAATTGAATAATTAGGATTAATTACCTGTCATTCTTCTTTCTCGGTTCCCTCCATTTCTTGCCGACCTCCCTTCTCTCTCTCTCTCTCTCGGCTTAGCCACTCTCTTTCTTCCACTTCTTCTATTAATTTACAATCAATCACTTTGGTTTCATTGTTGAACAATGATGATACAAGGATTGAGGTGAGAGGATGATGAATTTGGGATGGCTTTAAGGGTAGAGAAATGATGTTTGCTGGTGAGAGCATGGGATTAAGAAAAATGAACTTGTAGGAAGCCATTAAAAAGGGTGCTTTGCTGGTGGGAATTTACAGAGGTTGTATTTTAAAATTATATAAGGAAATAGGTGGGTTTTGCATGCACTTTGATTGGCCAATAATGGGCTCAGGGCTTAATTACAAAATCTTAATCTTTTTGCCAAATCCGATCATCTCTTACCTTTAATTATAAAGGTCCGATCAACATTTATAATTTACATTTCGATCCTACAGGAGTTTTCTAGTTCATTATTATTTTATTTTATTTTTTTTATAAAAAAAAACTAACTGTAACTTGAAGTGTACTATCAAATTTTAAAAGTTGTTCAACTTTATTGTAACTAGTTTATGGTACTTGT